GGTACTTGAAAAGCGGGAGGGCCCTGTGCCCCTCCCCCCCCCCCTTCCCCCTGGAGCGCCGCCTCTGGGGGGCACTAGTCTTTAGTCTATGATCAGCGTTTTTCACGGCACCCTTTCAGGAGTTGAAGAGTTTCGCATCATCTCAATCTAAACTTCTTCACAGGGGAATCGTCTTGCATTCCTCGTAGACGTACAGGAATATTTTCGCGTGAGGGCCGTGAGGGCCTCTTGCCCGAAAATATTGCGAGATAGCAAAGCGAGCGGTCGGAAACAATTTGCGTTTTTATACCTGCAAAATCTTCACAATCATATTTTAATCTCCAATATACACTAAATAAAATGCACAGTTATGATATTCGGTTACCTCATTGCCAGGATTCATCCCGATTAATCAACTTTGCGAATCGAACGAAAGAAACAAAAGACACTTTGTTTCGGTTTGAATATCATTCATACATTAACAAATTTTTTTTTAAATAAGGTTACATTCGGGCGCAATGCTGCCCGATAATCATCAAATCATCAATCATGGTATTCATGGACCTCTCTTCGTGAAACTATCCCTTTCTACGTTTTCTCGAGCGAGCGAGCTAAGCAAGTGAGGAGAAAAAACGCTAAGTTAATTATAGTATCCCTGAAATATCATTTCCTCATCAAAATACCCTAAGTGGTATATTTGGGCATCTTGTGGTTACTGATAGGGCTACCTTGTTTTCATGAAGTTGATGTTAGTCCCGAATATATTTTTGATATAATTAAAATACTCTCGTGGCACCCCGGTTGAAAACGCTATACATGCATGGTAAAATTCAAGGGGGCACATGACTAGGCAGGGAAGGGATATAGCTCTTGCCCCTTTGCATATTAAAGTGAAACGGAAACACGTTATATATACTCCCTCTGTCTTCAATATTTCTCTCCATGAATCTTCATTTCCCGCTTTTTTACGCTTTGAGCATCATTGACGCAGATCGGATCACCCAAAGCAATTTTCGATAATAGTAATGCACCTTTTACCACAAATTTCATTAAAGACTAGTCATGTTGTCATCCCACGTTGCTGATTTACATAATACATGTTTATATAATCTTTGAAGAGCGTTTTCGAGCAATCTATATCTCATTATGTTATTTTCTCGTTCTTTTTCCCTTTCCTCTCGTTCTCCTCTTTTTTTTTGCCATTCGAAGGGGGGGGCGCACCTTCTACTTCTATTCTACTATACTTGTCAAAGCCTGTTCAGCATCTAGACAAGGGTGATCTTCTGCCGACGGTGGACGGCTTGTGTGAATTTGTGCCGAAATATATACATGTTTATGGTGCAAGTAAAATGATAAAAATCATAAAAATCATAAAAAATCATAAATACAGCCGTTTTTTATGAAAGTGGACTATGAGTATGTTTGTAATTTAATGAATGAACAGTACTATTTCTTCCATCTCTTTTTGTTGTTGTTCTTTTTATTGCGTTTTGACTTGTCTTAATTGTTTTGATTGATTTCGTTTCCTTTTTTGTGTGGGTTTCTTTTCGATTTGTTTTGTTTCATTGTTGATCTGCATTATTGTCATGTTCTATTTTGTTTTAAGTGTGTCTCTATTTTTGATAACCCAGTTAAGAACGCCTTCTGCATGGAAAAATGATTTTTTTTAATCCCCTCACTGTGATTGAATAATTATTGTCACAATGTGGAAAACACGGGTGTCAAATCAAAGAGATATCACAGCGAGCTCAATGTGATATATAGGCCTATCTTTGATCAAATCAAAGAACGAGGAGAGTTCCTAACTCCTTGGTCTTAGATGCCAAACGGATAGTATAGCTTTGTGTGCTATCTTTTCTGCTATATTAGTGCCCTTTTGTGGGGCATTATTCCTCATTACTGTCATTTATGACTTAAGGGCGTAGGTCCCCTAGTTGATAAGCATAGTAGCATACACATGCTTTAGCAGTCACGCAAAACACACATTGGCAAATCATTATTCAATCAAATCTGAGAATGTATACTAATATCTAAATCTATTAATTTTTAATTATTTTTAAAATAATTCCATTAATTGTGGTAAAACAAAAAATATACCAACTTTATGAGCGACAGTGTATATACAGGAGATTTTGTTGATGTATGCCTATCTAGTTTAAAGCCGAAACGTTATTATTTATCCCTCCTGAAACAAAAACTTTAAAAACTAATTGTTACACGTTACTGGGAATATTACTTGAATTTACCTTTTTCGTTAAATTGGCAGAAAGTATTCAATTTTAAATTTCAACAATTAGGAAATAATAGAATAAAGCAAGTTAATTTTAAAAGTGTTGCATAGTATATTTCCATCAAATCATAGTAATATATGCATATGGCGTATAATGAAAAATGATTAGTGTGATATATGTAAAGAAACAGAAACTACTGTTCATGTCTTGTCAAAATGTAACAAGGTTCGAGTTTTTGGAAAATTATTGAAAATTTATTTTTTAATCATACTTTCATGAACAAATAAGTATTAATGAAAAGGCATTAGTTTTAGGTTATTTAAAAAAGGTAAACTTTGTGATAAACTCAGTCATGTTAAGTTTAGGCCAATATTACACTTAATGTATATTAAGCTTCGGTATGATGTTAAAGAGTACAATAGTAAAAGTCTGTTCATTAATTTCAAATTAAAACTTCGATATAATGACGAAACACATTCATATTCATGAAATGTCAAGTTTATAACCATTTATTTAATTAATTTTGTCTTTTTTTTATCATCTTAAAATGTAAGTGATGTAAATATATATGAAATAGCCCTATCTGAAATAAAACACCTTGGTACAAGAAGAAGAAAAAATTCGTCCCCGAATAGAAAGCTGTTCCGACAGCTAACGTTGATGGCGTAATGTTCCATATGTCCAAACTCGTACATTCGCAGCAGAATGATGTTTATTTTTCAAATTATACCATTCTCCAAATCTTTTACTTCTACAGTCAGGCGCGTACACAAGGGGGGGGGGGGGGGTAAACCCCCCCCCCCCTTTGGATTTTTTTTTTTAAAAATTATTAACAAAAAAAACAAAAAAAATATTCCATGGCTGACCTAAAAAAAAGGTGACCTTACCCTCCTTTTCTACTTTTCAAGTCGGTTCATATTGTAGGCCTCTGAATATACTACATGTAGTAGTACATCAAGAACATTTCAAATGATGCGTATACATGACGTATGTGCCTATCCTGAACTTTTAACATAAATTTAGGTTACTGTTGCTTGTATTAGATTGCTTTTTAATATGCAACTGCAATATTAATGAGCGAGAAGAAACATTATCTCTATATTAAAACCTATCATCATGTTCGCTAAGCCTATCATACTTCGCTATCATAATTATGATCTTTCCTTTTACATATCAACTTTTCTCCTAGCTCAAACACCTTTTCTTTCTTAACAAATATTCGTATGCTCCTCCTAATTAATTCCTCTCGTTAATATAATTGATCCTCTCGTCCTTCTCTCTTTCCGGCCGTTTCGGCTTCTTACTGTATTTCATTTCTTTTTGTATGAAAAAACATATGCAGGCATTGTGGCTATATGCCTATGATACGGAAGAAGATATATATATCTGTTTACTGAAAAGAAGATCGGATGGTACGTATTGCAACATAACTTTCCCCTAGTCCCGATTCCCCGTCATTCATCAAATGCATGCACACACCACAACAATAGGACACGCGAGGTTTGCGTGTGCAGGTGTATTATAACACTAGCGTAGTTCTTCAGCTTTTTTAACGGTGATATTTACACCTAATTCAATAAAAAGCTCATAATCTTATCATATTCACGCAGGTTTGTATTCATTTTCACTATTCAAAGATAATTTGTGTTATTATTATAAGAAAATATTCAGTTTTGCATTTTTTGTACATATTTCCTGTCTAATTTTTACAAGTAAATTTTACAGGGGCTCAATTTTGAGAATAATAATTGCAACAAACAACTTGTGCGCAAACTCTACTCCATTAGTAAACAATGTGTCAGGGCTGCCCTAGCCTTTAATACAGAGACGCGTGATAATTGTCATTTTAAAAGGAACCTATGCAGCTATAGCTAGCTAAAAGATTGCATTATCTCTCAAATATAATTTGATCGTTGCTCTTTGCATGTTTTCAATAGCTATAGACCTATAACTTGCTGAAATCGTCAAAATGACGATGGCCTGTATAACTCCATGATATATATATATATATATATATATATATATATATATATATATATATATATATAATATCAATCCTGATTGTAAAAGTATTATCATGCAGATCAGAGAAACAGACTACAGCACGTTGCTGGGCAAGGCTTCTCCAACGATTGGACCATTAAACGGAAGTGTTGTTGTTGTGTGTTGTTGTAGTTGTTATTTTATTTTGTGTTTGGGGGGGGGGGGAGTCAGATATTTTCAATCAAGGAATGTATTCTGTAGAATTTTCACCATGCAATCACTTTTCATTGATTAACATTTACAAAGTGTATTTTTTTAAAACATTAGTTGGTGTCCATGTTTATCGACGTGATATTATACTTTGAATTATCATGTACAAGTGCGACTTTTATATTTTTTAAAAATATTTATACAGTAGGCATAATAACATAATTTCTACAGCTATATAGTCTAGTACAGTTAAATGCGATTTAATTTTTAATTTTATACTGATTGTTAAATTCTGCGTGCTGTAAAAACAAGGGTAGTTTTATTCGAGCCGATATAGTCTAAAAACGAAGATCAAATTATGTTATGTAATTGTATAATTGTCAAATAATAAATTCCCAAAATAAAGGTTCAGAGCGTGTCCCTGGCCTGGGGATTAATTGAGTCCAAGGGTCGAAACAGAAAACACAAACATTGTTTGTGTCCATGTCCAGTCTGTTAGTAACAACTATTCGATTAAAGGGGTGCAATTTATTCCATGATTTATTTATTGAACCTTAACTTCAAATTGTTTATCAAAATGTAATACAAATAATATTATTTAATGTTATTAAACTTACGATATCAAATGAATTACCATAGATATGACTAATATTTTCCAACTGTTCTTCATATGTTTTAATCACCCCTATTATATTATGGAACCGTCCAGCTTTAAAGGCTTATTTGCATAGAAAGCGCATATCATTAGCGGAAAGGTCGAATATCGCTTTGATCATCTGAAGATGTAACAGCTGATCTACTTTTGACGTTCAGACAACGAAGCTTCACTGAGAATCTGACTTCGAAGAATGATACTGAGACACCAATAATCATGGAAAATCTACTGATGTTTTGCAGTGTAATTTTCCTCGTCTTGTCGGTGAATATATTGCGATCAGAAGCTAGAATTTTCTACCAAAATGTCACTCTCGTTTACGGCTCCGAGGAAGCCAGTGTGGAGGCACTTCGTCTTCGAACCGACGGTTTTGGCTTCGCAAACACTGGAACACTGGAGTTTCATGCAACTTGCCCATTGCAAGAGGTAGGTTCAATATGGTATTGTGTTGATAGCATATTATCAGTTAGAGATCGAGATGTTAGTATGGATTTGGTTAGTCCAATTTTTATTTAAGCTTATAAGTGTCTGGTATTTGTAATGTGGTGGGTAAGACTAAGAGGATAAATTAAGGCCAACTAAGGCCAAGACTTGAGTAGTTTGATCATGAGTAGTTTGATCTAATGAGAGTTTGATCATGTTGATCATGTTAAGATTTCTCTAAGATTAGTAAGAAAGACTTGGAGCAGTCTAGAATCTACACTCTAATTCTTCCAAATCTAACATTAGACTTAATCTTACTTTTAACGGTGGAAAGATGAGGTAATTAAGACCCACCCAAAACAATCTATCTTGTTTGGGGATAGACTATGTTCCGTATTCCACTGAGCTAGACTGTCTGATTTCACAGAAGTCTTTATTACTTTATAGAGAGGAGAGAGAGAGCGTCAAAAGGCAAAATTAGTTCTTAAAAACTTGTACAAGCAGGCATTTTAGACGAGGTCTAAATTGAAATTCTTTTGTCATTTCATCTCTGTCAGTAACTGAGTAAGATTATAAGTAAATATCTTTGATTTATACACATGAAACTGAAAGATCCCACCATTTTCATTCCATGACTATTGGAAACAAAATTACAAATGTGTGAAATAATTCAATGAGGAGGTGTATGACTAGAGGTTGTGAGTCCGGAAACTTATCAAAGGAAAAGCTGTCGCGTTTGCTGTTGTAGTTTTAGTAAAAAAAATTGTACCAAATAGCACTATAAACCATAAATATTTGCCCATCATACTATTGCTCAACACAAATTTTAAAAGAACATTGCTTGTGAACTTCTTCAAATTCACAGTGCCGGGTATTGTTTTAAATCAACTGTTCCGAAAACCAACCTGTCCAAACACATGATGATGTGTTGGTATGAATGTTGGAAACCTTTTCAAGAGGTGAAACTCTAAAAACATAACATTATAAAATTACCTGTAGATGTAAATATGAAGATCTGAGCCAGCGTTTGCGACACTGGTCAGTATTCCATGACTGTATTTAATTGAAATCAAGAAAAAACTTGACATTCGGGACAGTTCCAATGTGGTAACAAATTGAGGCCAAGTTTATGGAGAACCATGAACTTAGACTTCACATTTTTGAGGAATGGTCACCTACAATGTACATGTACTGTACAATACATGCAGTCTGTACTTGCACAATTATTGTAGTTACTAACTTTTTACTTGAAATCTTAAAGCCTAATTTTCCTGCGATGAGGTTTATCCTACATGTAGTAAATTGTTATCTCGTTCCCAAACTTATGCAATTACTTGTTTTAGATTGATGCATTCTGTACAAAAAATTGTTTTAAGAAAATATTTGTTGGGGAAAAAAGTAATTATGGTAACAAAAACATGTATGACTCACAATTCTTGGCCTACATATTTTAGGTTGCATCAATGAAACATGCAGCATTAGCACATACTGGTATATCAAAATTTGTAGATTTCCACCCTCCTGTTATTATTGTTGTGAATACATGTACATGTATGTGCAGGTGTCTTGTGTACTCTTGTCAGAGTTGTCTAAGCTCAAGATCCCACCTATACCCATCCCTTCTTGGGGTTCATGTGAAGATAATTTTTATAAAAAACTAGATTCTGAATCTTGTGTGTACATCTACATGTACATGTACTATACCTCATTTGGTAATTTGACTGCGTAGAAATATAATGTAGAATTGTCTACAGTACAATGTATATACCAAATTGTAATCATATTCTTTTCATGCGATGTTAACTCCAATGAATTGTGAAATTGTGAAATGGACTGTACTTGGAATTCTTGAAATCGTAATTTTATGTATACATTCCTGTCATACTTCTTTCTTTCGGTTGTAGTTTCAATACTTCTTATCAGTTTGTTCATGTTATCCACTCTGAACCAGGGTTCCCCGCTTCATCTTCCTCAGAAAGTGTACAAGGCATCAAATTAGAGGAAATGTCTTTTCTCTGGCTTCCTGTTATTTGAGATCTTATCAGACTTTTTGATACTTTTATCTATCTCAAACATCGAGAGCCAAATTCAAACTGAAGAGTCCTTATTTATAAGCTTTTTGACTCTCATTCAAATGATTCAGGGTGCGTTCAAGCAATTTTTTTTAAAGCTAGAATCATAAACATGTATCACAAATCAAAACACTGTTAAAAAGCATGTTTACTGCGGGAGAGCGTTCAAACAATTTTTTCATCAACACTGATTCTCGCTCATTTCAAGCCCATGCAGCCACTGCTCATCACACTGTACAGTTTGACCCAGGAAATATAGGTCAACTTCTCTGTGTGCTTTCTGAATTCGTTTGCGGTCGACTGTCGGCCAAACCAAAAGTAGGCCACGATAATGACGTTATAGAATCATATAGATTTACCGGTAAGATCTCTGTTTGTTCACGCGATTTTGTAGCGCAGAATCATGATACAAAACGCATCTTTTTCAACATTTCATGTTTGTGTTTTTCAACACATTTATTATTACGACCAACAAAAAATCACTTGAACGCAACCGTGTTTTAAACTAAACGTCTTTGAAAACAGTGTTTCTAGGGTGAAAAAGTGTCGCTTGAATGCACCTGTGGACTTGTAAACATTTCCCTTTTGAGAGGTTCACTAGATGTCTTTGGCATCCAAGGACAAAGTGAGTTTGTTTTGACAATGTTGATGTAATCCAACAATCTGAATATAGTCTTTATGTTGTTTGTTTTCACTTTTGTTATTAAATCAAGAAATAAAGAGGCTTGGATTTATGAAAGGGAACTTTCAAAGCAGTCATGCATTACATTGCTTTATTAATTTCATTAAGGTTTTGGAGGGGAAAAAGCGCTTATCTTCAATGAAATACAACGAAAAAGCTAATGTTATTGGAGCGAATGTCACCTGAGCAAACTTCGGGTGACCATATTAGTAGTGCTTCATATTTTAAACTTTGGAGATTTAATATAGTCTATTGCTTCTGTAGGTAGTGAGATAATACTAATTGGTGTAAAAGCCAAATACTTACTGGGCTATCTCAACCATTAACAGGTATATTTTATAGCTAAAGTATTATGTTTTCATTAAAATGTTGTTAAATACATTTGTTTATAATAAAAGTATCATTCAATGGAATTTGTATTGTATATTTATATTTTACATTTTTCATTAATGTTAAAGATACGAAATGAATAAATAGAAAGGGTCACATACATTAAAACATTTACACGTACATGTTCATGTACAAAGCTTCGAGCCCGTGTAAAGAGCAGGGAGTTTTAGAGGGAATTACCACTCCCTGGTCCCTGGTAATGTAATAGTGAGTGCGCATTCAGCTTTGTCCCTAATACACTCTGACAATGCCAAGAATATGTGGGTGTTTATGAGTAATCGAACGGCAAATTGCAAAATTCTAGGTTTGTATTACTTCTTGAAAAGATGATATATTGCTTGTTTATACATTTTTAGAACTCTTGAAAAGTTCAATGACAATAAGATTTTAGATTTATTGTAGATCGAATTAAGTCTTGGAAAGTTCAGTGACAAAAATTGTCATTGAACTTTGTATTAAAGAGCTATTTGATCTAATAATCTAGATTCTTTTGATGATTCATAGATGATCACATTGATCTAAGAGTTGAAGGAGTACTACAAATCCTTTTCTCAAGAGGTACATCAATCTAGAAATTTATACTTCAACGTTATTTGAAGTTGACATGCAAGTTGTATATTTATAACTGATCCCCCCCCCCCTTCCTTTCGATTGTTTTACTAGTGCCCTGTAGTATGTCATGTACTGTACACATGTTTATATACATGTACCGTGATCTCCATTTACTCACATATTGCAACACAATTTAACTGTATCATATTGCAACATAATCCACTCACGTACATCATGAAAATCCTAATATAGTGGTTTTCTTCACCATAGAAGTGATGACACCTTAAAACAGAGATAAAGACAAAGACAGGAGATTTATATGAAATATGATATGATATCCAGATCCAAAATATAGGGTGATTCAAGTTGAAACTATTTACAGGCACACATAGGTTGAAGGTATTCAAACTTCATGTACATGTGCATACAAAAATGTGCAAGTTGCCATGAAGCTGGAATTTGTCATTGTATTTGTAAGCCACTAGGCCAATTAAAATATAGTTCTCTAACTCTTCTTCTTCTTCATCTTCCCTTTTTCTTCCTCCTCCTCCTCCTCCTCCTCCTCCTCCTCCTCCTCCTCCTCCTTCTTCTCCTCCTCCTTTTTTGTGTGCTCCTCTTTGGTCTTCTTTTTCTCCCCACCCCCCCCCCCCCCCCCATTTTTTTGCACAGAAAGGAAAAAAGGCATGCTAGAACCTGTATTACATGTATAGGCATTGCAGTTGTTTGCAGTAAACAAGTTAATCCAATTGTGCCAGTTCAGTTATTTCATTGAAATACGTACAAAGCCATTTTGTACATAACAATACCCTACTTTTATATGGGGATGGATACCTGTAGATTGTGATTCATGCAGTGCACTGAAATTCATTCTAATAGTCAAAATTATTTCTATCAACTACGTGTAAATCAAATGAACAATTGATACAGGCAGTTTGAATAAGAACTAGGCCTACTATAATTCAGTTCATGGTGGTTCAAGTGATGACTACATGTATGTACAATGTATGTGTATGTCTCTGTTCTTGTATTTAATAATAATAATAATTGTATTTATATACATGCATTGTAGTGCCTTTTCTATTTAAGATGGTTTCAGCTTCTTTCCTTCTTTGGAGATCAAGGCATATATACAACTGTATGTGTCGTTGGAGAACTTGTAATTTTAAGATTTTTTTTCAAAGGAAACAGACATAAAACCTTGACGACATCAATGTTTCTTCTTATTTACATTTGTATCTTGTCATGTCAATCTAGAATTTTATCTCAATGTATGATGTATGGTTACCTGTGCATGTCTCTTATTAACCCATGTGCACAATAACAGTAATGGGTTGAGATTCTAGGGTCTATTTGCTAATTTGGTCCCCTTTAAAAAAAAATGGGGGATCCAGACTTAAACATACAGCTTTTGTGTATAACCCAACGAAAATTGTTTCTCCCCTTTTTTCTTCTTTAATTCATATGTAACTGAACATACATGTACTCTAGACAGGGTATCTTCAAAATGTAGCATGACTGTGTACTATACCCATTCACATTATACAATTCCTAATTCTCCGTATCTTTCTCTTCTTGTTTTAGGTCATCGGTCCAAGGCCTGATCTTTGGCTTCTTACATGTACAACACAAGAACTAAGAGATGTAAGTATATATTTTAATCTGCCTATAAATAGATGTAACTAACTTAACTGAATACCTTTTGGAGTCGTATAATTCTGATGCATACTACATCACGCTTGTGCAGGTTCATGATTTAATCTACATTTGTACGACTTCTTACATTGTACAACTTCTTACATTTAATCTATATTTGTACAACTTCTTACATTGATCTACATTTGTACAACTGCTCACATGAACATCACAAGAATTAAAAGATATGTTAGTATATATGTAAGCCTATAAAACAGGCTCTACACTTTAACTTTTAGGAAGGGGCTCCGGATTAAAAATTTAAGAGTATGTACATGTATGATGCACAAGACCTATGTAAAAAAGAAATGATATCTGCAATTATGTTAGTGTGATAATTTGGACCTATAAAACATTTCAGCTAAGCAATTATTTTTACATAGTGATCAATGCAATAAATTGCAAAAATAAATGATACAATCAAAAGATAAAGATTTTTGTGTTACATGGCCCTGTATGAAGACACATTGTATGTTTTACAGTTTGGCAAAGTTTATTTTTTTATTTTTAAATAACCTTGCAGTTATGCAAGAACTGTATTGATCAGAATGTAGTGTTGGCAAAGAGTCACCATATGCAGGAACATATTAGCTCTTATTTGTTGACACTTATATTCATTCCTATGAGGGAATTCTTTTTAAATAGTTTTTTGTAATAACTAATATGTTACATGTGTTTTGTACATGTACATGTGAATGTAAGGAGAAAAACATTTCAACATCAGTTTAGTATATTCAGTGAGAACTATTCTTTGTCCCTGTTAGAGATTCAAGATTCAAGATTCAAGATAATTTATTGTTTGATTTAAAAAATACAGAAATTCATCCTCCACTGGCGAGTGACGTACATATACAAATATCGAAACAACATAAACATTATATAAAAACATTCGAAGATACAAAGAAAATACAACAATAATAATAATAACAATAATAATAATAGCAATAATAGCATTAACAAAACTGACATGTTAACTTGAAAGCTGGTATTTAAAAATGAATCTCGATAATGCACATAATGCATAGAATAAATGAATTAAAAAGTGCTCTGAAACATTCACCCCTTCTCTCCATGAAAAGGGGTATGAGGAAAGAACAGAGAAAAGAACAAATGAGAGAGAGAGAGAGAGAGAGGGGGGGGGGGGGGGGGAGTCACATGGAGTAGAACAGAAAGGAAACGCGAGGGAGAAAGAGAAGGTGACAGAAAACGAGGAGCTCTGGGAGGGAAGAGATGAGGTAGAAGGTCCATGTAAAAATTTGTTGTTATCGAAGGCCTTTATATTCAATGCTAGGCCTATTTTATTTTTTCCAACATGTGATTGCTTTGGTATGTCTCGCCATTTGATGTAGGACTAAAGGGGATAATAAAACATCCTTTATTTGTACCTCCCATTGTCCATGCAGTGAATACGCTATTCAACCTGAAAACAGTTAACCAAGGGTTATGGGACTATATAGAGAACTAAGTCTGTTTAATGTTGTTGTTTGTCTCCTTTATGTACTACACATTATTGTGAGCAGGTTTGATCTCTTCCAAGATGTATGGTTCTGAACTAGTTTTGGCGGGATCCTGATAAAACCAAGGACGATTGAGTTTGGGACTATAGAGAGAGATTGTCGATCCAACACATGCTCCCACAGATAGCTGTGACCAATGCTCTGTGTTACATGTAATTTCCTACATGTGCACTAACTGAATTTGTAACTTTGACCCTGGACCGAACACCATAGGCCTATACCTACATGTAGTGCTACTAACGACTCTGAACCTAACCTAAGACCCTAGTATGCAATCCTAATCCTAACCCTATATCTGTGACGAAATAAAGCCTGGAGCAATCGTCGCCAGAGTTCATGTCAGATCACTTTAGAGAGAACATCCCTATTAAAGCCCATCTGTACTAGTGTACAGGAGGGACTAGACCACCCTGCAAGGTCACTGACAGCTGGTTATCTCATCAAATCAGCTCTCACGTAACATAAGAAAAAAGAGGATCATGGGGACCAATTAATGATCACCGATTAGGCATTATTTGATATATATAGAGGGAACAAGTAGCTGTAAGGAGTGCAGTGGGGCTTTAAATGATGTCTAATTTCTATCTCTGTATATACAACAGGTGCTGGAACCCAGAACAAGTCGTCTCAACTCCGTCTGCGAGTCCCTCCAGTACAATGGACTCTACTCTCAGAAGCCCGCCAGGTTCTGTAAGAGCCTCCATGTCCTGTGCTCAGACCGCAACCAAGGCGCAGCCTCCGGGAACCCCTGTCACTCCTGGCTGCTGAACTCGCTCTTCCCAGAGCCAGAGTACTACAAGTTCATGCTACTCCAGTGTCCGTGGCAAGGGGCATTCAACGGGACTCACGCCCAACAGCAGCAGGAACCATGCTGGGTAAATTGACTGATTGAAATGGAATTTATTTACACAAGAAGGACTTTGAAACTTTGACTCTTATCTTGTATGTCACTCCCTTTTAGCATACCTATACCTGTCGATTTGACAGACTAGAAGTCAATATTGATTCACGTATAAGTCACAATCTTTTATGAACCATTAATTGAGGTAGATTCAGGTGAAAGAATTTAAATTTTGTCGTAAATCAAAGAAAAAGATTTAAACAAATAAGCACATGTAGAAGGTAGGTCTTGATTTTCATTTGGGAAAGAGGAATATGACCTCGATATATATATCAAGTTGTTTTCAGGGTGAGGTCAACAACTAAGAGGGAAAAACTAGATCGTCCAGATTATTCGATTTTGGAATGTCTAATTGGGGATTGATTTACATGTATGTTAAAGCATCATAGGATCTCAAAAACAGACTTTTCTTGACTTTAGGATAGCTCGATCAGACTTGGTAAATATGCAAGATAATACTTGACCCCATCAGTGCTATGGCTGGCAAGCATGGATATATAGTAAATCATGCTCAAGAAGTGAAAGGCTGTACAGAGTGTACTATAAATTTCTTCATAAGCTTCTTTTTTCCCCTTCTTTTTTTAAGCCGAAGGAGGGACACATATATCATGAAATTGTGCTCTAATTGAAACCATTTAGCAAATGTTAGTGTTGTGGGTCACATGGTGAACTCTTGGGCTTTGATTAAACTTGACCTCGTTCTATTTCTGACACAGATTTTGAAAATGAGATAGGACACCCGCTTTTAGAAGTCATGGCGCCCTGACATATTTTTTCTTTCACTATTTCACATCCTTAGAAGGTTCATGCGGAGTTAAGATAAATAAAGGAACATGTGCCTCTTTATTTGTTTCCAATGCTATGTTTGGAAAACAAACCACAATTTTGTTTTGCTACCTGTTTCAACTATAATGCTCGATCTTGAAAACTGAGTTCAAGGTAAACTTGCTTGACTTACGCAATATAGTGAAATATATCAAGATATACCGTCCTCACAGTTTTATGGATTAATCTTTTCTTCTTCTTCTTTTCTCCTTCTTATTTTCCTTTTCCTCTTTCTTCTCCTCGTTTGCCTCTTCCTCTTTCTTCTTTTTTTTTCTTTTTCTTCTTTTTCTACTTCTCCTTCCTTTCCTCCTCCTTCTGCTTCATCTGCTTTGTCTGCTTCTTCTCATTCTTCTTCTCCTTCTTCTTCTTCTTTTTCCCTTTTTTTTTCATTTCTTCTTCTTCTCCTTCTTCTTCTTGTTCTCATTCTTCTCATTCTTCTTCTTCTTTTTCTTCTTCTTTCCTTTTTCTTTTCCTTCTTTTCTTTTTCTTTTCCTTCTTTTACTTCCAAATATCACGTACTGACTGTCTCCAGCTCATAGGAAATATTATGAGATTGCTTACGATCCCTGCTTCCTGTGTTTCTATTCCAAAGCTTACATTTGATTATACACGTATCACATTAGATAACTAATGTTCCCATTCATGTATCCATCCATAGGCCAACCTGACCCTGATGAATAACAATGGACATAGCCATCTAAGCCAGGGTGAAGAGCCACTTCTGCTTATTCATAAAATCCTCATTGTTGTCTGGGGATCGTTACTCTTTATATGGATCATTAACTGGATCAAGTATTACTGGGTGAGTACAGTGAAACCTGTAGATAAAGACCATGCAGGGGAGATGATAAATGTGGTCTTTGTAGGCAGTTAATCTTTATGTGTACCTAGAAACAAAGTATTAGGCGCATTATAAATGTGAGCTATTATTATTTAATATTATTAAATTGAATTACGAAATTGGTTTGACTACATCTTTGCCAACCCCTTCTCCCCTCCAGATATTATGGACAACTGTTATTGTTATTTTTTATTTTCTGTAAACAAGTTTTGTGATACACATTTAAACTAAAAGAAAGAGAAATAAAAGAAATACCTTGCTTACTATCCTTGGCAGAATTTATCTACAGGGTATGTGCATTGTCGGTGACCCTAATTTGCAAATATGTACCAAAAAAGTTAATCTTATTAAGTAGACTTCACAAAAATCTTTTTTCTTTACAGAATGTATGCCTTGTAAGTACACCTTCATTACAAAAAGTTTGTCCTTTTTCTATCTTTCAGTACTCCAATAAACTGCACAAGTTGTTGTTTGTGGCACCAGCTCTCAAGTTTGTCATCATTGTAATCCTGATCATTAGATGGGAATTCATCAATGCTACCGGTATGTATTTCAATTAGAAAACTGTTTGAATAGTGTCTGCTGAGAGCCAGAAAAACTTTGAAATATAGAATTCCCTTTCTTTTGGCTGTCAGCATAATTGTGATATCCCAGAAAACTTTGTATTCTTTTATAAATTTGCTGGATGGATACACCACCTCAGGGGAAAAATTAATATTTATTTGGGGGGGGGGGGCTACTTTTTAAGCTCGCCTGCATGAAAATAGCACTCTAAAATTTGTTTTGCATTGAACTCTATGCAAAGTTATGAGGGCTCTTTTCTGATTTTCGGGGTCTCTTTTGGGCATTTCATGGGGGAATTCCGATCCCTGTGTATTTTTTTTCACTGCACCACCTCAAAATGCAAATGCAAATTTTTCTCAGATAACTTTTTGATCAAATTTTGAGAAGCTATTTAGCTCTTTAAATTACAAAAAGAGATTTGGGCCTTTTTTAGGGTTAAAAAAAGGGTCAATATTATATTGTTCACAGTAAAATCACACATTTTCTATTGTATTTTTGTTTTTAAAGAGGTTCATTTGTGACCTGGAAGTAATATATTCACTGTAAACAATAGAATGACCTTTGAGTGGAGCCCTACTTCTTCTATGGGTGCTATTGTATTAAACAGTGCCATCTGTGCCATCTACAAGTCAAGGATATGCCAATAATACCTGTTTTTAAGGAACCATGGGGTTAATGGACACACATAATAACAATGGTTTCACAGGCTCTTCCTTCAAACAAAATTAACCTCAAAAGTCACAAGTGACCTTCCTGGACAATATTCAGGCAAGCCTGGAAATTTGGAAGAGGTGAAATAGTAACTATTGTATGAAAATCTAAAACGGGTTTTAAATTTGACCTTTTGAGCTATTCATACATTGTACAATTGACTGATCATGTTCGCATGGTAGGACAATATTGATGAAAGGAGAGGCATTTTTTTCTTCTATCATTAGAGTTTTTCATGCAAGCTTTAAAAATAGCTTCAGACGTTCACTTGATGATTATTATTGGTCTGCAACAGGTCAAGTAACATGTTGTTGAAATCTTGTAGATTACATGTTTCCCATAGGCCATTTTTGTAATGTATATCAAATTAAATGCACAAATCTATGCAAGTGCCTTGTTACAAATGATTTTATTCACCTGTTACAAACAATTGTATTTTTTGGATAAGTCATTAAAGGAAAATATGATATCTAAAGATCATAATGGTGAGAGCTAACAGTGGCATGAACGGCCTGCCATAGTTAAGTCCCACCTAAAGTTAATCTTAGTCTTTGTGAAACACCCCACTTATTTCATAGCAGAGGAAGTCTCTATGGTATCTTTGAAATGATCGATCCAAACATTTACATCATCAAACCTTGGAATATAAGGTGTACACTTTAATTTCAAATATGTAGTAGGCTTGGTGGTCTAGTGGATAAGTCGTCGGACTGTGTATCACGGGGTCCACGATTCAAGTCCCGCCATGACACTGATTTCCTTTTGCAAAATATTAATCTACATTTGCCTCTCTCCACCCAGGTGTCAAATGGGTACCATTAGGAAGCAATTCCTTGAATTCTGTGAGCGCCAAAATCGGCTGCCTAGCAGAGCCCGGGGTAATAGTTGGAGCACCTTAAACACCTTGCGTGGTGGATCTGTGAGCTATAGAAAAATCTGATATTAATATTATTATTATTTTCCTGTATTTGATAGGTCTGGAGTGCCGATGGCTAGAGATCACCTCCTATGTGTTGAGGAGTGCAGAACAGGCAATGCTTTTCATGGCCATGATGCTGGCTTCAGAAGGCTGGTGTGTGGTACGGCCCAAGATCAGGAACATCCGTCATGCCCTTCTACCAGGTAAGAAAGGTGGCTCAATGGCTCAGTGGTAGAGCAGTGGTCACGTATCAAAGATGTTCATGCGTTGGTATATAGTTGTTAGTGAAGTAGGCAATTTGGCGATCACTACATAGCACTGAAGCAACGGGTATTAATGCTGATCGCCTGTTTCATGATTAATATATTTCTGATTGGAAATCAAAATTCCATTTTTTGTTTTCTTAACAGTTTTTATAACACTACATGCTATTGGGTAAAACGAGTATGGTAAAACCGGTCTCTCAAGGATTTTTACTTTTTGAGGCACTTCATGAACATTTTGAAGCGTAACATATTTAGGGCTTTGGTATTACACCATATCACAGACGGTGATAATACGTAGGGCCATGCATCTTTAATAGGTTTAACATTGTTAAACGATGCCTTTAATGCCAATAGTGTCATACTGGGTGCTTCAGGAAAATAAAATGTCACATCAGAGGTGTAGCCAGGTCCCATTTGTCTTACTCATGGCATGTGTGACCTTTTGCTTGCCAATTATTATCCTTAAGCTGAAGTCCATTAGGCAGTAACAATGTAAAAGAGACTCTCCTATTCATGATTGAGCACTTTAAATTGCTTGCTATAAAACAAAGTGTGTTATACCATTTGATGTAAACAGCCCATGATAGAAGTATATGTCAGAAGTGTTAGTGAAGAAAACTGGGATAATGCTATCTGATGACAAACTTATGGCAACGAGCCATCAAGTAGGTTTTGTTACCTGGATACTTGTATTTCAAGACATAAACAAAGGAAGCTCATGCAGGAAACTAACCAAGAACACGTTGGACAAATACACTAGCTAAGGAAACAAAACAAGTTTGAGGTTGCAAATTTGTTGAGAAAGCATGGGAATTTGTGGTTTTGTTTACAGGCAAGCAACATTCTTTGTAGGTTTCTATCAGTCGGAAGTGACATGGAATTTCAAGACACTTGTTTAACAGCTGTTTGGATTGCCTTCAAACAGCTTTCTAATGTAACACTTTCTTTGCCAAGTACACCTAGGTATCACTTCCATACTGTCCCACTAGGCGCGTCTTCATCAGCTTTAGATTGCCAAATATCCGCTATTTGAACTATCCCGATCGCAAATTATCCAGCTGATTTGCGTCTTTATCAGCCCGAAGTTGCAAGTAGCGGGATATTTGGTCGGGATTGTCATCCCAAGAAATCTCAGTCTAGTTTGCAAAATATCCTGCTATTTCCCAAATAGCGGGATAGTTTGCGCCCATCTGCATCAGACCTAAGTACGGAGTCAAATATCTCGATCCCATCATGCACAACGATTTCCGGTTTTCCATGTTTGTAAATAAACTAGCTTGTAGCATAATGCTTTAACCTGCGCTTCATGTATGCACAGCCCATACTTGTTTATGTTTTACAGCGCGGGTAAAATCTTAAATCCGCACGCTGGTCATAAAGTCGGTCTCTGAAGTGCGCATGCGTCAATCTCGAGATTAGTTTTCAAGCTAGTTTGTTTGGTGAAGACGCGATTTTGAGCATAGGGATAATATCCCAAGTCTGAAAATAGCGGAATATTTGGCAATCTCAAGCTGATGAAGACAGGCCTAATGTGACTGGCAAGATTTGTTATGATTTCTGGAGAGTACAAGATGATTCATATCCTTCTTATGTTTTTATTTCAGTATTATTTCTTGCCTTCCTGGGTTCAGTGATCTGCGTGGTCTGGGTTCATAGCTATTTTATGGTGAGTAAAAATATACAAATAAAATTTGACCAAACACCATCTAAGGGAGATGGTTATTTGGCTAATGTAGACGGATTTCATAACAGGTATTTTATTTTTTCCGGGAAGGGGGAGGGGGGGGGGGGGTCAGTGAAAGTGACTGTTGCATACAAACAGCCTTTGTGTAGGTGGTCACTATGAGATATATTACTGTAGGAAATATTTCAAACTACATCAAGGTTTGCAGTATGTCTGGTGATTACATAAGGATGAGAATGTTACTACAGACAAACCTGTCTACAGCGACCGCCAAAGGAAAACACAAAATGTGCTTGTTGTAGACAGGTGGTCTTTGTAGAGAGGTGGTCACTAAAGCAGATTTGACTATATAATGTAGATGACTGGTATACACTGGAGTATAGAAGTGAGTATTGGAAGCTATATAGATTACATCAGTAAGATACCATCTTCATCATCGTCATCATCCTGTAATAAGAATAGAATATATTATTTATTGTCTTCTTCTTCTAAAAAAAAAAAAAAATTGCCATCCAGGTGAATCTTATACAAGATTTATAATTTACATACATTCTTATCAGAATATCAAATGCATAAAAAGTATGGATAAATAGATGATACATACATATAATACAAATTATATAGAACATAAGGATAAAGGAAAGAAGACTAAAGGGAAGAAATGGAGAAGAATATACATGTAGAATGAGGGGATTAAAGGAGAATGTAGCCCTTGGGTGAAGTAACTCCAAATAATAATACCACAACTTCATCTTTTTTTTTCTATCATCAGGCATTTGCAGTTTGCAGCATTGTCTTCGTGATCTACCGTGCTCTCAAATGGTGCTCCTACAACATTGAGCTGATCAACAGGCAGATCATTATCACACAAGCCATCATGACACAGAAAGAGATCACCTTCCGAGATGGCATGGGCTTCAAAGAGCAACTCCTCAAGAAGCGGGACATCTACCTGAGGCTGCGGCTGGTCTGCGCCGTCTACACCATGGTCTTTGCCATCGTCACCACCATGGCCACGTTCCTCACCGAGTTCGCCTGGGTCAAGGAGGTCACGTTCGAGGTCCCGGAGATCCTCGTCTTCACGGCGCTCGGGCTGATCTTCCGGTTGCGAGACTTCAGCGTCTACGAGAACATTGAGATCATCGTGCCGCGGGAGAGGTCGGCGGTGATGTTCTTGCCATACCCTGACATGCACTGGCCTAAGAGGCAGAAGATCATGATGGCCTTCCCCCTGCAGCCGGTGGAGGAAGTGGTCTGTGAGGAGGAGAAGGCCTTGCTCAAGGACACCTGAGATTACGATCAAAGACACCGATGGGTTTAGTGTGTGAATTCAAATCGTAATGGCAATGTACTAGACGTCGATGTGCTTGATGGTGCCGCACGGTTATGCATAAAGCAGTCACAACCACCTCCACCACCATTGATCTTGACAGTTCTCCTGCGCACGTTCGTCTTGTTTGATCCGACGCTGGGAAAAGATGCCTGGGAGGTGAAAACGGCAAGTTTATCATTCGGATCGACAGCTATGTGATGTCATGTGGCATTGCACGTAGGAAGAAAGACATCAATGCATCTTAAAATAATGAGAACATTTACAATGGTTATTACCATGCCGGTATGGGGTAGTATCCAATAACCTATCACCATCTCCCTAGTTGTACATAACTCATTAACACTGTAACTTGTTGTCAGAAGGTGTAAAACAATGAAAAGTCACAATGCAACTCTACAAAAAGGCCTTGAATCATCTTATACTCAATAGGTGTAGTGTGGCCTTTGATGTTCAAAGAAGTTGGTGTCTTTTCAGAAACGAAGTCCCCCGTTCCTACTTTTTTATGCCATCTATTCCTCCCTTTAAATGTTGGCATCATAAGTGATGTAACTCAAGATGGCTAGTTTTGGTGCTAAAGTTATTTTTGCATACAATTTTGCTCTCTCGTAAAATTCTAGTTATACTAGAGAGTATGGTATGAACTCATGTTAGGAGTATTGTGTACAAGCGGTCTGCTTGAGCTGCATACGCAAATGGTGAAAGTAAATGTATGTTCATTCTTCTTCAAAGTAGTAGAAGCTTTCTTGACTTTAAACGTAGTCATAACAAAAATCACATCACTAGTTTGAAGAAAATACCACCTACGCACTTAGGTAGCATTTTATGCAAGAAAGTTTGTATTTGGAATTACCATCAAGACAATTTTATCAGGATTTACTTTACAAAACAAGGTTCAATAGAAACAGCTGTTCTCCGACATGCACCTTACAAATATTTTCTACTGTCACAACAGTGTCCAGAATATTGCATAGAATACTCCTGTAAGTTACTCTTTTAGGATCAAGTAGATCCACTAAGAGTTGAATTTATTGCAATCATAAATGTGTGGAAAAATCACAGTTTGTTTTGAGGAAACAAGGATTTGAAATGTTGATCTTTTGAACTTTAGCACAAAGAGGGAGATGGCCTTTGATTGCTATTTTGCAACTGATTACTTTAAACAATTGATTGATCATAAAATAGATCAAAATGTTACCATGGTTGATTGCTATTAAAGCTTTGTGTTTTTTAACTGTTATAGTATGCAGATTGCTTTGATCATTCAAAGCAGCTCACATACTCTGTTCTATTATTTGATTAATAAGAAAACGGGATGCAGAAAAGTGAAAGTATGTTCATACACATTACAAAGTTATCTCTTTTTGAGAAGAGAAAAAACAATGATGGAAATGACTTTCCATGTATTCAGATGCACTACTAGTTTATCTAGACACATATATTTTGTATCATCCATTTATGTAGCTTTCAGTATACATGTACAATGGCTCTGCATTTCTTGATGTCTTTTTTTTCTTTCTTTACTTTTTTCTTCATTAAGGGAATGTGCAAATATAAGGTAGTTTAGAACATTTTAGCCTATATTGTTTTCATATAAACCACAATGTAGCAAATGAACAGTCCATTGTTGTTTATTTTGCTGGATATCAAGTAATTTCGTCAAAATGGGAATTGTATATACCTGTTACAATGTGTGTTGTAGATCAGAAGTGACATGGAGTCATCCAAATCATGAATCAAAGGTGATTAACCCATTAGCAACTAGAGATTTTGTGAAAATGGCCTTTTACTCACTGGAAGATGTTGCAATATTACTCTCATTTTTACATTGTTCTGAACAATATGAAACATGCGCTATTTTTCTATGCAGAATCCTACTGTAGACATTGTAAGGATTACGCACGTATAACATTATCAGGGTAGACCCCATAGAGGGATACTACAGCGCGTTGAAAACGGAGGAAAACGGGCAGGCAGTTTTGGGCGTTTCAGTGAGTAAAAGGAGGGGCGGTTTCAGGTGGTTTAGTTGCTTAAGGGATAATAACAAAATACCATATATATCAACCTAAACTGGGATCAGTGATTTTCTATTTGTACTCCTTTTCCCAAGCATTACAAAATTCAGAGGTTCACACCCCCCCAAAAAAAAAAAATAAATAAATAAATAAATAGTAATAATAATAATAATAATACCTAAAGATTCTTCCCCTCCAACAATTTGGATAGTACATGGTATCTATTTTTAATCTCTGTTGTTGATTAATAATAATTATAACAGGTACCAAAATATCAAAAAATATTTTTGAATGAAATTTTGTTGGATGTCTTGTGGTGGTGGAGCGAAGGCTAGAGTTGTAATAGTCTTTCGGATTCAGTCTTACATGAGCGACCTCAGTACAGGGTATAAGTAGTCCTTCTTCTTGATCAGTTAAGTTGATACAGTCAAACCTGTCTATAGCGACTGCCCAAGGGAAACACAAAAAGTGGTCTTTGTAGACAGGTTCGGTTAGTACGTGTTTCAATGAGAAACCATTTTCAAAGGAAACCAAAATGTGGTTGTTGGATACAGATGGTCTTTGTAGACAGGTTCCTTTAGTACATGTTTCAATGAGAAACCATTTTTAAGGGGAACCAAAAATGTGGTTGTTGTAGACAGGTGGTGACTAAAGCAGGTTTGACTGTACATGTATGAATGTGAACGTGTGTACCAAAGATACAAAGCCCCTGAAGTGCAAGTCTGATTTGTGAGACATGTAGAATGATTGGAAGACTTTTCTTTTATTTTCTTCATATATGTATCATTGTTCATTAACTCCAAACAATTGTTATGTAAGAATGAAACTTCTAACTGCATTCTGGGTTTGCTAAGATGTAGCATGATTGAAATATTTTTGTTTTATTTTCTTCATTTGTGTATCATTGTTAATTAACTCCAAACAAATGTTATGTAAGAATGAAACTTCTTACTGCATTCTGGGTTTTGCTAAGAAGTAGTAGTCATACTTTATTTGAATTGATATTAATAAAATGAAGACTCTTGTCCATTTTGTTTCATGACATATAAACAAAAAATGGAAAACCTAATATAAAAAGTCCCCAAGCCCAACATCTCATACTCTTTGATTAAATAATGCAATTTTTATTTATAATTCAGATGCAAAAATTGTTGAAATAATTTTGATAAAACTATAAATTTTCTCATTGCAATAGGGTTATTGGTTTAATAGGAATATTTTGTTTCTTTTTTCACCATATATCATATTTACTAGTAGAAGTAGCAGCATGCAGACATTCATGGATGCTAGCAGGTTTATCGGCCGCAAAAGTTGCTTGACTTGGCTGGTCATATTTTTTTTTCTCCGTAGCATCCTGAAGTCGGTATTAGTTATGTGACTTTACTTGTATATGTATGGGACTTGGTCATCCATCTAAAATATTTAGATTTGTTAAAGGTATCCATGTAAAGTGTTTAATCATTACAATGAGCATAAGAATATTTTGATTTTTTAATTCAATTTCATATCAAACTTCAGTGCATGTGATATTGATATTGTAAGGCACATGAGGTGTTGTTTACAAAAGCTGTGATATACCAGTAACTGTTATTCAACTAATTACCATGAAGTTCATTGTTATGTTGGTGTTGAACTGGGCTCCATTTCACAAAACTTGTCATCAGTGACAAATTACAGTTTTTGTTATAAGCTAGTGAAATCCTTGCTTCTGATTGGTTGTCAGCAGATTTGTCACTGATTTTTATCATTGTCATTGAAAAAAGGCTTTGTGAAAGGGGTCCCTGGTCTGATTTGCCAGGAAGCTGGTACCGGCATTGTTTACTGTTGTTTTTTTAACTGTCGAAATGAAAATTTACTTTACTTTGATATGCATTTGTATAATACTCATTTTCTTAAAACCAAATTGAATGATTACAAGGAGTAGATAGTTGCCCAAAGTTTAAAGACACAGATGTGATGGTGTTGAAACTCAATTCTTAGCTGATTCCTATTCTTTATCAACTAGAAGAGTTGGGTCATGGAAGCCATTTGGAGATAACAGTAGCTTCCAAGATACTGTTACCCGATTTATTGTACTTAACCAATGGCGTACAGAAACCAGATTGTCCGGATTAACCTTACAAGAATAGCATAATTTGAATAGAACGAGTCAAACTTTTAATAGTACATCATCCTTTTCAGTATCAGTATTGTTACATATAGCATCATGTGGATCTGTATTGCAAAAAAGTGCCAAATTCAGAGATAAAACGATGAGTATTTTTAGAAACGGTCAATTGGACATCGTTTAAAAAATGTGAGGTATCGATTGGACTACAGCATAAGGAACTCAGGTGAGAAGGATTTGCTACATTGGTAAATGTTGCACGATAGGGTGTAGCAAATTTTATATTTTTGTATTGGCTGGGGTTATGTGACATGAGGTGAATACACTTTAAGCAAGCATGTTATAAAAACGTGTTTGGTATGTTTCTATTACGAAAATTTTCCTGAAAATGATAGTTTCTAAATCTAAAAACTTGAAATTTGAAACACTGTAACTCTAGCAAATTGAAAACTATTTTTGTCATTGAAAGAGGGATGATCTGTGACTTTAAGAATAATCTTATCAATGTAAATTGTGCTATCAGGTATAGCGAATGTAATGTGTTGGAAAAATTGTTGAGTAGAAGGATAGGAGAGAGAGAGAGAGAGTCGGTCAGTCAGAGAGAGTCAAAGATATGTATATAGTTAAGGAGGGTCACAGAGAGAGAGAGAGAGAGAGGGGGAAAGTTAGGGAGAGACAGAGAGAGAGATTATTTACATTGTATGCCATCATTAAATTGATAAAAACAAATCCTTTAATTTTGCAGCTGCCATCTAGTGTGATTACATGCATTCATTTTCTATTTTTTCAGTTTTGTTCTTACACTTTTTGAATTCATTTGTCAAGGGTGATATCACTGGGGATTAAGGAAAATAGTCAATCCGCATGTTGATATTAGAAATACATCACAGTTTTGTATCCATGTATGAACTTGTAATAATCCACTGTTAATGGATAACATATATTATTCAGTTCGATATACATTCAGTTATGGTTATGTGACTTTATATAATTCTTTGTTTTAATGCTTTAAATACTGTAAGCTGTTACCCCCTGTGAGAACCTCAATAGTATTGTACGTATTATTTTTATACTTATATACCGTAAATGCATTCAAGTCATGGTTATACCTCATGTGATGGTATGCTAATATGCTTATATCTCAATTACAATGTTGTAAAAGATAGTGATTAGTTGATGTTTTTATATATCTTGATACGGGCCACATATTGGTATGTAGGTGAGCTATCGGTCATGCGAACAAGCTTTATGTATTCGTTAACAAATGAATATAAATTGTGCCTATTTCTGAAATATTCTGCTTTTGGCCGTGTTTTGCATGTTTGATGTAGGCCTACTTTTCAAAGATGGAGAGAGAAAACAAAACAAGAGGGAGAAAGCAAGAGAGAGAGAGAGAGAGAGAGAGAGAAGCGGGAGATAGGAAGTCAGATGTGGGGAGACAAAGAAAGAGGCACTGAGAATTAGAGAGAGAGAGGGAAGGAGCGAGAGAGAGAGAGAGAGAGAGAGAGAGAGAGAGGATGTGGATAGAGAGAGAGATAGCGAGAGATGGGTGGAGGGAGAAACGATAGAGAAAGAAAGGTATGGGTGGAGAGGTACAGAGAGAGGAGGGAAGGAGCGAGAGAGAGAGAGAGAGAGAGAGAGAGAGAGAGAGAGAAAGAAAGCGAAGGAATGAAAATGAAAGTCATAAACGGAAGCTTCGATTAAAATTGAAGCTACTATTTATTAACAAAGTTATCACAAACGATGTAGGCCCGAACTGGTACTTTTGAAGAACAATTCATGCATTTAATGATCAAGCCGATGTAAAGAGCAACATATACAGGGATTCACAAAACGCAAAGATCCAATGACAACAAAGCCTGAAAAGCAACATGTACATGTTTTACGGATATACTCTCATAGGCGTAGAGTGTGGGGCAACAAAATCACATTTTAATTTTTGCCGGCAAATTATGAAGTATAGGCTTGTCGGAAAATCGCAAAAAAAAAGCTACTTATCATTCTGGAAATATTTTTCGGAAACTTTGGCAATATCCTTGCAAATTTGAATATGAAGACCCTTTCCATTTCTAGCTTGATGGGAGGGGGGGGGGGGGGTATTTGTTGTAACTTTTGTAATTTGGTCTGATATCCACTCCCTTACCCAACCTCAGAATGTTCTGAAAACTCCCTTGTACCCCCCCCCCCCCTCTCCTTAAACAAAACCCACACAAAGGGGGAGGGGAGGGGAGAAATTGCCTTGATAAGCAACTCTCATCGATTATCACAACCTATAGAGAAGGCGTTACCTTCAAACCGAAAACCTTTTTGAATCATTTGTGAGAATATATTTGCCGAATATGTACAGTGCTTCTGATCAATATCAATCAGTGATAGATTACAACCACCCGGGCCCCTCCCTAAGCATACTGAACGATGATTGGTCTAAAGTCCCAGTGAGAGGCGGTCGCTTATTGGACAAAACTGAGATTAAGAATATATGTGATGATGAAAACAGAATTGACAACATAAAACAGGTGTAACCGATGGTGAATATTTTTTGTATAACATTGAAGTTATTGAAAAGGAATATTTGCTTGTTGGTCTTAGGGATGGACAAAGAATAAAATTACAAAGATCCAGCAAATGAAAGATAGGTCTACGCAATAAATATGATATTCTCTACCCGAGAGCTCAAGTGGAGGAAACGCGACATATGTGATATACGATTCATGAAATATTTCTGTAACTATTGATTAAAAATAATGTTCCCTGACCCCACCCATTTTTCACATTCCCCTTTTTACTTTCCATTCTCGTTCCCGCCCTGCATCCCTTTCTCGTCTTCTCTCTTGATTAATTTCACAATGGGCTATATACATATCTCTCTCTTCACCCGTACCCTTCTTTCTCTCTCTCTCTCTCTCTCTCTCTCTCTCTCTCTCTCTCTCGGTGGGGTGTTGATTTTTAGGCTGCATTGTGGAAAATCCTCAGCACGCCCAATGCCAAGTACGGGAGTTTGTTTGCATGTTGTCGTTTGTTTTTCGGTGTTGTTTGTCAGAATAATTATCAACAAAGCTAATGCTAATGTGATAATTTTTTTTTTTGGAATGGGGTAGGGGTGGGGGGCTGTCAGAGAATATCGGACTTCGGTTCCGGAGAATCTTGGATCCGTCATTGGTGTAGCATAACTTTCCACCTTCAGCACACGAAGTGAAGAAAAAGAAATCGCTCCCTGCACCCGGTCTCTCTTGTAATACTAATATTTTAGGGGAATTCATCGCCTTGAAGCACATTTTTAAAAACATTCTGTGCCACCCCGCCCCCCCCCCCTTTCTCCCCCTATTCCTGGGGAACGAATAATGTAAAGGTGGTGTATCTACACTCACGGTTGTCCTAAAGCATAGACAACGTCTAGAAGAAGGTCGATATCAATGGGTTATGATCATTATCATCATGCTGTGGTCAGTGACCCGGTCATCTTTTACAAATATTTTGCAGAGCTTAACTTTGGATTCATTGAATTTGTTTAACATTAAATAATAATAATAATATTTCGCTTTTATAGCGCTTTAATAATAACTTTGTTTGGGTAGAGTCAATATCAGGATAGCAGGGAGGGGGTGTGGTCTTGACCTGACTGGAATATTTAAATTCAAATTCAAATTCAGATTTAAGTTGATTATAATCCAAATGTATAGGATCATATTCTTAATTTTTTAAGCAAAGGATAACAAAACTAAAATGTATAGTGTAAGAAAAGTAATTGTGTGCAAATGTCAAACTAATTACAATAACAAGAAATTGCAAAAGATTACTACTATCACGTGCTTCTTCTGGAATATGATATAGAGATGATGATGATTTACATTTCTCATGATTCTTTTCATATTTTTCAGCGAGGAAATAAACAAATATGATAATGAATGAAATTTTAAGAGAACACACAAGCCCTCATCCTTATAAGTATGCTAGATTGGGGGTAGGATATCCTTTTCTAGGGTATTGGAGGTTGAAATTTTACATACATTATAGAGCACCTGTGAATATACCATCTCATTATCATTCTTAATGTTATCATTCTTTTTATCATTTTTCTTTTTATTATTATTATTCTTATTATTATTACTATTATTATCATTATTATTATCATTATTATTATTATTATCATCATCATCGTCATCATCGTCATCATTATTATGTGAGGAAGCGAAACAACCGAGCGAGAAATTTTGTTCTTTTTACGTACCAAGAAACTTTGCCTTATATGTCATTATAAGCCTCTGTGCATGTTCTGAATGAATGGATACCTTTACAAGGGAGCGGGGGTAAGTGCCTAGCTTATGCCCCTTAGTGGGACCGCAACAATAGTTCCATCCTAATTTTTCATTAATGCGTTATCAAAATTTCCTTTCAGAGAAAGGGAGGGTGCAGGAAATAAAGTCATGTCAAAAGAATTGACATTATCAGAGCGTGGCATTCCTGAGCAATGTTAGTGCAGCGCGGTTTCCTTCAAACAACAAGCCAATGTCAACACACGTCAAGCCTGCTTGCCTATCACCCATTATGAATCCGCGGCAATGAGTTATCCAGTTACATCAATTATCCTCCTCATTATCATCTTCTTCTTTATCTTTCCATTCACGCACGATAGAGGTAGAACGGACCATGCACATAATGACGGTGGCCAGTTAGATCTGATGAAGGAGGCATCCCGCAGTTCGCGAGACTCTCTCTACACGATCCTGGCTCGATTTCCCTTATAAGGTCGAACAGATGACAATGCTCCTTTGGACTCTACCATTTTTCTTGAGGAACTTTAGAACAAACTTTCTCATCAATTTGCAATTAATTCAACGCAAATATTCCTACTTTCAATCAGCCACAAACATCTAATAACTTTTTTCTTATAGCGGATGTTTCGATTTGCTAATGTTTTATCAGAAATTCCGTTTTCATTTTAAAATACTTTACAATGCTCAAATTATCCCCGCCAACTATTTGGAAGAGTCTGGGTGATAAGGGTTCCAATCACCTTCGAGCGGGCGCGTGTATCGCTCACTCTATCACGGCTCTCCGCTCAGTAAGGCGTCCTTTTTTCGATTGAGTCCCGCTAGGAAATAAGAAAGAAAACAAAATGGTAAGTTTTTATATTCTTCTAATTCATCATTAACTGCTCATCTTTAATTATTTTGCTGTTTCATCGATTTGATTATTTTGTGTTTTCTTTGATTCGTTGTCATTTTGATGTTGTACTTATTCGATTTATGCCGAATGCTTTGGTGGTATAAAAGTTATTCCAGATTGAACCTTGTTTCCTTATTTTATTCAAACAGATTTGAATTGAGAAAACGATATGCGAAAAGTTGAATTTCAATTGTCTTCGTTTTCAAAGATTTAAACGAATTTGTTATAATCTAATTCATTCGTATTCTTCAAAGTTTTAACAAGTCTATCATTAACAACTTATACCTTTAAATGTAATGCTTAGAGACAGTGTGATACCGGTACCACTGATATGGCGAACTGAAAAAAAGAGAGCGAAAGCAACTATTGATTTACCTTCAATATAAATCGTCAAAATCAAGGCATTTATACGTTTAACTTAATTGATTTCATTTTGAAAGAAATAAAACTTCAGGTCATGTTTTAAAAGTATTTGGAGTTATGCATAGTTTGGTAGGCCTATTGGTCTATGACTTTCGCTATCTCATACATTTAAACGCGTCAGGCGATGCCTTAAAAAGTTTTAGAATGTCATATAAACTGATTTGACAGATTAAGCATATTTCATATCATGTCCGCCATCCTGCTACACGAAATGATCACCTTTGCAGCAAAACTTCACCGCCATTTTGAGATGTAACTTGACGATGCTCGTGTACCCTGGCATGAAATTAACCCTATAATTATGACGTCATGTAACCTTGGTTCAATGCGCATGGGTCTGTATGATGTCATGACAAAGCAGCGAGGAGATAGGTATTGCAGGAATGCAGCCGGTCTTCTACATGCATCCATGTCCAGGCCAGTGCCCAGGCAGTCGATTGCCCTTTCCATTACCAGTTCATTAAAGATGCTTCCAGATTTGACTTTTCGTCCCACTTATGTTTTCTTTGAATTTCACTTTTCTTTTTCAATTTTGACTTTCGAGCGCCATTATCAGTAATCATAAACAGTTAATGAAATTCTGCTCCAAAAGGGAACAAAAATCGTTCTTTGCATTTTAGCTTTCTCCTAAGTTACTTGCATACTTTTCTAAATTGATGTTGGAAGTTATAAAGAAACTAAAAGTGAAACAAAATAGTTTTATTCTGCCTCGAATTGACTCCTCCTTAAAATATTCCTTTTGCTATGTAGATATCATTCTTTGCAATACTTTTTCTCCCGCGAACTTATTCATAAACTGTGCCCATTGTTCATTTTGTTGCATCGAATTGTATTAGGGTGCCCTTATTTGACAAAATGTGACATATTTTCCCTTCTCAGACAGAGAATTTCTTCTTTTTACCCCAGGATATGAACCTCGTTTGATTAAAATATTTAATTGACCTGGAGCCAAGGCTACGGCGTGCATGCGTTGGTAGTTATCACATTCCATATTTCCTTATTCAGTCACATACCGGAATGGAATGCCTGGTATGTCAGTAGCCAGGCATACACTCCGCAGTGCTTTAGCTGGAAGTCCCCCGCGCGGGTGCGTTTGCCCTTTAACATTATGAATTAAAGTCGCAACTATATATTCCAACTCAACTCCATTAACATATTATTCATGAAAAATAAATCGATTTCGTAGTGAATATGTACATTGTCAAATCAAATCAAATGATTATTCAATTAAACTTACACATTCCTCAACTTTTCTGTTCGCAACTCAATATAGTCCTATATGTTATTTTTAACCGGCCATATAGTTATATAGGTAACAATTGATAAGAATTATTGAATTAATATATTCTTACATATTTCGGTTTCATTTTAAATATTTAATTAACAGAGTGTTACCTTTCGCCAAAGCGATATACCACACTCACACACATACACAAAGAAGGGAATATACGCACATCCCAAACGGTATATAGTCCTATATTCCTGCGGATTGCTGGGCGACGACTGTATGCCTCTTATACATACAGTATGAAATATAAAGTAATCAAAATGAATATAGCTTCCAATGAAGCTTGTTAACAAGACTTCCGATGGAATACAAAAAACATTAGCATAAAGTATTTATTTGTTCGTTTTCTTTTAACCATTTTCTCATTGCATGAGGGAGAGGAAAAAAATGTATTAAAACAAATTTGAAATTTAATTTTTTTTTTCCTGTATGTGTTTTAGGAGGGAGGGGGAGTGAAGTGAGTAAATAATTAATATTACGACTGAAATTCCATCATCAAATGGGAGGGAATATCAAAATAATCAAGAGCTTGACCATTTTCTTTTAACAAGATTAATTCAGGTTTTCTCAACAGTTACATCTTTTCTGACTGCCTAATAATTCACACGTATAGATGTTATCCCCTAGCGATAAAAATGTTTGGTTATTGTGCTTTTTGGTCTTTAAAACAAACATTAGAATCGCTAACACGTCATGATTCGTTTTCCTGTCCCTCTTTTGTGTCCTCCAAATTAAAGACGTTCGTCAAATATTGATATACAACAATGCTCATCATGGCGTGTCCATATATCACACGAACCCCGTGCATCATTATTATCAACATACTGACCTTTCTTTGTTGGGATTTACAAAACAATGTCGATTTCTAAATAGAATGAATTTTCACAGATATAGAATATTGTTCCAAACTTGGGATGCTATTTTGGAAAAGCAATTCACAGATTATCTTGAACACTTAATAAATAACAATGACGAACGAACACCGAAAATGTGTTCCTTTTCTTCGATCAATAATTATTTTATGTCATCTTTGTACTTTCCAAGTTCCAAAATTGAGTTCAGAAAACAAAAGAAACAAAACAAAGAAAAGCAAGAAAATGTTTTTGAAAGCAAATTATGATTAACCAATGCGTAATTTAAGTTCCTTTGATCTTTATTTTGATATATTAAATGGAAGACTTCTACGGGTCCTTACGTTTTTTCTTAGTGTTTTGAAAATTCAAATTTTATTGATTAGATGATAAAGTCTTGTGGAAAAGCGGAAAACGTACAGATTGTATATTTATCATGCAACCGGTCACATTGTCGATGTCTTTGATCACATTGTTTCCATGGCAATATATTCAACGACATTTCATGTGAAGAATGAAGTAATTTCTTCTATACAGCCAATCTTAAAATATTACTATTCTTTAGAAATGATGTAGCTCTTTTCGGTATTTGAGGCGAGGTTAGTCTGCTAATTTGTTCCAAAGAAAACGATTTATATTCATTTATGTCTGAGGACTGCTATTTTGAGGTCGAAACAATCACATGCAGAGTAGAGTATATACTTAGCTTTACATTAGAAAAGAATCGCTAGTCGATGAGTCATAAAACTAAAAGGAAAAATATCTAAACCTTATACAAGATCCTTACATTGTTACAACCGTAGTGCCAATAACTTGTTTAGGGGTACATGTAAACATGTGACAATTATACGCCAAGATCACTTTTATTGCAAAGTGTATTCTTTATAGTTTCAAAGCCTTTCATCATGAAAGTTTCATTTGTGATTTAATTGGCATAGACAAAAAATAACACTTGAAAACAAAATGAAAACCGACCCGACGTGAAGAAAAAACCTCCATCAAATAGAATAATGACATGACGGAAGATTAGTGCTACATTAGTCACAGCTCAAACAAACGAAGAAAGACTTTGACAATTGCTGCGTAAACTTTACTTTTTCAATATAAACCCGCAATATGCCAGAGTTTGTATATACCGAACAAGACTGAAAACTGAATTTATTTTAAAAAAATCCCAAACTGCTGATGTTCTCATGTATTAAGAGCTGAAACAAAAGACTGACTAATGAACAAAACAATAAACTAATTAGTGAACCCACAGCTGTTGTACTACTAATGTGAGTTTACATGGGTTTGGTAGAAAACAACAGCACATGGCTGTACATGACTGGGCATGAGGCGAACTGTTTCGTTCAAGCTGAGCTTCTAAAGGGGCCCTAAAATCATTCATTTTGTGAAGTAATCAAGTTAATATAATTATCTTGATTAGTGTATTATTACTAGTCTCTTTTTTATGTAAAACATTATATCATGTTTTGAGTGGTTTTGAATAAAATGAACTTGAACTTGAACTTGAACTTCTTGGTTGAATATACATGAACCATTCAGTAGGTACCGTGAACAGAATTGGAAAACGAACATCTTCAGAACAGTGCCCCAAGAACTTTTCTAAATGTTCTCGTATACATTTGTTTGTTAATATCAATCGAATGTTACATCGCTCACATCATAAATGATCAAAGTATTACCCTCACCCGTTCCTTTTCTCCCCATCCCTTTCAATATATTCAACACCAATGCAGGTAATTCTTGTAAATTATTAAAGTCTTTCCTTCAATTATGACCAATTTAACAAATAATTATGCACGTCTTAATTTGCATTATAGTTTTGTTTTCTTCATCCAATCATTCGGTTTTATTCGATACGGCGTTTTCAAAGTTGAAAATGTAAAAAATACGACACAGCTCTTCTTTTGAAACCTGTACTTTCGTCGACCTTCGATCACGATTTCAATCTCGAATTCCTTTTTTTCCCCTTCTCCTTTTTTCCTTCTACAGGCCAGCAAGAAGAAGACCGGATCAAAGACGAAGAAGCGCGCACAGCGTGCGACTTCTAACGTCTTCGCCATGTTCGACCAATCTCAGATCCAGGAATTCAAGGAGGTGAATTTATTTTGTTGATATTCATCATCATCATTAACAAGTTTTATTTATTCTGTAAACACTTTTAAGTTTTAGAAAGACTACTTGAAAATTCTCACTCGCGAGTGATTCAACTAAGGAGGTGCATTTTGTTCCCAACTTTGGCAGACTCTAAGTAAAATTTGGGACAAAAATAGTGCAGATTCCAAGCTACATCCATATTTGAAGGTAGCACTACCATACATTTCGCCTATAAATTTAAAATAACTTAATTTAAGTTTTAAAGAAAAAGAAGAACGGATAAGTTTGAATGAATTGATTTCAGTTTACCACCATGCAGCCCCATTTGTTTCCTTTTCGTAAATTCAGTTTAGAAACACTATCCATTGCATGTTGGGCTACGGATGTCTAGAAACGTGGTATTTACAAAACGTCGGGGCAAAATTGTCTGTTTATCTTATGAAATATCCCAATTATAGTCTCAATTAAACATGAGCCCATGTCATAAAGAAATTTCAAAGAGTTTTTTGTTTGTTATTAATTACATTTTTTTTATTGTGCTAGATTATTGCAATGAGCAGGAGCACGAATTTGGAGGTATGAACAATTTCTACAGTCTAATGAAAGACTGAGTTTAAAAAAATTATGTGTTTACACAAAATCAGGAAATGAATATGAGTTTCAATGATTTGTTTTTAATATACTGATGCTCCTTTTAACTCTGTAAATATTTTGTTTATATATTTTTCTTCCAGGCTTTCACACTGATCGATCAGAACCGTGATGGTTTCATTGATAAGGAAGATCTTCACGACATGTTGGCTTCCATGGGTAAGGCAATTAAATACTAACATTAAAAAAGATTTATTGCGGCAAATCCACAATAGTCTTAGAAAATAAATCTTTATTACCATTGTCAGAAGTTTTTAAATCTTCTGTTTCTCCTCTTAAGTGCTAGATTTTTGTTTTCCTTTTTGTCGGTAAACTTTTTGGCAAGTTTTGTTCGACACCTAGGTAACGGCGTCTGCACAAGCATCGTATAATAATTATGCATTAGGCTCAGATTTTGCGTGATTTATAAACTAAATTTAAAGCTAAATACATTAAAAGGCTTGTAGAGGAGTTTGTAGCAAATGTCTCTGTTGATTATATTTCGACGCTTCATCACGATAGAAAAGTAATCCTACCTATAAACGATTTTCGTTGTTGTATTTATTATTTTGAGAAATGATATAATAATATTGCCAAGTTTCATTATGTACTAACATGCTACACACACAATCACTGTTTACCTGTCGTAATAGCGCTGGTCTATATAACTTGTCATTTTAATCCAGGGTTAACTTAAGTCTATAGGGCTCATTATTGACACCTTTTTTATCATAAGAAAAGCCTCACCTGCTGGTGTCTAGCTTTGTTGGAGACGCATTTGTTTTCAGGAGCTTGTGAATAGTTTCTTATCGTTTGTATAAAGTAGCACCTTTGTAGGAGTTTTGTTTTCATCACAGCGCAGTTGAATTCAGTTAGTTAAGTAGCTGCGTTATATAAATCGATAGAATTACTTTCATTTATTTATAGTTACGAAATTGAATCAAGAACGAAATGATAATAATGATTATGGTATTGTATTTTGACAGGTAAGAACCCCACCGACAAAGAGATGGACGAGATGATGGGTGATGCACCCGGTCCAATCAACTTCACCATGTTCCTCACATTATTTGGTGAAAGGTTAAATGGTAAGTCTCCTTTTTCTACTTAGTGGCGTATCCGGAGGGCCTGGGGGAGGGGGCACGTGCCCCAAGAAAAAAATATCTTATGTACACGTCGAATATAAAACATAATGTGCCCCAACCCCAATTGCCCAACCAACTTCACTAAGTTCCTCATATTATTCGGTGAAAGACTAAATGGTAAATATCATCTTCCTAATACATGGAATTCTTTTCTTTTCTCCTCCTTTCTATCATTCGACTCTTCTATGCTTGCCCTCCTCCCACTCTCCCCCCCCCCCCCTGCCCATGGTATCTACTCCATAGACCATCTTATATATCAATTCCCAACGTTAAATTATTTCGATGACAATTTCAAGGTAATGAAAACGGTGTTCAGTATTATTCCAGGAAGATATGAGATGAAAGTAATCCAAATGATCTTTGAACGGGTGTGCAACGGAAGCACCGTGGTATATAATAGTTCTTATCTATCGCCAGGTTCGATCCTTGCTCCGTGCTTATATCCTCGGACAAGGTGTATACGCACATTGGTCCCCCTTAAAGATAAAGTTGAGGTTTGGTCATGCGATTGCATTATGAAAGAAACGGTGTGGAATAGATCAGAACAGTTTGATCATCTATATAGCATATACGTATATGTGTGTACTGCAAAGTTCTGGAATCATCAAAATTATAAGAAATTCGGCCCAATCTTGGTAAAGTTACACTGTACACAGAAATATGTATATGGGACTACACGAATATTTGGCATAAAAATCCGTCCCGATTTTTGCTGTTACATGCCATATTTAGAATATTATTATTAAGGCATTTAAAGAACCATGCTTTTCAGAGAACATTTTTTATCTGATGTTCTTCCACACTTGCATTATATCAATGATAACTCTCACAAATTATTTTTCACCTCTTCCCACAACTCAACTTTCTTTTTAAGTTAAGTTGCATTGATGATTAAATAGATACGTTGCAATGCCTATGATTATAGAGCCCTCAAGAAGCGAAGTACTGATAAAGCTACCCTTGTAGTATTTAGGAACTCAAAGACATAAAACTAGATACAATGAATTTAGAAGTTGAGATGATTTAATCTATTCCAAGATGTCCGATCATATTGTCATCATGTGTACATAAAGGGGATTGAGCCCTCGACGTTGACTGTTAGCACAGTCTTACAAACACAACATATTTCCCTCCTTTAAAGAGATGAATAATGTTATATAACTAAGTCCAGATATGAGTTCAAAAGTTTATGAGTCCAGAAAATAAAACTTGTTTATTAACAACAAGCCTGAAATTTTATTAACCTATATTGAGCAATTGTTTCATATGAGTCCAAAACTTAAACGTTCCAGTTTTTTAATTTCTATGCTCAATACTTGTCGGCTCTAAGGATTTAAGATCTGTAATCTCGTAGATATCCAGGTCGTCTCCTTAGACGCTGAGAACGACGAACAGTTCGCGGTTCTGCTCGCTGTTGCTCTTGATCTTCAGTGCTTGTAGGGAATGGAAAGGTGTCTTCCCAATCGCTTTCATTCATGTTGCCTGGCTTGCTCGCGATAAGGCGTCTGGTGTTCCATCGCGTTCCGTCATCTAGTACAAATGCATTCGAGCCGAGCTTCTTCACGATCTGTTTGGGTTTCGATACCCCCGAAGCTAGCTTGTGCTTGCGATTTGGACGCTTTACACGAACCCAGTCACCGATAGCGAATTTCGGTGTGATTGCTCGTCTGCGTTTGTCAGTGTACGCTTTCATGCTTTGCTGTTTCCTCTCAATCTCTCTCGCTTCAGCCTGTGTGCTTGCAGGCTCTGAAACCGGTGGTTTCAGGATGTTGAATGGCATACGGAGGTTCCGTCCCAACATCAACTCTGCTGGAGTCTTTCCGGTTAGCGAATGAGGTGTTGAGCGATACGTGCGTAGTAGGGTCTGGATGGCCTTATCGAAGGTCATTCCATCTGCGAGATTCGCTTTCAAGCTCTCCTTAATTACCCGGTTGAAACGCTCTACGCCGCCATTGCTTTGAGGGTTGTAGCGAGTTGTGAGGCGATGTTGAATTCCATTAACGGCTAGGAATTCTTCGAACTGTTCAGACGTGAACTGTGGTCCATTGTCCGTGGTGATAGATTCTGGAAGACCCCACTTGGTAAACATCTTCTCCAAGATGCTAATGACTGATGTCGTAGTGACTGAGCTTGTTGCTGCTATCTCAGGCCACTTGCTATGGAGGTCGTGTACAACTAACAAAAATCGCTGACTTTGGGGAGCGGCTTGGACTTCCCCAAAGATGTCGACTTGAAGTTGCTGCCATGGCTTCTTCGGCCATGGGGTCGGCTGCAGTGGTGCTGGCCGCGGTTGAGTTTTCTCGCTGAGAGTACACGCTTCACAAGATCTAACGAGATCTTCTACGCGTCGATCGATCGCTGGCCACCAGATTGCTTCGCGACATCGTTGCTTCATCTTCACCACACCTGGATGACTTTCATGTGCGGTTTGTAACACACGATGTTGAAGCGATTTCGGGATTACCGCTCGGGTGCCACGGGCGATACACGTGTCGTCGAAGATAGCTAGCTCATTTCGAACACGATGATATGGAACGAGGTCTTCGGAAATCTCTCTAGGCCATGCTGTTTGGAGATAATGACAGACCTTCTGTAGAGTTGCATCTGCGGCTGACTCTGTTTTCAGCTGCTCACGCGTCACAAGCTTTGCGGTCACGTGAGAGATCACCATAAGAACGTAGTCTTCGACGTCGTCTTCGATGTCGCTTCTTGCATGGCTATCGCGATTGCTATTCGCGTTCGGTGTACGGCTAAGCATATCTGCTACTCGGTTGCGTGAACCCGCGAGATATTCGACCTTGAAATCATATTGGTGCAGTCGATCTGACCATCTGTAGATGCGGAGTGGGCGGTGTCCAGATCCTGAAGTGCTCAACAAGGTTGTTAAGGCTTGATGGTCAGTACGAAGTGTGAACTTGCGACCGTAGAGGTACATATGCCAGTGTTCGCAGGCATAGATGCATGCGAGAGCTTCGCGTTCTCCTGTAGAATACTTTCGCTCTGTGTCCGACAACGCTCGAGATGCGAATGCGACCGGACGTACACTGTCGTCGATCGTTTGCGATAACACTGCTCCGATAGCGAACGCTGACGCGTCTGTAGTCACGTACGTTTCAGCACTTGGAGTGAAGTGAGCGAGAACTGGCGGCTCTGCGATTCTTCCTTTGAGCGTGTTGAATGCGGTCTCTTGTGCGTTGTGCCATTCCCAAAGCGCGTCCTTCCGGAGAAGCTTCTGCAGAGGTTCTGCAATTTCTGCGTATTGTGGCACGAATTTGCGGTAGAAGTTCGTTGTTCCCAAGAATGAGGCTAGCTCCTTCACATTCGTTGGGGCTGGGAGTGTTCGGATAGCTGCAACGTTGTCGAGTGTAGGCGTCAGACCATCTGCAGTGACATGATATCCCAGAAAATCAATGTCCGAAGCAGCGAACGTGCACTTGGCCTCGTTGAGCGTCAAGTTATGCTTGGCGAGGCGCGTCATGACTTCTGCTAATCGTTGATCGTGCTGAGCCTTGTCCTCTCCGAAGACTACCACATCATCAAGGAGATTCAACGTGCCCTCGATTCCAGCTAGAACTGAAGAAACGATTTTCTGGAATGCGCTAGGTGCTGAGTTCAGTCCATAGGGCATACGGCGATACTGAAACATGCCTATGTGTGTGTTGAATGCAGTGAGATGGCGGCTCTGCTCTGCTAGCGGAACCTGGAGATAGCTACGTCTCATGTCTAGTTTAGAGAAAACTTTAGCTCCGTGGAATGAAGCTGAAAGTTCATTCATAGTAGGAAGTGGATACTTATCCGGAATGATTGCCTTGTTGACTGCCCTCAAATCTACACAAAGTCTAAGATCTCCATTCTTACGGCGTGCGATGACCAGATTAGACACCCACGGGGATGAATCGATGCGCTCGATGATGCCATCGGATTCAAGCCTATGAAGTTCCTTTGAGACTTCATCCCTGACAGCTAACGGAAGTCGACGGAGACTCTGTGCAGTAGGTGGGACTGAGGAATCCACCCTTGGTGCATGGCAATATCCTTTGCATTTACCAAACTCGTTGAAAAGTGCAGCATAGCGTTCTCTATACGCATTGTCTATGAGCCGAATGCGTTCACCAGTGTGGTCGTTCATCTGAAATCCTAGGGCGTCGAACAGATTGACTCCCATAAGGCTCTCGCCCTTCGCTATGTAGAACGTAAAGCTGTCGAGATGTACATCCTTGTACCCGACAGGAAGCTCAACCGTGCCCAGAACGGAAATCAGTGTAGGTGGTTCACCATATGCTATGAGCTTGCTCGATGTCGATGACAGGCTACAATGTGAGAAATGTCGATGATACAGTTTATCACTAAGAATTGACACTTTGGCCCCCACATCAATCATCAAAGAGAGGTTAGTACCAGCAATCTGCACTTCACATTCTTTGAACTGACCTGAATTTGCTGAAGAAATCCGGTCTGAGAGTGTGAACACGCTGCTTGCTATGTCGCCCTCTATTGGTTCATCAACGTGTCGAACTGAAGATGCACTTTTCTTGGTAGATCTGCATATGCTAGAGAAATGGTTCATCTTCGAGCACGAATTGCAACGTTTTCCAAACGCTGGACACGCTTTCGGAGGGTGTGTCCGTCCGCAGTTCGAACACGACTTCGAGTTAGCATGGTTAGAGCGGGCTTTGTTATGATATGGTCGTTTGATGTTCTGTACTGGAGTTGCCTGATGTGCAGTATGACTATGTCCTGTACTGGCACTCACAGTCACATCGTGTTGTTTGAGGAGCTTGGCGTCCAGCATTGCGGCTTCGATCTGGATCGCTAGATCGAGCGCCTTCTTAAGTGTCAGACCGTCATCCTCCATTAACAGACGTTCTCTAATACGGGGAATAGACGTCTTTTCGATTAGTTGATCTCTAACCAGTTCATCGTTTAAGGTGCCAAACTTGCACTTGGATGCCAGTTCGGTTATGGCTGCCACATATTGTTTTACTGGCTCCCCATGACCTTGTACTCTCTGTCGGAAACGATATCGTTCAATCATCACACTTGTTTTTGGCCCAAAATATTTCTCAAGTTCATCAACAGCTTTATCGTACGTACCGGTAGTAGACACTTCCAGCTGTCCGAAGATCCGCTGCCCCTCTGCGCCCAAACAGTGGATCAGGATTGCGCGGCGGCGGAGGTCGGGTATCTCCGCTGTGTCCAACCCGCTTGCAGTCAAATACGTTTTGAAGCTCAAAATCCATCGTGACCAAGGCACAGGAGGTTCTCCTGGGGTTGCTAGGAATGGGTTAGGTGCTACAAGACCTATTCCAGCCATTCTCGTCGCCAGATGTAGTATTTAGGAACTCAAAGACATAAAACTAGATACAATGAATTTAGAAGTTGAGATGATTTAATCTATTCCAAGATGTCCGATCATATTGTCATCATGTGTACATAAAGGGGATTGAGCCCTCGACGTTGACTGTTAGCACAGTCTTACAAACACAACAACCCTCAGTAAAAAAGAAAGTTGATTATTGTCACCATGTTTATCTTTTGCCTATAATGGTACCTTATTTCAAAAAATATAGTTAAAATTATGTTTAAATTTTACCATTCTACCCACAGGTACGGATCCGGAGGAAACTATAGCAAACGCGTTCAAATTATTCGATGAAGAACTTACCGGAAAGATACACGAAGACTAGTAAGTTTCAAGTTTCGAAATGAAAGTCTTAACCAATTTAAAGCAACAGTAACAATCTTTCGAAACATAATAAAGGTTATTTAAACACAAATTGAATTAAACTAAAAAGTAAATAGCCTAAGTATCTATAATATTTTATGTTACGCGTACCAGACCGAAGGATGGGGCAGCGCCCACGAGAATTTTGAATTCACAATATTCGGGCAACTGTCGCCTCATATTCGAGCGGCGAGTTGCCCGAATATCTACATAATATTTGAGCAGGATCAGTCCTAACTACATAATTTTCTGTATCAGTTGATATTTCAAATATATGAAATGAAATGAACTATGTGGACTCTAGTTCACATAATGGGATTTTTCCATTTGTGTATACTTTGCCTATAACCCCTTTTTATACCAATAGTAATCACATTTTTTCTTTTGTCTTTCATCCTCCCATCCATCGTTTCCCCCTCTCTTCCCTCCATCTCTTTCTCTCTCTCCCGCTCTCTCTTTCTCTCTCTCTCTCTCTTGCTCTCTCTCTGTCCTTATCCCTCCTCTCCACGTATCTCTCTTTCCTACTTCGCAACGCTCTTCACATTGCTCTGCTCTCATCTGAACTCTCCTTGACCATCCTCCCGATCGCCCCGGCCATCGTCATCTAGTCTCAAAGACATCCTGATGACCATGGGTGACCATTTCACCGTCGAAGAGGTCGAACAGTGCTACAAGGGTGCGCCCATCGACGACGATGGCAATCTCGACTACAACGGTTTCGTCCGCCTAATCAAACACGGGTCCAAGGACGAAGAACTCGTCAAGGACGAGCTGTTGGACGCGTAACTTCCAGAAATGTTCAAATAATCCGCCATTTTGGGGAGCATTTGCCCTCATCGTCTCTCAGTCTGTCTCTCCTCCTTTCTGCCTACATCTTTCTCTCTCTCTCTGTCATTTCCTGGTTACTCCGATACAACTCAAATTTGGTCGTTTGTTTTCTTTCTTGTCAACCAAAAAGACAAAACATCGCAGCTGTCGTAAAAGATGGTACCCTTTCTGCATAGATTAAAAAATTAACGACTAAAAAGAATCGGTCCATAGACAATGTCACATGGCGGTCTTCGCACCCAGACTTGATTTCAAACATCTTTGGAAGTTTTGGATCCTCGTCTTATTTCGCCTACTGCGCCGATTAAATTTGAGTTGTATCAAAACATTTTCTCAGAGTATTGGGGAGAGAACTTTCCCGTGTATTCATGTTGCAGAAATCCTGCCATTAATTCAGCTATGGCTCATTATTCTTAAGCATAACCATTTGGATCATGCAACATGCTTTTCATTATCATATAAAAGCTGTGAATATGAATGTTAAATATCGGATTTCATCTTGCATCATTCTGCAATATTTTGTAATAATTTATTCCATCGGAGTACTATATCGCTAAATATATGCTAGTACCTGGTTTATAGGGACAGTCAATGGTTAACTTAAACAGAAGACTTGTATTGCTTTAAAGTCAAATATTCATAATACCTTTATAACTTTTGCTTCATCATAATTGGGAATTGGGTTATTGTGTCTATATCCTTTTATTTATTCTTTTTACTGAATGTTGCTAAATACCTTTACAGTGATGGGAATTTGTTTGATCATCGTATAAAAAAAAAAAGAACCTCGATTTTTTTCGATGTTGTTGTCATTATTATGAAACGGTGGCCTGGTGTCACGTGACTGCAGGCTGGTGTGACGTCACCGCGTTTAATTAATGTCACGTGTGTATTCTCGAGTGTCTTGGATAGTTCAGGTGCGCGCGTGAGGTGAAGAATATTCTGTTTTCTTTTTTTTTTTATTATCATTATTTATTCATTTTATTCTTATTATCTCTAGATGGAAGTATATTTGTAAATGTGATATTGAGTACTAATAATGTATAGATGTTATTGAAAGTTACTGTACATTTTATGCTAAAAATAAAAAATAAAAACGTCAGATACAACTAAAGATATGAAAGTATTGTAGCTCAAAATATATCAAGACGTGACAGACATATCTCGTCTGTTCTTAACATTCGATATCAACTTCGGTGTATCAGAATTCAGTTGAAATTCTAGGTATGAATTTTCAGGTAGACACAATGACAAATAAATACGTTGGAGGAAGTTTTTCATACCAATGTATACACATCGTAAAATCTTGTTCAATCTATTGTCTAATTGTTGTGAAATGTACAAGTCAAACAACAATGATTCTGTGTCCTGTGCCATTCTTAAATCCCTCCTCTATTCCCTGTGATGGTGGTGGTGGTCGTTGATGTCCGATCGTCGTCGATTTGGAAACTATATCGTTATCCATCTCGGACGACCGGGCTGTGCCTCTGTGACTCTAAAACTCGCGCTGATTTTTTACTTCAAGAGTTTAAGACCTTCTCTTAGGGAGGATCATAATAATCTTGTTATTGCTTATTTTCATCTATTATTTTGGAGTATGTATAGTTCTTTCCTGTATTTTGTGTTTACTCTGAATTCAATTGCGCAGAGTCGAGTATCTTTAGATGTATCGTTAACATCCTCATCATTCTTTATTCTCTTTTATTATTTTTTTTTAAACATCAAAAAATGTTTGTTGAGTAGCACATCAACGAATCAAGAGATTATGATCGAACCTTTTGACAGATTCAATTAGACTGGCCTGCTTTTTCACGATACAATATGGCGTTTAGAGTACGTTTTGTGCTATTGAATTTCTCTCCACTCTCAACTTCTTCTCGAAGTTCCTCTTTATCTCTATCCCTTTCTCTTTTAGATTGTGCAATCGGTAATAAGATACTTATCTTTTACCCAAACTCCTTCAAAATGACGACCGAGCTGATAATGATTGTGATAGCCGCTTGTCGATGAACGTGATTTTGATTTTTTTTTCAAGTCAGATGAGATTGTCATCATTGCTGTTTTAAACGTAGAACATCAAAATTAAAACTCAAATTAAGGGGCGCTATCATCAAAATTATCTAGTTCTGGAAGTCTTTTAAAGCATCGCGCTCAGGCCGGTAATGCAATGTGAATTTCAAAGCGTTTAGTAGATTTTAGTTGATCATAATAAGATTTGAAGAATCATTATGTGTGAGTTTTAGAATTTCGATTTGCTTTCTCTCTCTCTCTCTCTCGATCGATATGTTTTTTGCTTTTTGCACAATTTGTTTTGTCATTTCACATGTGAATGAATTAACATGTGAGAAGGAAATATTTTGGAAAAATTGTTACGAAAAGATAATAAAAGTGTAAACAAGTATTGAAGTGGAATTGACGTGCCTAAACGTTCATTGTGTCCAGACCTTAGTCTTGCTTACTTGTCGAAAAGATTATATTCTCAGAAAATTCCTTTTTTTCTGGAGTAGATCAAATATAGTGAAAATCAAGATATATGATAGTTTTGTGATTCGGGAGTCCCGATAAAAATAACGTTTGGAAAAAGACTGGAAGGCTCCTCGATAAACACATCTATCGAAATAATCATTAAAACAGAATAAATTAATTATGTAAATTGTGCATAAATCCTGCGTAAAAATCGATTGTAAACTTTTTAAAAAGGCATGCAATGATGTGATTTTTCAGGATAGTCCAACCCCCCCCCCCCCCAAAAAAAAAAGTCAAAAGAAGTTTAGAGAAGAAGTAGGCTCCCTATGTGTTATCTCTAATTCTATTGTTAGCTGATCCAGGCATATTTTCTGAGTTGGTCCATGGCAACATTTTTGCACCTAGGACCTAACCCTTACTTCATTTGGCAAATAAGAAAACGCGATGAATTATTGTAATCCACAAACAAAACAGAATACTAGGAAATGATTTTAACCGTCTCTGATTTACCACCATCTTAGACACCATATCTTATCGCTGTCGGGAAGAACACACTGTGACCCTTAAGGACACGGAGAATTTGGATCATGTACACAGCAGTGTGAAAACACTATTGTTGCGAAGATGATTACTATCTGTATGCATCACGCCATATGTTTTAATTTGTGGCATGGAGAAAATACTGTATTCCAGTGTTAACACACTGTGGCACACGATGTTCCAGTGTAAAAGCACTGTGGCACGCGATGTTACAGTGTTAACACAGCTGTGGCACACGATGTTTCAGTGTAAAAGCACTGTGGCATAGGATGTTTCAGTGTAAAAGCACTGTGGCACACGATGTTTCAGTGTAAAAGCACTGTGGCATACGATGGTTCAGTGTAAAAGCACGGTGGCACATGCTGTTTCAGTGTAAAAGCACTGTGACACACGATGGTTCAGTGTAAAAGCACTGTGGCACACGATGTTTCAGTGTAAAAGCACTGTGGCACAAGATTTTTTAGTGTAAAAGCACTGTGGTACACTTTGTTCTAGTATCAAAACACTGTGGTACACTGTTTTCAAGTATAAAAATACACTGACACACCGACTGTGTTCCAGTGGAAGAAATTACTGTGTCACACTATGACACAAAATATGTTCCTGTGTAAACACACTGTGACACAATGTGTTCCGGTAAAAATTCTAGTGAGAAAAAAAACACTGTGGTACACTTTGTTCTAATATCAAAACACTGTGGTACACATTTTTCTTGTATAAAAACACTGTGGTAGTAGTGGTACACTGTTTTCAAGTATAAAAATACACTGACATACCGACTGTAAAAAATAAAACATTGTGTTCCAGTATAAACCACTGTGATACACTCTGTTCTATTGAAAACACAGTGGTACACTGTGTGACAGTAACACTAATGAAAATTGAGTTATAGTGTAAACACAGTGGCATTATACAACATTTCAGAGTAAAACATACTGTGGCGCATTGTACTCCAGGGTAAACACATCAGTATGAAAAATTGTGGACCTACTTCATTTTCTCTTTTCCACACTAATTTGATAGCTTTCACACTATTGTGTTCACACTGTGGCACGCTCTCTTTTCAAGCTAGGGTTTAAAGTTAAGACACGTATGGAGTTTGTCGTTTGCGATGGGGTTGAGGGGATTTGGGTATGTTTGCTGGAAAACAATGCCAAGGTGAAGTAGGGCATAATGGATCAGGGTGCTGCTGTAGAACTTGAAACGAAATGAGTTTGAGCAACAGATATATTGGAAGAGACAGAGAGGAATGCAGTAATAATTCACACATGATAGAGATGGTACAGAGAAGATATAGCAAGAGATAATGAATATACTATTTAGAAGAGACGGGCATGTAGACAGAAGAGTATTAAAGAGGTGCTATAAGAGATAAGGAGGAAAGAGAAGAAAGAGAGAGAGAGAGAGAGAGAGAGAGAAAGAGAAAGAAAGACGGAGGAGTAGCAGGCCACATAAACAATGCTAATGTCTTCTTAATGCCGTAAACAATAATTCTGTATTATAGGGTGAAGTCCGCTCCAAAAATAATGTTTGCTTTTAATAGATGCATAAAACAAATTGGAGTAAAATCGGATAACTAATAAGGATTTTTTTTTAAACATGAAAAACTATGGAACTTAGAAAATCACTACACAAATTGCCAATTTAGTTATCAGTTTGTGACGGCATTGTCTCACTATTATTTTATCAATTTTTATATATATTTTTTATCCCATTAATTTCCCTTTTTATCCCCAAAACTTGATTTCCCCATGCCTTTGCCCAAGTTATATGATTTGTATCATATTGCGTGTATGAGATTACACAAACTACTTTATGAACTTTACTGAACAAATAACTACTCTATATTAGTGCATGATGCATCCACACAAAAACATATTACTATCAATATAACTTGGATGCTGGTGTGAGGAAATAAGAATTTTAGGAGGAACAATTGGAAATTTATATTATCAATATAAAGGATACAATTAGTGGATAGTGAGGCAATGACGTCACAGACTCATGAGTGAGTTGCCAATTTGTCTTGTAACTTTCAAAGTTTTTCATGTCATTAACAATTCATAACTTTCTTATAAGTTATCCGATTTTGCTCAAACTTTTTTTGATTGGTTTGTCTGATTTTTCTGCTTTCAATGAAAGTTAGTTATTTTTGGAGTGGATTTTCCCTTCAATGATCCGAAGACAACTTTACAAGCTGAACCCACTCTCCTTCCCTGTTAAACTACACTATACTCCCTTTGAAAATCCCCGAAGACAATTTCCCCTTGGAAAACAATACCACAAAAGGCAACTACCCTGCCAACAATTATTAATTCCTTCCTCAGAATAGTGGTTAGTTATCCGTTTTCATTCACGTAATTGTCCTAAATGCTAATTATTTTTGTAATGAAGGTAATTATCCTACTTTGTAATTATCCGGGGTAGTCATACAGATACACAGTCTAATGTAGGACTATACAGTTTAGTCTCATTAGCTAAATTGCAGAAATGACCCACAACCTTAAGTAACGTTGGTATTGTGGCTGATAATCTGATATAACATGCGGTGTAAACTACAAAAAAAGAAAAATTCTTTCATTTCAGTGAAATCAATGTTATATACAGACATGAGAACATAAACGATCATGGACATATTGGACAAGGTATTTACAGAAATTCTTACAAATCACAAGTACACTTTTCTTCATTGTTACTCACTATGACAGATAAGTTTTACATCTTATTACAGTTAACATCCCAACTTACTTGAATTATCAAACGTATATAGCTGAAAGTACAACTTCAGTGCAACTTTTCCTTTTTCCATTTTTTCACCGAAGTAGACCCCTCTCTGAACTCACCCCACCCCCCCCCCCCCCCCCCCCCCCCCCCCCCCCCGCGCTCTAACATGATCAACGCCCATAATGTTGCGTAATATTCTTCTTAATTGTTTCTTAAACTATGCGTAGGAGAGATACGGCTATCAGACAATCAAGAATAATCAGAACAGACTTCAATGGGAATACAGTAATACACTGTACTGTATAGTAGTCAACACATTGGGGATTATCGGTAATGACGTCACGCATAACAGTAAACACTATTATACCGGGAATTCCGCCACGGTGAATATAGTGCTTTGTGCCAGCTGTAAATCGTTATCCAGTTCAAGGTGAACCAACCCGTTGCACTCGTACAGCTAGGTTCAAACCTACGCAAAGGAATTTCCCCCGCATCCACCATAATCCATGGTAACGGCGTAAGGGCCACAGTGCACAGGTAACTTGTTGTAGAAGCTTGCCTCCTCCTCCTTTGCAGCATACTTCTAAAAGTAAAGCACAATATTGAACATCGAGTTCGCGAAAGACATAATCACCTGATAGTCAATCGTCGGTAAACACGATCATTTACTAACCTTATTCTTTTCTTCACATTTGGATTTGTGATCGGCGATCCATCAAAGGGGATTTGGAGTTCATCGGGCTGCCAAGTTGTCAACGACCTGTGGCGTCGAATTACCTGTACTTTCAAACTTGGAAACAGATCGTTGTTCTGTGAAAAGCAGTGGGAATTTCTCGTTCGAAAACTAGATTTTCATTTTCAAGCTTCCTGTCGGAAATATCGGGCGTTTTTAATATATTTTGTATCGTTGAATGACGCAGAAGAATGTGGTTGAACTTCCCTGTGGTTTCACATTACTAGTATCGCAACCACTAATCGACCATTAAACATTCTTTTCGATACTGTCTCAAAACTGCTGCTGGCTGTGGTGTATATAGGCGTCGCATCTTGAGCCTGAGGTGAACGCATTGTTTGAACTTTAATTTGTTTCTTAATTATATCGCTTTGAACAATAATTTATCGACAGACTATCAACGTCTCTTGGATTATACAGACGATCCGGTTTGGTAATTTTTTAAACGCTAAAGTGAAGGAAAATTATCTTGACGTTAAAACTCTCGATCCTGATCATGGCGTTGAATGGAGTAATGTGTCAATTATGCTTCAAACTGTCTGTCATCATTATTCTGTTCACTTTCTTTTTTACCACGATAGAAGGGGAGAAGGTAGTTCAACAGCGAGGTAAGCAAGATTGATTGTTTTTGTTTTGCTTGAATCATGCCATGATAGAATCAAGTTTCAGTATCAGAGAATCCCGAACCCGGAGCAATCAACTTTAAATTACCCCACCACAAAAATTGACCAAACGCTCGTAGGGTACCAAACACTTTACCAATGAAGCTAAATCTCAAGGTTTAAGCTTTTTATGTAATACTAAACCTAATCCTAACCCTAACCCTATAACCCTACCCTAACTCTAACCATATTGGCCTTCGACGTCTATGCACATTAACCCTATTGATTGGGGAATTTTTAAAGTTTAGTCTCGAACCCTGCCACCCCACCCTCCGTGCTCTACCCGTTCACTTTCGTCTCTCCGATTTCGCCATACTCATGCTCATACCCAAGACCCTTGAATTATTTATGGGACATTCCTAGACATAATGCTACCGCGTCGGAGGAGCTGGCAGTTGGCACACTCATCGCGTCAAAAACAAATAAAAACAGGGAGATAAGTAGAAAGAGAGAGAAAGAGAGAGAGGTTCGGGGCGGGAGGGAGTAACTCTTCCCGCCGCTCGATCCATCGTCCTAATAAGACCAACTTTTAATAGACCATTATTGCCCACTCCCCTCAAACAAAATTGACTAGAAACACACACCGCTGTTTCTCTATCTCCAGTGATCATTATTGCATTGATTTTATTTTGAATATCCCAATATTTTGTTTGATGATAATCTACTCGTATTTTTGTTTACATAGCTGGAGAATGCGTCACTTGCGATGAAAACGCAGTCTGGATGGAAAAGATCAAATCGATGGAGAGAAGAGCCAACTTCCTTGAAAGAAGGGTAAGTCCTATCCGAGGGACAGTGTAATCATAACTGGCTGCAAAGCGATTATACCTCCATTTCATTATTCCGAATGTCATTATTTGGATGTCCATGATAATGGTTACTTTTTGATTAATAATGCCCTGAGTAATGAACCTTCAGCGCAGCTGAATATATTTTGTATAAAAGCTGCGCTATATAAATTTATTATTATTATTATTATTATTATTAATGCATCGAAATACTGAATTCGGTGAATTCATAATCCAGATTATGATTCTTCTGGTATAAAAATGTTTGTGTTCAAAATTATGGAACAATCTGAATATCAAATTGCCCTCCAGTGCCCCATCAACCCCATCGTCCTCCCTTTCATATAACATTCCACCCCCCCCCCCCCCCCCCCCCCCCATTTCCCCGCATTTACATTCTCCTACACTTCTTCCTCTCTTCCCTCCGGGCCCTCGCCCCCTCACTACCATTTGCAAAACAATTTCTTTTTCAATAAGAATGCGCGCGAGAGAGAGAGAATTTTACCTTCATTATCTACGACACAAACACGGGCAACAGCTGCTCATCAATCAGTGTCCTACGAAATCGATTTTTTCCTTCAACTCTAGACCCAATACTCTTCCTCACCTTATTCATAAAACCTATTCTAAAACCCATTTGCAACCACTCCCATAAATCCATTACCCTAATAGTATATGCCTATAATAATTTAATGAAGAAGTAAAGCCCGGAGGAAAAAAGGGAAAATGTCGCGAGGACGAATGGCGGATCACTAAATTCTGAATATCTATGTCATGACTGACCAACTGGTATACATGTATCGTTATTATATTTCTGCAGCACACCCGAATGGACAACTCGCTAACCGACCTTGAGGAATGTGACTGCGAGAGATGACGAACATGAGGAACATCCGACATCGCAACAGCCTCATTTTTATTCCATGATCGACAGCTCCACGTCAACCATCAAATGTTGCACACATCGTCGTATCCGTCTACGTCTATTATGCTGCCGTCTGCATGGGTCCTTTGATTTTCTTTCCAAAAGTCAAGTTCATGACATTATATCTTGTATTAAAATTATGTTGGCAGGGTCAACCCAGTAGATCGATAACTCAAGAGACCGACATTGGCAATAGGTTCACTAGACCGATACCCGACGAGACCAACAAAACAAAGAAGTTACGAACTAACCCTTGTTAAAAGTAGTTACGGACTTGTTAATATATTATTCTTAATCTTAAGTATCATTTGAGGTGTTCACACTTGTACAAGCATTGATTTTTAGTGGACCCCTCTGTTTCCAATGTGTATTTTTACATTTTGTTCTAAATGTTTATGATTGGTTTGTAATGTTTCGTTGGAAACATAAATAAATTGAAATTGAAATTGAATTGAAATACATAAGGGAAGATAGAAGATTGACGGTCACTTAAGCTTTATCAGTCTCGTGGGTCGCGGTTAAGTGAACCCTCTAAGAAGAAAGAAAAAGGCACACGAGACTGACAATGTCGGTCTAGTGGGTTGTCGTTCTCGTGCGCTGTAGCCATTGTCGGCGAGACTTAAAATAATTATTTATAAAGACTTTTTAACGCATTGTCAACAACTTTTACCATTACAAAAAAAAATGTCTTCCCATTTTCAGCGTGAAAGATGTTGTATTTTGAAAACGTTATCTTTTTCTTTGTATCTTTACGATGCTGGTTTATTAGATTAGACATTTAAATGTTAGAAGCACGCAAACAGAAAATCAGAAACGCAACCAGGGTCAACTTCTCTGTCATAAATAATAAATTGCCCCGCCCCCCCCCCCCCCCCCACTCAGAGTTATTTAGGGTATGCGTGTGCATGTTCCCTCCTTTTGAAAACACCCCCTAAGTCCGGTTTGTAAAGTCGATACGGGCAATTTTTTTTTTGTGTGTTAAAAGCCGGACTTTGCCGCGTGAAAAGTTCACGGAAGGGGGGGGGGGGGGGAGGGGGTAAATTGCATTCACTCAGAAAGCAAGAATTGCTTTCTCCTTCAAATAAATGCATCTTCAGACGTTCGTGCATTCAACGTTTTCAAACGCATAACAATTCGAATATGAATGAGCACGATTATGTGTTCATAAAGAGATGTACACAACCATTAGCATTACATTTTCAAACTGAATTATGCACTTTTTTCCGAGGGTCTAAAGCTTGCTTCAATGGATATTCATGTATATTTCATTTATAATTGTGTCAATAACATAGGTATTTTAATTCATTATTCGATAGTTTAATTAATTATTTCAGTGGCCCATTCTTCAAAAGTATTATAATCGTAACTGTCAAATTACTCAATAAACGATGCATTTGTTATCGTTTGATAAACACGTATGTATCATTATTACCCTTGTCTCTCAAAATATATTTCATATCTTTAAATGAAAATAAAGTCTGTATATTCTGTAATTCTGCAATTATTTTTTATAATGCGTATTTTTTTCATTTATGCGATCATGTCACGTTCAGTTGGTTTGAAAACGCATGAAATCGGGATATGAAAAGAAATGACGAGTATTGAGAAAGAGGGTGAGAGAAGGAGAAAATGTTCATATTAATTAATAAGATTCATAATGACAGACAGAGAATCGGGGGCGTCGCTCGAAAAGGGTTGTGAGGGGGGGGGTGACACCCATTACAAAATTTTGCGTCGATAAATCTCAATTTTTAGAGCCTGGTTGACAGATATCAGATTCTGTCCCCTTTCCACTTTCTTTATTTATCCTTCTCGCATGTTTTTTTGCTAAATTGATTACACACTTACCTTTCTGCAAATTTGGTCTGAACACCCCCCCCCCCCCACCACCCCAGCCCCCTCTGCCTCACAAAGTTAAGTCTGGCTACGCCCCTGCTGTTACGTTTTGTAAAACAGTGAGATAGTGCAGTACGCTGGCAGTACATACAGGGACTAGGAATGTGTGACACCCTGTTTCAAAATTCATGTCATCACAAATTAATCAAATCAAATCAAATGCTAAAATTGAATTATTTTACCTTGTAAACAGAGATAAACGAAAGTTGATTGACGAACTTTCAACAGTAAGAGAGAGAGAGAGAGAGAGAGAGAGAGAGAGAGAGGGGGAGGGAAAGAGAGAGAGAGAGAGAGAGAGAGAGAGAGAAACAAAATTGAAAATCTCCCCAATTTTCCTTGCTTAATTATTTGTTGGAAATTTTGCTATGAAACTGTCCCCCCCCCCTTAATAAAAAAAACGAAACATTAAAATGTTTTTTGAAAACAGAATAAAATCTGTGAGTAAGCGAAATAAATACATGGCATATATTTGATTTCGTCATCAAATGGGCCTACTGGAAAGTAAATAAAAATCACAGAACTATTTACATGTAGTTACCTGAATATAAACCTCGAATTTCAGGTGGTGATTTAAAGACATGGGTGGGGGGGGGGGGTCAGGGGCAGCGCCAGGTTATTTTGTTAGGGGGCGAATGGGCACGCCACGCAAGAGGTGTCTGAGGGGGATGTGCCCCCTCAGAAGTTGAAGAGGTTTTTTTTTAAATTGATGGATAAATGGCTCGATTATGTGTTTACTTTTCGCCAAATTAAAAAGAAAACAGTCTTAAGTTCAACTAACAAGAACAAGAACGCAGGGGGGGGGGGGGGTGTCATCATATTTTTCAGAAGGGTTGTTATAGATGAATTTGTCGTTTCCATTGAACAATCAGCCATAAGGTTTAGGAGATACATGTACAAGGGAATAATTTGATTTTTTTTCAGTTGGTGAAAGATTTTTCATCGTAAACCAATGTTTGAACTGCCGGTAATGTGAATATAATAATGACGCGTCTATTAAATCTGATCGCCCGATTTGGTTTGCTTTTTCTCTATATTTATTTTCCCCCCCCCCCCCCCCGCCCTCCCTTACGTCATAATTTACATTTTAGTTCTCTTTCTCCTAGCCTTCCTCCTTCTCGTCCCCTTCCTTTTCTTTTCTTCTCCTTCTTTTCCTTTCCTTTCCTTTTCTTTCTCATTTTCCTCTTTCTCCTTCCCTTCCTCTTCCCTTTTTTTCAAAATGATAGGGGCGGCTACGCCCCCTTCCCCCTGTGGCGCCGCCCCTGGGGGGGGGGGGGTGCATGTAATGATGTCCATGCAGACTCGGCCTGGCCCCTACCTCTAAGCCATATGCTGATAGTGCATAGGACAAGATGGAAGTGTGTGTAGTTCAAACATTATGATTTTTATATTTTCAATGTGAGATTAGGCCAAATTAGAACTGATGGCAGAGAGGGCTGATTATTATTGTCATTTATTTAGGCCCTATTTATATTTATTTCTATCTTTTCCCAGCCTATTAATATTTTGTTTCGTTTTGTTTTGTTTTTTAATTGCTTTTTGTTGGAAAATAAGTTAATTGTATCATTATTATGCGTGGGTCTGTGCTACATTGTGAATAAATGCAAAAATATTCATAATATTTTTTCAGGGGAACCACAACCTTGAAACAACTGACGTGCACGTAATACGTAACACGATAATACGAAAAAATTAACTAACACCAATATCAACGCTTGGGACATTACACAAAAAGAGTATTCTGGCTGCTGCAATGGCTTTCACTCGTACTTTACTCGTCTGTGTCGTGCAATTTTTGACGTTTCTCCAAGCTCTTGGAGATGAGGTAAATCCAAATGAATTCCTCAAGCGAGAACATTCTCTAATGCGTCCATACACAGGTAAATATGTGTTAATTTTGTTGTATTATTGCGTATTTTGGGGTGTATTTTAGGGGAATGACAGATCGAATTGCTTGCCAGCGTGGCGTTATTTCTTGGCCGCCATCTCTCCGCTGGAGGTTTGTCATGTGTACGCTATTCAGTAGGAGTGGCCTGCGGGCGCGGCTAGCTCGTCTACTCTAGTGGATGGCCAATGACATGATGAGGACTTCAAAAGGCTAGACCTGAGTCGGTCTTCACTATTTAGGCAAATTTCATATGTTTAAATTAGTCCTTTATGTTAGGAACTTCTGCTTTTGAAGAGTACTTTTCTAGAGAAAACTCCACAGATTACAAATGTCAAGAATTTTGTGGTTGCAAAATTGCATGAAAATGATCATGTTGATTAATGATGATCATGCTATTGCTAGATCTACTTTGCTAGTTTAAATCTGATTTTTGTTCAATGGTTGCATTTTCAACCATATGATGATACCTTTCATTGCCTTTTGACAAGTCGTAATTTACCACTCTTTTTTGCGATGAATGCAAACTTTTATCATGTTCATTTTGCATGTTTTATTCAAGTTTAATTTCAGCTTGATTTTTCATTAGATTAGGCCGAGTGCTGTAAATTAAATAAAAGGATTTAGAAACCTCTTGTTTGTAAAGTTTCAAGGCTCAATTTCAAGCAGAATTATATTTGGCTTTCTGAGTAAGACTAAGAATGATAATTCTAGTTACAATAACTTACATGAAGGCATAAGGCGTCCTGTAAAGTTTTCAAAAACTTTATTTTTATTTATTATTAATATTATTTTTATTTTGTTTAATCGTGCACAGGGGCTGGTGCTAGTCTACCGATGTGGGACATTACGGGAAATACCATGGTAACCAATGACTACATCAGACTGACGCCAGACCATCAAAGCATGAGAGGAGCTGTGTGGAACCAAGTGGTGAATATTTTATTTAGCTCTGTGGATAAGGTTTTTTTCAGAAGGGCTTAAAACGAATCGATTGGCTTGCCCATATCACATGGTAAAACTCCTGTGGGGGTCACTCTCATACACAAGTGCTACCCACAGGTCTGTGTCCATCAACCTCTGAAATGGACCCTAATGGCTTATCGCACCTTTACTGAAATGACCCTTTTTTTAAAGAAAACGTTGAAACCTGTTAACCTGAAAAGGTACCCTTTTGTTGGTTTTTGTGCGATCTGTTCTTGAAAAACACCCTTAGGAAGAACGTTGACGATGCCATATAGCTGAAAAAAACACCCTTTCCACGCTTGTCATGTTGGGAGTGACACCATATTTTATGCAGGCCTGTTTCCATATGCTGGTAACGACAGCATTATAAATATTGTTACCGGTATTCATGATATATACTCTTACCATTTAGGTCTTGGAATGTTTAGAATTTATTTGTTCTCTTTCTCTCAGCATATACTTACATTATCTGAAGATTATTACATGTACCTTTACAGTATGATGTCTATTTACGATAGAAAGTAAATCAATCAAGTGAGGGCTTATGAAACTAAACAGGAAGCCTTGCAACAACCTTTTGATAAGAACCTTGTCTCTTTATTAACCTGTCATGATCATGCTATTTCCTCCATACCAAATTACATGTACACCTGGAAACTTGAAAATCATTGGGACACATGAGTTTACTTTATGCCATAAAACCATTGTCACTCTTGTCATGAGCCATTATTACTCACAGATATACCTAGTTCAGTAAAAAGAGATATCCCCAAAGACATAGAGATTTAGAAGGAAAATGTACATGTTAAGTTTCCTTCCTAGTTCCTACTTTCTCAAATAGAAGGAAATGAAATGTTGAATTTGTAGCAAGTGGAAGTTACATGTATAACTTAAAGAGAAGGTTGAGTTCTGGGAAGAGGTAAAAAATAATTTGTGATCATTATCATTGTTATTATGCAAGGGTGGAAGAACATCAGATTAAACATGTTCCCTGAAAAGCATGGCTCTTCAAATGCCTCCATATTCTAAATATGACATGAAACATCGTGAAAATCGGGGGTTAGGTTTTTTTCGCCATGTGCTCGTGTAGTCCCATATACGTCATTCTGTGTACAGTACTTGTAACTTTGCCAAGATTTGGCCAAATTTCTTATCATTTTGATGATTCCAGAACCTTGCAATACACACGAATACTTATATACTAGATGATCAACCTTTTCTGATAGATTCCACACCGTTTCTTTCACAATGCAATCACATGACCAGAACTCAACTTTATCTTTATCTTTAAGTATCATAAGTGGTGAACTTTCCTTTGATATATTACATTCCTACATGGAGAATGTAGCGGGCATTATCCTTTTGTAATCAACAAGATTACTTAGAGGTAGATATAGTTGATATGAATAATGAATCACATTGTCACTAACTATGTCACTCTAGGTTCAAAGCTATATCCTTGATTTTTTTTAGCTGTATCTTGTGTAATAATAATAAAAAGAAGCAACATGGTTTAAAAAACAAACAAAACAAAAAGAAAAGAAAAACAAATAAATAAATGAACTCCCACAACACAAATTTACTGTTAAAATATTTCACATGTTACGTTGTAATAGTACATTTGTATGTGTATGATAGTGCATCTGACATTTGAGCACCTTCTCTCCCTCCCACCTAGACTCGCGCTGTATTCATATATCTTATCAATCCAAATAAAATTATGGTACACCGTAACACCAAGTGATATTAGCCGTTATATAAAGATAACATGTGAAGTTCAAAGTTACAAGATCTGATTTTATACACTCTGTTGTTTTCCATGTATTCTCCACGTGGGTTGATTTGTATTGCCAATGCAAGATCATCTTAAAGAACCAAATGTTATTTAAAGCCATTACAATATTCAGGTACCAGTAGTTCATTTTTATGGAAAATCTTGAGTTTTCTCTGAAGAACTTATTTACCATGTTTTACTTCTTTTCTTGCATTTACAGTCGAATAAGTCGCCACATTGGGAGCTGCATCTTCACTTCAGTGTGCATGGATCGGGGAAGACCTTGTTTGGAGATGGCTTTGCTATCTGGTACACCAAAGAACGCATGAAAGATGGTAAATTCCTAATTATACATTGTTTCCCCTTTTTCAGATCTCCACACTCACTTTTTGTAAGGGGGCTGGGACTGAATTTTTAATATATATTTTTAATTTATTAATTCTTAAAATACACTAGTTTTAGAATATACCAAACATTACGTATTAGAACCCCATTCCTACTTGCACATGCACTTTCACTGCACCCATTTGATCAATTTCGCGTGTACAATTCTATAATTTAAGAGTTTGCCGCTATTCTCTCGAGGCCGCCATCGATTTCAAGCTTACCGCTCATGATGGCGGTCTCCTGCGTTTTCTGTAATTCATCTATTTTCATCGAAAAATATTTGTGTTTGTATGAATCTTATTTAATGTACTTAAAAATATATGATCATGTAAAATGAAGAAAAAATTGTTACTTATGTATATGATTATGTTCTGTTTTGAAAACGCATAAATGAAAACGAAAAAAACAAACAAACAACTATTAATTTTACAGCCCATATGCATGAGCCCTGTGTAAAAATTTCAAAAATTTGGGGGTCCAGACTTAAATTTTAGGCTCCTGTGTTTCCCTGGCGCCTGGTACTGTCGAGACCTGCCGTCTTCCTATCGTACTTTTAGTGATTCCAAAGCAGTATAATACATGTATGCTGACCGATTTAGTGATCAGAGAGATGAATTAAAAGTCATAACAAGGTGTCCATTTAAAATAAATTACATTGTCTTTAGTGGACATTTTATTTTGGGTTTTCTATGAAAAAGATATTTCCTTGAGGCCATATTTTCCCCCTTCCCCCATTTTTTAGACTTTTTCTGAGATGCTCAGAGCTCAGTCACCCCCACTAACTATAAAAATGTACTTTTCCATAAAATAAACAACCAGATAAAATGGCAAACAGAATTATTGTAATAATTGGAATTATTGGAAATGAAAATCTCACCCAGCAAGATTGAAAAGCAGATAATGTCATTCTTTTTTCTCCCTCTCTCTCTCCATATTTAAACAGGACCTGTGTTTGGAAACATTGATTATTTCACTGGACTAGGTCTCTTCTTTGATACATACAGCAATCACAATGGTCCACACAATGTGAGTCTCAACGTCATGCTGTCTTTCATAGACATTTCTCTGTACATAATTTGTATTTATAATAGGGTGGTCCTCATAAGGGTTTTAACATGTAATAGTGACAGGTTTTTGTTGATGAAATTACGGGTTTGAAATTCACAGGTTGAAATTCAATCTGAACCACACACAAAAATTGAAATATTAACCATAAATTTTTTTTGAAAATGCATCAAATTATGGCTCAGATTGTACCAGAGAATAACATGTAGTCTAGTTCAATTTTGAATTTTGTGAAGTAATGGATGAAACATTCTCACTATGGAACAAGCCTAATCTTCCAAAAATATGTTCAAGAAACTTGGAATTTTAATTATTCTCCACCTAATGTGAATCTAATTTGATATTGATTTGTGTTATTATTTTATTTATATATTTATTTTATTTGATTTATTGGTATTTTAATTTATTGATGTATTTCATTTATTTCTTTAATTATTTTTAATATATCAATTTTATTAATTTTATTTATTTTACTATTTTATTTATTTGGTTTATTTATTTATTTATTTATTTTTTAATTTCTAATTTACCGGTATTCATTAATTATTATTTTTTGTTCTGCAGCATGCACATCCCTACATCTCAGCACAGATCAACAACGGCACCCAACACTACGACCATGACAGAGACGGAACACACACTGAGCTGGCTGGATGCCACGCCCCCTTCAGGAACAAAGACCATAACACACACGTTGCTATCAGATACTTCATGAGCAGACTAACAGTAAGTTATTCGCTTTATGAAGATGAAGACAGTGATGGGAAAAGAGAGTGTTGGAGAAAAAGAGAGAGAGAGAGAGAGAGAATTGGAGAGGGAGAGAGAGAGAGAAAGTTAAAGATGTAGTTGAGTACTAGTCATGCAATTACATTATGAAAGAAGCTGTCTGGAAGCAATTGGGAAACGTTGATTATGTTGTACGTGAGAATTATGTATTCTGTAAAGTGTTTTTAATCATAAAAAATCATAAGAAATTTACCTTGTCTTGCTGGAAGTTTCATGCATTTTACACAGAAATTCGAAATTTGGTCTGAACTTTTCAGAGTTTTATTCAGAGTGCCTATACACAGGTCACTATGTGCAAATGAGAGTGTGTTATTAAATCAAAGATGATGCCCAGAAAGTTTTTGTGCATTTATTTTTATTTCACTGGTTCAAACAACCAATCTACATGTACTGCAGGATAAACAATCCAGAATAAATCATAGCAATTTTCTCTTAAAATATGATTCCCATAGCAGAGCTCAAGATTAGCTTAATCCCCAATACTGCACTACTTATAGCTACTTGCGCCCTTTATAAAGCAAACAATGCCTTATCGGTGCCTGTTGGTCCCCCATGATCCCCTTTCTTAATCACTTGTCAGTGATCTTGCAGGGAGGTTTTATCCCCTCTGGCCAAACTAGTGCAGATGGGCTTTAAACGCCCATAGTAGTGGGGAGTTTGACACCATTCAGGTGTTGGGTGTCAGCCACCAAGAGTGAACTTCGCTTTTACAACCGACAGGTCTTGTGTACTGCACTATGCCCTGAACTTAATACCATAAGGAATTCCCGTTGTACTAAAACTGCCCTTACCCTCTGGAGTATTTTTCTAGTGGGACCAACTCAACTACATCTGGTGTCTGTGAATAATGAAACAATACACATGTACATGTATGTACACTGACCACTATGTGTGTTTATTTAATTTCCTTATCGTGTAAAATTGCTCAAACAAGTACATGCATTATTTCATTCATACAGGTAATGATGGATATAACGGGCGAAGGAAAATGGCAGCATTGTATAGATCAGACAAATATAATCTTACCAACTGGATATTACTTTGGAGCCTCAGCTGCTACAGGACAATTGGCAGGTCGGCAGATAATTTCTTGGTATTTTAACTCTTAATTTGCCATGGACTGCTGCATTGTTGAGAGTATTATGAAACATGTACACTGTATGTTCACTGTATGACTATGAAAGTTCCCTTTTCTTTGTTTTATTGGTAGACCAAAACCAGGAAAGAGTTAATATTTTTCGTTGTGATTAGCGGTGGTTTGGTTGATACTGATGATAGGCAGGCCTGATAATTACTGATTTAAATCGGTTTCCCGCTTTTTTTTTCTTCCCCAAATTAAAAAAAAACCTAATTCCTCCCCCCCCAAAATGTTACATTGATTTTTTTCCCAACGTTCTTAATCAAAAGGGGGGTAATGTAGGGGATGGTTGTGGTAGTGGTAATTTGTATTTGTAATAGTGGTGGTGGTGTTGCTTGTCTAGTTGTGGTGGTGTTGCTAGTAGTGGTGTTGATGGTGGTGGTGGTGGAGGTAGTATTGGTGGAAGTGATGGTATTGATGATGGGGATTATTGTGGTGGTGGTAGTAGTAACTGTGGTGTTAATAATGATTTTATTGGATAGTGGTGTTCGTTGTGATGGTAGAGATATTAAGGATGACCAAGATGATAACGACATTTAAACTTGTATTTAAATTTAATATTAGTTATTACTGATAATAAATATTTCTCATAATAGATGCACTTTTAAAAATATCACTGAAGTGAGAAAACCATTCACCCTGTTACTAGCTTCTGTTGCCATTTTGCACTCAGTACACACCCTCCATTCCCCTGCATTCTAGTCCATTGCCTTTCACAGGTACTCAATGTATACTATCACCACAAAGACCATTTATACACCAGGGGGTGTTTCACAAAGATCCTAAGTCGAACTTAACTCTAAGTTGGACTTAACAATTATGGAGAGCCAATTATAGCCTTAAAATAAAATATATTCAAAAGTGAAAAATCAAGTATTTTAGACTTTTTATAAATTCCACATCAAGAACATGAAATCTCCTTGATAATAGAAAAATATAAATGATTTGAAACAACATTTTATGCCTTTTAAAATACCTGTTGCAAATTATTTTCATTGACGCTAACGGCTTTCTATAGTTGTTAAGTCCAACTTAGAGATAAGTTCAACTTAAGATCTTTGTAAAACAGCCCCTGGGTAGATAGAAACATCAAACATGTACAGATACTGAGAAATGCCCTGCTTAAGGATAACTTTCATCTCTTCTCATTTTCTTTGCAGATAATCATGACATCCATTCTGTAAAAGTTTACGAGTTAGAAGGTATTGATTTAGACAAAGAAACGGATTACAGCAAACTGTTACCATCAGCGCAGTACTTTGCACCACCAAGAGGTAGGTTTCATCTTCTATTCCTCTTTTTTTCCAGTCAAGAAAAATTCTGGAAAACAAGAAAATCACTGAATTCTAGGGAAAAATCTGGGAATTTTATTGGCCCATAAAGCTCTCTCTTGTACTTTTCTCATGTCCAAACAGCATATCCAGTGGATGATCGACTATGCTGGATGTAAGTGAATTATCCTGGAGTTTTGTCAACAATTATAACGTTGACAATTTTTTGTTTATTCTTTTCCTTCTTATTCCCCAATGAAATGTATATACTGGTAAACAGAATTTTCTAATGTAATTTCTATTTTTATGTCCATGTATGTGATTTCAGTAGCTCTTTAGGGGAATTTGGGGGATATTGTATAGCAGCATGTGAAAGACATCAGCGTTTGCCAAATTAAAGAAGGACAAAAAAAAATCCATCCATCTTTCTTCTTCTTCTTTACGTGCCATGTCCTGCCGTGCCATGTCCCATATTCTATGAAGTAATTCATTCTCCCGAGATCAATGCCACTTTCAGAAATCCCACTCCTTTTAAAAGCTACTCATCCACAGAATCCTCCTTCTACCCCTACTCCTCCTCCCCTCTATTCTTCCAGTCAGTGTAAGATTTTCCAAACCATCCTTTTGAATAACATGACCCAAGAAGCTCAGCTGTCGACCTCTTATATTATTCAGAAGCTTTCGTCTTGTTCCTGCCCTGGGAAAAAATTTCATCCATTGTTTTGTTTCTGCTTCATACAGATCACATTGATGATCCTCAAGGGGCCTTCAAGAACTCAACGCTAAGCTGGAAGAGAATGTTCCTCATCCTCTTCTGTATCATCCTGGGCATCGCTGTCTGTATCATCGTCGGCGTCGTAGTATTCCAGAAGAGGCAGGAACACCAGAGGAAGCGCTTTTATTAGATGATAAAAAACAAGATTTATTTTTCATTTTTTTATGAACGAATTTAGAAAGGGTGGCGATTGTGTGTGTTTTGGCATTCCAAGATTGCGATGTTGGTTGGGGCATGATTAGGAATTAGTTTCACGACACATCTAGAAGGTATTTACACAATTTTTTTTTTCTAGTCACCCAAGATGGGGGAATTTCATTGACCCAAAACGAAAGTAGCTAGTTTCTTGTATTTTGTCTTCTGTATTCTTTATTCTCTGGATGAAGGCATTTCAAACTAGGAATAGGTTGAAATATCGATCCTGGAATTTGAGACTTCATCAGAAGGAAAAGCAAATGTTTCATGGAATACTGGTTTCGGATGTCTCTGGTTCGGATGCATTTCTTAGATGTGTCAGAACCATATACTGTCTGTTTGGTGCCAGAAGCACATTAACTCCTATTACTTTGACAGCTAACGCCCTTCTGATTCCGAACAGACAATGTATCAACGCTCATAGGTAAATACCTTTGCATGTGTCGTAAAACTCAGTCCATGGTTTCAACCATCCTAATGAACTTGTTCAACAGATTTGGAGCATTGTTTAGAAGGTGAAATTTGGGAACATGGTTTTATACTAGCTTCTATGAATCGCAAACAGTATGAGTTTAGGTCTCGCTTTAGGTCCTACTCAATTATTAGTGAAAGGCTAAAATATAGGTTAAGTTTAGGATATATAAACTAATATTAAGGTCATTTTCTTTTAGCTGCTGGGGCAGGTGTTAGCTTGAAATTATTACCATCCCTTACACCTTCATAGCCCCAAGCATGTGATGAAAAAACATTTACTCTGTCGACATATGCTCCAATATTTGTTGACAAATTTTGGGTTACAACTTGCGGTTTGAGTTTCAATTATAATTTAGACGTAGAAAAAGGGTTAGGGTTTGAATGTTAATTATAATTAAGACAAAGATAAAGGGTTAAGTTGAGAATCTAGTTCAAATTTTGCTAATTTAGGGCTTCAGGTTGAGTAGAGTGTTAGGTGCAGGATGAGAAATTTGATTAGTGTTGACATTGACAAAGGAGCATGTGTTGTCAGAGCCTAAAGTCATATAAATGATATAATGTCAAGATTTCGGTTGAGGTTTGAGAGATATTTGAAGTAGGTAATATTTTGTAAACCGTATCTATATTGGCTCGGTCATGGAAACTCCTTGACATTTGACCCCTGTGTCACTATTTTTTACAAACATATTTATAGTCATATTTTAGTCCTACTCCTTCTCTGTCATTTTAAGCAGTGCAAAAAAATATCTTCTATTGGATTTAAGATTTTTCAAATATGCCACCCTTTTTGTGTGTTTAGGATAAAATTGACTATATTCAGTCATATCACTTTGTGCAAATAATTAAATATTGTGGGTAGTTTGCATACCAAAGCAGTGAAAGCACCAAAACCAAGCATGAAATTACCTAATATTCTTCAGTGTACTGTACTTGCAGACAGGTGTATCTTTATTGAGAATTAACATTGCTCTTTATTGCTGGCATGTTGAGTCACTAGACCCAAGATGTGATTACCACTCCCTTGTATGCATTGTGAAGTTGAAATAACAATTGTTTGATCAGTATTATCTTTCCACATCAATCCCAAGTTTTCCATCTTTTATTCCTTGTAAAGTGATGCTAGCTAGAACCTAGAGAGAACATACGTCGACTACCCTGACTAAGAATCTATTAATGCAAAGAGGGGAAGTATTTTTAGATGTCAGAATGTATCATTGAATGTGAATTTAAAACCCGTTTTGTATTTGGATCCACATATATATACTGTTTTTTATCTTTGAGGATTCTGTGTGCAACTATCATTTAAAGTTACAGTGACATTAATTTTTTAGCTTGTATTTGGTGTTGTTTGAAAACAGGCAAGGTTTATGTAAAGACGACAGGAGAAAACGTTAAAACTGATTACCAAATGATACGAGTTGTCCATGTATTTTTTGTTTAGGTCATGCTCATGTGTTTACCTTGCTAATGAGGGTTCATATGAATCTACAGTATGAAAATGATTAAAAAAATGTATGGATCTGCTAATGTTTGTGTGAAACTCATACCCCATATATTTTTAATAAACAGTTACTCAGTACTCTAGGCATTTCTACCCGTGTGTTTTTTTTGGAATTACACGTACCGTACCTAGCTTTGTTACACTATTGCAACACAGATATGCTCCCATAGAGTGATGTATTTACAGACGCTCAATCAGTTAATAACAAAAATTCTGTTTCAAATTGCTAACCACATTCTTCTTGATTAATATTTTCTGTTCTTTTAGATGAAGACATTTGATTTGTAGAACAAAAAATAAAATTTAGTAAGTCAAATTCTCATTAGATTTTTTTTACCAGTGCGAAATTATCCTCATTTGTCCTCAGAATAAAAGAAATTAAATCTACATGAAGCAACAGCAGTGTAAAACAAAACGTATCTGATTAAACCATATTTATTTGTCAAAGTCTAATAGAAGTTCAGATTTCAGTGACTATGTGGTAGGGAACTATATACAGTAATGAATAACAGAGATATTGTTTTGTTTAGTTTTCAAATGATATTTGGTTCAAAATTTTGGGTTATAACTTTGGTTTACATGTAGTAAATTAGTGCGTTTGGTGTTTTTTAAACGTTTTGTGCGTTCTTTATGTTTATTTTGTATTTCTCATTCGTTTTCTTGATTTTTTTTTTACATCGCAAGTTGATATGCGTAGTATATGAATGCAGTACAATGTACAACAATCTGTCCTTTTGATTTGAGCAAAGATAGATGTATCAAATTTATTATGTTTTTGTTTTCTCTCTTTTGTTCAATATGCCTTGTAATACTTGCCTTAATAATCCTAGTGTGCATACTAAGTTAATTCTAACCTTTGATTTAAATTCATACATTGGGAAGTATAAAGTTTCAAGAGTTGAACATATGAAAAAAAAATTATTTTTCTTCTCTTTTACTATTAAGCATCAAAAGGCTAACTTACACGATACATGTTTACCTTAAATGTCGCCCATAAGATTTTGAACTCCTAATAAATGGTGGCATAGTGAAATGACGGTAAGGAACTGGTAATTACCGCTGATACTTTGATAAAGATTAAAATTGAGCAAACTATCTTTCAAATAAATCATAAAACACTTTTTTAGTTGCCGATAATGATATCACCAACAATTGTGCCTTTTGTTTTTGTGAGTTCATTTCGCTAAACTCTCTAAGTATTAAGCATCTATGAAGACTATATTTACATATATTGTATGTGAAAGGAACTTAAGGAAGTATACCCACATTATGCGTAATTCATATTAACGAGTGCATACATCGTACCCCAGTATTTAAAAAATGAAAAGAACTCGCAAGACTACATTTATTTCAATGTTTTATTGTAGCAACCTTTTGGTAAAAACTAACAGTTGACAAATAAATGTTTCGCTGTTTCACCTCTGTAGTAAACATTGACATAGAGTAAAGTACCCGGTTTTCGGCCACTTAAGACAAAATCCTATTTATTGGACTCTTTACTTCCTATTTATTATCATTTCTTGTTCAAATCATGAAGCAAATATTATTATTATTTAAACAAAAAAAGAATCCCAAAAAAAAATCACGAATTGCCATGACAATATTCATTTCAATTTTCACTGTTTTGGAGCCGGTTATCGGCCGAGCGTTTCAGTTTACGGCCGCATGTACAAAGTCAATAGGAAGCGCTCGCGCGCGCCGTGCGTTTCTGCGCTGATGTATAGCACAAGCGGGCGGAGCAGGTATCCCACGCCGGAGCTCCCGGGTGCTCGCCTGACCGAATACAGGCACAGCGGTGATCGGAAGTTGGAATCTGAATTAGACAGACATATCGTGTGTGCGTCGCGGTGTGCGGCTGCATTGATTTAATACATGCGATGAGATACTTTTGAGCTTGCGACCAGCACAAAATCGGGCTCTATATCTGAAAAATACTTGAAATAAAGCTCATTTTATGGTACCCATATTTCTTACATACACGCGTAAGAAACTCGATTTTTCAGATTTGGGTAGCGGGACCGCCGATTACATCGCTAAAATGTGATATTTTAGGATATATTTTTCATTGCAAATGTGGTTCTTCAGTGACACTGGCATGGTATGGTATGTGTGGGATATGTGTTATGCTATTATGCGATGTATTTTAAAGTGATTTTACCATGTATCCAACCAATTGGCCGAAAACCGGAGCTGACCGATTACCGGGTACTTTACTCTATATTGCACTTTTATCTAACGTAAATCTGAAATTAACATTCATATACACACTGTACATGTTCATTTTCATCAAGTTCATCCTTTTTATAAACAATTATTTGTACAAGTCTCAAGTATATTCTGTTTGAATGTAATAAATGCTAGCAGTCATTTTTTTATGCATATACAACTAAAATATATTTAAAATAAATAATACTTCATGTACTACAGATAAAATCAGTAATTATTTCAGGAATGGTTAGCAAAAATTCATGTTTTGTTGTTGTAACATGAAAAGTAATGAGGGAATTACTGGTAAGAACGTCAAATAAGCTTACATTTACATGTAACTGCGTTTGTATTTCATATTCTTTGTGTAACAAAAGTTGATTGAAACTCTCTATGATTTGTTCTTTTGTTCGATCAAAAAGGATAAATAATTAAAATAGATGTGGTTTATCTGTGTTTTTAAATACTTATGCACCCTGGAAATTTAATAAACAAATAACATTGTCACTTAGTTTATTTTCATGTAGACAGAGGTTGATTTCACAAGGTTTTTTATGAAAGCAGTACATGTAACATTACGCAAAATATATAAAATAAATGAAGGAATGTTCATTTTGTATATCCTTTATCTATGGTATGGAGACTTGATAAGAAATAAATGTATTTTGATCACTTAATTTAATTTGCACTGTGGTGTTATTTGTCTTTATAGGAGGGGAATGGTATGCTCAAATTGATTTTTTTTTTTAACGTTGCCAAAAACAACCTATCCAGAAAATAGTATGCATATAATTTAAATGTTATAACATGTGATCTACTTGGTAAAAGTGGATTCTACAACCCGTAGGAATGAAACACCTCATGGTTCATTTTTCATGGAAATACACAAGTTATTTACCAGGAACACCGGTAGAATATGTTGAACTTTTCTTTCACTCCACATACTGATATTTAGGAGACACAATCTGGGCCCAGTCTAATAAACAGTTGCAATTAATTGCAACTATATACATAAGAGATGGGAGACTGTAAACTTTCAATTGATTGGAGGATCCGATCGCAACTCTTTTTAACACTGTGCCCAGATCTAACCTAGGTTTTTTTAATAATCAACATCTAAGTACTGACAATCATTTGCATATGACATCTGTGAAGGAACAGATTTAAACAAAAAATTCTGGTGAATGGTCCATCATAAAGAAATTGGATGACATGCGAACCTCCATTTCTTAACAGCGCTAGCTCTCTGCGTTTGGTTCACTGCTTCGACTACTCCAAACACGACACAGATGAATGATCCTCTGTTATAATCCATTCATAATGTAAGTCTTTATAGTTTAAAACTGCGTACAAGCCACAAGCTTTGGACTCTTTTACACTAAACACGCAGCAATGTGTGTGGTGGTGGTGGTTATTTTACCAAACTACTAAGAAAGCATAAATGCTTGTTAGTAAGCAACCAGAGGACCAACTGCGTTAGGTCCTATCCGAGGGACTTGGTGATGAGGATTAATGCCTTACCAAAGGGCACTACAGATAGACTTGGTTTAGAACCCGGGTCACTGGAATATGAGACCACTGCTCTACCAACTGAGCTATCGCACCTCCCTGTGAAAGTCTTCAGATTTTGAATCGGTTCATATGTTGCAAGCTCACTTTTTTTGCCACATAATTCAAAATATCAAAGCTTGAACTGAAGTCCTCCTCTTGGGTGAAATAAAACTGAATGCTGGTATATTCAAAGACACCGTAACCAAAAGTTCTGCATCATGTCTAACTAAAATGTTGGCGATCGCAATTAAGTGCATGCAGAAACCTCCATGGCAGTTGACCCATGTATATTCAGAAATTTCATATGTAACTATCTCCACTATCGTATCATTTGTACTACAGAGGAGGTTTGTCCGAGATGGCCGGGGGGTCGAGTGCTTCCTGATTGGATGGTTGTCATCTCTGGAGCGTGCTCAGTTGATCTTGAAGGGTGTCCATTACTTCAACACTGTGAAAATGTAAAAGTAATTGTGTTTCTCATTTATAGAAAGATTGCCTGTTTATTTATTTGTAGACAGTTACAACACAAAAATCACACACAGTAATAAATAATGCACATGATTTATTTGCTCTACGTTACAATATCTTTTGCTTCATTTGGTGTGCTCCATACTCGAGAGATAGACAGATTGCTTCAGATTGCCAACAGCTTGCAAAAAATCTAAATTGAGCAATTGGTATGATTTTTATTTTTTAATGATTAAATATCAACAGCACCTGTTAGTGAATGCATGGTTTGAAATTATCAATTATAACTGAGAATGTTTTTATAAATGTTGCATATGAATCTTTATATAACTATATAACACCTAACAATTATGATCAAACATTTTCCAACTCCTATGATTTATGAAATGGGATCAAGAATTTTTCACTTACTTCCTTTCAATTGCCTCTGCCCTGGAAAGAGAAATAAAGAACAGTATAGTATTACATATTACAGGAATATGAAACCAAATTGTTAAGCCTTTTTTTGCTGTAAAGTTAACAGAATGATTTTTCTCTCCCACATAGATTTCCATGATTACCAGCAATCTCTCTGGGAGAGTTATAGAGTAATTTGTCTACAGTTTCCTTCTTCCACCACAAACATGAGAAATTTGCCCACAAATGTTCACATTGTTTCACTATGTTTCACTCTCAAAGTAAAATGCGAAATCGAACCTCGAGTCATGGTACTTCCCTGAAATTTGCCTCATATTCTTACTCTTCCCTGAATTTGAAGAAATAAAATAAAATAAAATAGCAATCTACATTCTGTAAAATCACATTTACTTTTCTTATTATAACTCTATATGAGAGTCAATACTCACTGAAACCTGAGATGAGATGCTAATATGTCCATTTTCTTGAGTGTCTGTAAAGTTGAATGAAATATAAGGAAAAATAGTTCTATAAAATATGCAATATTACAAGTCATGGACAGATTTCTTGCTTTTGGAAGGCACCCATGGACCTGTTTTGACAACCATTGGGCATGGGTGCATTTATATTAATAAGTCACTATAGAGTAATTAAACTGTAACAACTAATATCAATATCATGCAATTTTAAATATTTTAATAAAATCAATATAGGTCTAGATCTCAATCTAAACCTCTCAATAGACTTGCCCGATATTTCTTAATTTTCTTTTAATCACCAACATAAAATTAAAAATAAACAATGAAAAATGCAAGGCTGATTGATTGTCACAAACCTGCAATGAGCTCTCCACAGTTCCTTCTTGAGAAGCAAAATTCTTTGCTGCATGAAGCAACATCTATGAGTTTGAAAAAAGAGGTAGAAAGAAAAGATACATTATTTTCATTTTCAAAAAAGGACGAAAAACAAACAAACATGGCCAGCAAAAAATTCACCATGTAATGATGTTTCCATGTTTATGTAGATTGTAGGTCTATGTCTTTATAATTATGTATTTTTATGTTATGTAGGACCCCCAAGTATAACAGTATTTTAACTAGACTACTGATGGGGCTACCCTGTTGAAATAAAACAAAATAATTTTATTTAAAAAAAGCAAGAACATTGAACTTCGAAGAATAAATCAAAATAACAAATACTTAGTACTTGGTACATGGTTGGGTAATCCCTTTGGCAGCTCACTCAGGTAGGTGAGGCGAGTAACTAGTACAAGGAGTGTCATGAATTGCTGGAATGGTGTGTGGACAAAGCACACAAATCAATGACAAACAATCGCAAATTTAGATCCAATGATCACCATTAAATTAGTTTTACATTTAATAAAAACAAAGTTATAGTATACTTGCTCTTGGCAATGGATTATTGCTTTCTAAATGATGTGCCCCAAGTAGTAAGACTGTGTAACGCTGAGTCTAAGAGTATTGTAACATGAACTGATGAAATTGTGGGAATGCCCGACATCACCACAGCTCCGACAGCACCTGGATGCGCATTTACATGAAACACATACACCTTTATCACAGCTATTCGTATACATGACTGATCATTGTACTCACTTCATTGGACTTCGAGCTTCTCAACACTTGTCGAGTAAGAGATCCTAAATCCGTCACATTTTCTTGAATTTTCAAGGGTAGCCTAGGATCCATATTATGTGGCTGCATTGCCATAGTATTTTTAATTTAATGATAATGTGGTCAAAGTATTAAAAATTCTGATTTTTAGCCTTGACGACACGGCAAAGGATCGAGGGGAGTCAAGCGTGACGCACAAGTAAAGCTGAAATTCTCTATCTCTATTTTGGACATATTTAGTATTCGGTGGTGCAGCGGTATCTTTGAGAAGTAAAACAAAAAGAAAGAAGGAAAGGGGAAAGAGAGAAACATATATTTATAAACAAATAAATATAGAGAGAAATAAAGAAAGAAAGGAAAGAAAAAGACAGAAAGGCTTATCCAAGTTTTTTTTAAATAGAAGAGAGAAGAAGAAAAGGAAAGGGAGAAGGATGGAGAAAAAGTAGCTGAAAATCATTTCCCTTACCACATGAAAGTTCCCTCTTCACGCTGAAAAGAGTCAACAATGAGAGTTGTGACTTGTGTATCCTATCTTTCGATGAGATTACCTTTCTAAACAAAATTGGTCTCAGTGTTGTGTTAAGAGCAGGCACGTAGCCAGAGTTTGATGTTTGGGGGGTCAAAAAAAGGGGTCTAAAAAAATTCAACCGATCTTGGAATTTTGGAGGGCATATGCCCCCCGTGGCTACGTGCCTGGTTAAGAGCCGTGAATATTTAGTGTAAAGTAGAAAATTAAAGAAGATTTCATTTTAAGCTAACATTTATCCTCATTTTTACTATTTCATGCTAGACCTAGAAAAATATTGTTCTTTTGCCGCAAAATTGAATGAACAATGTTTTAACGTTGCCCTCCCCCGCTTATTAAGACATACAGGCTGTGCCGCTCTAATGGGTAACTTTTTCACAACAAATCCTAAAAATGGGTCCCATTCTAATTTTTAAACCAAATATACCTAAACATGGGTAAGTTTTTTTCAAAATTTCCAAAATTTTGGGGCATGCAAACACCTGCGAAAGTTGAAAAAAAAATTGGCTTTTCTATAAAAAAAATCCCCCTAAAGACCCTTTAAAATGGGTAGGGGTTTCGAGGCTTAAGCGGCACACCCCCCCCCCCCCCCGTCCAAACCATCTGAGATCGTCCCCCCCCCCCCTCCCCCCGGCGTTTGAGAAAAGAGGGTTGCTAGCAAGCTCAGATTTATGCTAAAAAGTCTAATATGCAAAGTTCCAAACCTCTACAAGCCACATGATGTTTTCTAGCTTCTAACAAAAAATAAAGGCAAATATTTACTTCCAAATATTCCTCGGGCATCAGTGGGAAATTGATGTTGTTGCAATTTGTCTTAGCTTTCTCAAGGGCACCGTCAGTCGATTGTGACTGAATTAGAAATAGCTCGCAATGTTCACTGATTGAGTGAAAAATCACCAAAATGGCAGGATTTCGTGAATCACAAAGTGGAAGACGGCGTAAAAATGGTCAAGAACCATTCACAAGAAGTCGTGAAGAGTGGCAACAGTTATGTGGAGAGGTAAGTTCAAGGACTTATTTGTAAAAATTCTCTTAACTATTATTATTAATGTTGTTGACAACTGAAAACAGCTGTGCGAGTTCATTTCAGTCCCACATATCATGGAATTTGTTGTGTTCAACAACCGCAGGATTGACACGAGTACGACTACAAGTCAATCAACCAATTTCCCCCAAAGTCCTAATTTATCAAACTTTAAGTTGTTGTGACTCACTTGGGTTGTGTTTTAGAAATACGTGATATTAAATATCTAAATGTAGAGTCATGTATTCGATATTAGTTTATTTAAATACGGAGTCGGTAAGCCTTTACTTTAGACCTCTTTAGTTTTAGTTACTGTTGGCCGATGTTAAAAAATCATGCAAATTCATAATTTGGAAGTCTTCCAAAATCAGTAAACTTCATACTTATTCAGCTTTTTGGTAAGCACCTAGCCTTGGGTTAAGTGATAATGTAAAATATGATATTTTATTTCAGTTAGCCTTAATTGGCATCCATACCCAGCAGGGGCGCTGGTGCAAGAATAAGGATCGTTTTCGTAAACGCGGACAGGGGGCCGTTTCTCGAAACCGTCATAACTACAAGATCAATGACATCTCGCCACTGTCGCGCAACTTGTCAGCTAAGTGTTTCATGAAGCCGTCTTTGCCAAGATGAGCGACAACTTCCGCGACAAGCGAGTTGTCACTGCTCCGAACCTGTCATATCTTTTTAATTGCTGTAAACAACGAAAAAAATAAACGGTGGCGACGGGCGATTCGCCCCCTAAACCTCTGAAATCGCCACAGTAAAAATCAAGACGAGGGCGAAAAAAAAATCAATATATCTTGAAAAATCGCCCCCGCCATAAATTGATATTCCCTATGAATTAATAAACCAATTTATTGATGTGTCTGAGTGAAATCTCCGTTCCAACTACCAACTCCAAAACTAGAAACTTCCATCAACATTTTAAAAGTTTTGTGAGTTGCAGCGGATCGGCGGTCGTACCTACTGTAGCTAGATCTACAGCGGTATCCGCCTGCCTGCGCCTAAGCTCCCGGCGGCCGGACAGGCCACCGGCCCCGATGTAGTTTCGTGCACAGCATGAATGCATACGCAGTTCGCACACGTTCACAATACACAGAAACGTACTAGCTCAGCTCCAGCGCGCGCCCGCACGCTCCTTGTATGAAGCAAATAAGTATTTGCGAGTGACGAGAGCTCAACTGCTAGCGACCAAATTGGTACGTAATATGTTTATTTAGTCTTTTTTCTGGCCCTAATTTTTATTATGGACAATGCAATCCCATTAAAAAAAATGTTATTCCGTCTAAAATTGTGTTATTTATAAGTTAAAACCACTAAATGCGAGTATATTTTTTACTGTTGTCCCACATACTGATATATTTGTAATAACGAAACGTGCAAAATCAATGCCGGATTTTTTCCTGTAAAATCGGTATAAAGCAAGTTTCGTACACAGAAATTGAATTTTGTTATAAAAAAACCGTAAATAAATATATAAAGGATGTTCCTACTCCTCAGAATCTTTCTTACAACTGTTTAATTAAATTAAATTATTTATATACGATCGATGCCAGGCCAATTGTCATGAGTGATGATGACATCAATTTCTGTCTACGAAATGAAACTAGCTTTGGCTTGGCCTTTAGAATTAGAGTCTATAAAAAAAAAAATAAGGCCATGATTTTGCATGTTTCGGCATAACAAATAGACCCTACATCGGTATGTGGGACAACAGTAAAAATATTTACTCACATTTAATGGTTATAAATGGTCTAAATAACACAATTTTAAAGGGAGTTGGTCTACTTTTTTTTTTAATGGGATTGCATTGTCCATGATAACAATTAAATTTGGGACAGAAAAAAAGACTAAATAACATATTACCTACCAATTTGGTTGCTAGTAGTATGATGGCTAAGGAAAAACACAACTTATTGTTACAGCTTACAATATGGCTTTAAAGAAGTAGCCCCTTGGTTTTTTTTAGGCAATGGGGAAAAGTAGCCCCCATAAAAAAATTAATTCCTAGCCCGCGTGTCAGTGATAATATTTTCTTAGGATATGAAAAACGAACAGTTAAACAAAACACTCCTTTTGACAAGTTTTAGTTACATGTATATATGTAAATCATAAAGCCACACGTTTAACACAAAGTGAATAAATCATGGGTATCTGAATGTCTGCAATACTCTACATGACATATGTACGCTACAATTGTATCTATATTTGCCTTTGCTTGGAATTTAATTAGGTAAAACCGCGTTTAAAAAAAATACAACCTTTAAAAAAAAAAAGCCCCCCTGAGCTCCAAAATAGCCACCGCAAAATAATTAAGGGGGGCTATTTTTTTAAGGGAAAATCTGAAAAGAGCCCTCATAAAAAAAAAAGTAATTTTTTGGTTGGCTGTAAAGCGCCATCACAAGTCAGTTTGTTGCCATTCCATGGGCCGCGAAATGGACGATTTGTTTCACTATCATTTTGAGAAAAATATAGACGAGTTCGGTACGTAATTCTCTGGGATGCGAAATGCAAATGTACAAAAGTGAGAATACAAATTATACAGAAACTTTAAAAAGCTTAATATAAACATTAAATCACAAATCATTAAACTATAACATATAAATAAGAGAGGTAAGAATGTTACACATCGTTTTCCATAGTCGATCCATAGTCTTTTCTTAGGATACCGTCATACCTTTGGGGCCTATGTGCATTATTTTTCCCTCTCTATTTACTTCTTCCAAATTATATTTTCAATATAAAATCAATTATGTAACGAGTATTTATGAGACTCTAGAATAAAAACTGGCTGAAAAAGGACATTTTGCCTAAAATTCCTCGTCACAATAAACAAAAAAGTATGTATTGATAAACTATCACATTACGGTATCCTTCAACTAACTTTTGATTCGACTGTCGAAAAAAAACACTCACCGGTTTTTCTTTAATTTAAGATTCTTTACAGAAATATGCAAATCGTTTGATGATGTAAATATGATAATGACACTATTTATTATTTATTTTAGGAGAATTTATATGTATATATTTCTTTTTGAACAATTTTAGCCCCAAAACTTGTTTTGGGTTATTCTTGATAAATCAAATGGATCGTGACAAAGACTATGTTCTTGAGCTGCTAGTATCGCGATATATCGATATCATGTCTGTCATGGCTTTGTGAAACGGTTTATCCGCTTCATGACATCTCCGTCGGTCGCCGACAAAGATATGACTGTCATGGAGTTGGTTTCGAGAAACGGCCCCCAGATGTGTCCGCAAAAATTAGGATCGTCCGCTTTTTCGCTCAGGATTCTGATTTCCGATCCGCGCATTGACGATGCGAAAAACGGATTCAGTGATGATTTTCTTGATGCATTTCACATTGACTTTGTACAGAGACTTTCACGTTATGAGCAATAAAACCTCGGGAAGACGGACAACCCATAAAAGTAGACATTGAACTGGGGGTATTTTATTATGTTTTTTGCAATGCCAGCAGGCGGATCAAGAACCTAAAACTCAATGAGTGCCGAAGGACAAAAGTTTTTAGGAAGCATTTTGTCAGCGTTTACGAGGATATTCTCGTTTATGCGGACGATCCTCATCCTCAGACACTTTGTTCTGACACCCCTGCGTAAAGAGGCAGGTAAACAAAACCTAAAATTGTCCAAATTCTTCCAGCACGCGACGAACATTGCACAGTTCAGTGGCTTTGGATTTAGCTATAGCACTTTTCTTTCTTCTCATAAAAAGCAATTTGAAATAGGTCATGAAATAAATATAGAATATGAAAAATTTAGCTACATTAGCTACATTTTAAGTTCTGTTCAGCTTACAAATCGACTCATCTAATGTAAAAGGTTGTAATAAAACCTCATACACCCTAACAAGTATGACCACGATGACAACTTTATATTTGCTGCCCTCTACTACTGTACTTCAGCATACAATAATAATTTTTTTAAAAGCAGTTTTGGTACTTCAGCAACAAGGCAGCGCATATCCAGAGTCTAGGTCTGTAACTGATCATCGGATCAGGGGCCGATCTTGAGTCGATCAGGTGAGATCGGATAATAATTTCCGATCACCGATCAATAAAAATGATCGGGAAAAGATTTTTTTTTTTTTTTTTAATGCCGAAAAGATTTGGGCTGTCAAATGCCTTTAAAATTTGCATAGCTGGGAATATTTTGTCATTTGGAGTTGATGCAGACCATGTTTGTTGATATTTAGTGCCTTTTCATGACTTTGAAATGAAGAATATTGGTCCAAGAAAAGAGGCAAAAGAGGCTGCCATCTTGGATTATAATGCACTTGATCATTTTCGGCATTAAAAAAAAAAAAGTCTGCTGACTTTTTGGGCCAATCATTTTTGCCAATACCGATCACAGGTGCGAGGGTGTATCGCTCCGATCTTCCGTTCCGATCAAAGCCCCAGCTTACAGGATTACCAGACTCATTATATTGTACCAGAACAAAATCACCCAAGGCAAAACTTTAAATTTTAAATGTCAAGTTTAACCATTTAATGAGTTAGCTGGTCATCAAAGAATAGGGGCTTCCCCAGACAAGGTGCTGGTAAGTCCTATCATACTTTTCATCCTTTAGATGTATCTGCTCAGTGATAGAGCAGTTGTCTCATACCCTGAAGGTCCTGGATTCAAAACCAAGTTGATGCAAATATACTAACAAATCAACCAACCCAACATTTCATGTTGTACTTCTTCAGGTTATTATTGTGTAGCTGTAGTCTATGTGTACTCATCCTATTTTTTACCCTTAATGACCTACGAATCCCTGCTTCTGCCTTTCCTACATGTATGTCCTGTTTAGTTCAACATTTGCAAGAGAAAGCACCAAGCCAAATCAGATGCTCTGCTGGTTCTTGCGAAGGAACTTGATAACGTAAGACAGGAGAAAGATGCTTACAAACTCATGGCTGAGCAACTCAGAGAAAAGTTCCATGAACAGAGGAAGAAATACGAGGAGAGAGAAAGGGTAAGGAGAAACACCAGATGTACATAAATTATTGATTTTAGAAGTTAAAAAAAGTTGTTACCCTGTATTTAAGATATTTCAGGTATTGAACACAAGAGTTTGATGCAAACCAAATTATTCAATCAGTTGTGAAATACTTTGCAATTATTAAATAACTTTCTTTACATAAAAATGGTAAAATGGCAAATTATCAAACAAAAAAGTGATAAGAATTCTTATTGTTGCTTTCAGTAAATTTTGATAAATTTCAAATAGCGCCTATGACCGTATAATGGTAGCTTTGACCCTGAAAATTGACTTTTGAGAAAAATTGAAAATAAAAATTTACCGGTGCTCTCAGTAAATTTTGATAAATTTCAAATAGCGCCTACGACCGTATAATGGTAGCTTTGACCCTGAAAATTTCAGAATATTTAGTTGTGATATATGATTACCAAACGGGAATAGCTTATCAGTCGATATTAGTCAAGAAACATTGTTTTATAGCTTAAGTAATATCTTAACCTTGAGAGGGAGCTATACAACATAAAGAGTTTATTATTTATAATCTCATAACTTCAGACTCGATTTCAACCGCGACAACGATCACTGAATATTGTAGGATCGCATATGTTTCCAATATGTTCATTTGAACCAAATTCATGACACCATACCAAAACTTTGTATTACCTTTAATGTTGCCAATTTGCTAATTCCTTTAGGCTCTTGGATTATCTCTACACGATGGTGACCCATTAGCAGAGAGAAGGAATCATGTGAGTGTTGATAAATGAAATTGATTAATTTTCTCTCCCAGTGATCTGTGGGAAAAATCTGAACACAAGCATATAGGATGTTTTCCCCTTAGTATACAGGAAGGTTCGACCCATTCAGGTCCTCCTTGCTTTGGTACAATTAATATTAATACACTTTATAGATTGATTCCTCTTTTATTAGAAATGCCTTGTTTCATTGATGCATTGGACATAAAATACCTTCCATTAATATAAAATTCCAGATTAAGGCAACCGTTTCTGTTTGGGGAAGAAAAGTGTAGGTCTTCTCAGCTCAAACATATTGTGCAACGCTAAAGTTGTAGGGTGGGATTTCCAATGGCAACAGGATCTCAGTGTTGAGATACTGGACATTAAATCATCAAGTTCCAATGGAAAAAAATCAACACACAGCTACAGCATATATACATTATGTAGATAGGAGAATTCAGATAATTTGAAACATGGGAAGGTATGTGCCGATAGATGAGTTCTTAAATAAATACATACAAACTTGAAATCAAATGCTTGAGGCACACTGTAATAATAACAATAATATTTGGTTCTTGTATAGGGCATATCACATTTAAACATCTTGATGCGCTTCCAAAAGAAGAAAAATCACATAAAAGAATGAGATACCGGTACACAAAAGTACAACGTGAGTAGGAAAAAACATAAAAAAGGAAGAAAACAAGTAATTACATTGAAATTTAACTACACTCACTTTTACATGTACTGGTATTTAAGTATTGCTCAACATAACCTTCATGTACACTGTACATGTACATAGAATATATTACATTTACTCTGTAAGTGCTTTATTTGTTTAGCTAGGCTTGACATTTGATATTGCTTGCTCACAGCTGTGTGTCATGTCAATAGCCTGTGCCTTAGGTACTTATGATTCATTGAATACAGGTGCATCTTCATGTGAAAGCCACATCGAGGGGTCAGTGACACAAAGATGTAACTCCATATTTTGCCAAAATGAGTATTTGACATCAAAATGTTCAGAAAAATGGGCTTTCCAGGAAACACAAACACGTAAACTCAAGTCAATGGCTAGTAAAACATAGACTGAACTCAAGGCTCAAGTGCTCAGTGACACATAAACCACTTTTTCTCAAAATGGCCTAAATGGAGTTACGTCTTTGTGTCACTGACCACCCGACATGTAATGACTTAAACATGCTTGTGTATAGCCATTGATAGGTTGTGTTTCATGCCCTATATGCTATACAGTACTTATACACTGTTACTTTTTGTATACAAAATGTTGAATGAAGACCATTACACTGCAGTATTGGTGATTAAATAGAGAATTAATATGAAACAATGAAATTTAAAAAAATGTTTGTGTAATTTTTACACTCAAAACAGGTAGCAATGATGAATAAAGAACGAAAAGACAAGACAATAATGAAAACTATAAATTACAAAAAAAGGAAAACACACACTTATCACATATATGTAATATAATGAAGAAACTCAGTCGATTTTTTATACAAATACTATTCAGACATACATGTAGGATTAAAAGAAAACACATGTCAACATGTTGTTTTAGTGGTAGTTGCTCTGGCTTCAGTCTACATGATCTACAGTGGTATCTTTTTGATAGACATATATATTTTTCATATCTTTATTTATTCAAATTTAAATTTTGAATGTCAAGAAGAGGTAAGTGTAAATATAATTTGTTTTTTACATTTCATTTGTGTATGAAGCATATTTCTTTACATTTTATTTGATTTCTAGGGTTTTTGCTGCTTCTGACTGTACACTAAGTTAACAATTTCCCTTTTTATACAGACCCTTGTGCAGATTCTATGTGAATCCAGAGCAAAGAATCGGAAAGCTGAGCTAGAGCTGGTAGATCTACACCAGAAGTTATCTGAAGCAGAAGGAGATATCAAGGTAATATCCGGGGATGCCAGTTTTCAGGCAATAGTCTGAATTCAGGCCCTGGCGAGTTATTTTCAGAGCATAGTTTAGGCTTTTTTTGTGTACTAAATAGCTCATTCTAGGTGATTTTCAGGCCCTCTGATCAATTCTAACTGGCATCCCTGAACATCATACATGTACAGCTTTCATTGCGTTATAATTCTTGTGCAAATTTGTTTACAAACCTCTTACACGTAGAGCTCGACAGAGTTTTGCGATCACGTAAAGAATATAAAAATTACATACCCTAGATTTGTTTTAAGAATTTGAAACAAATGTGAGAATATTGAGTGAAAATTGAATTTGTTTTTTTATGTATATTCATCTGCACTTGTACTAGAAAACAGTGAGTGAGAAATAAAATGAGAGAATTCACTTATCATCTTTATTTATTTATTTATATTTTTTTGTAGCTTCTGAGAGAGAGCATAGCTAGACAGCGGATCGGTGATGAAGGGATCGGAACTAGGCATTTTCCAGCTCATGAGAGAGAGGAGTTAATCAGACAGTTAGAGAAATCCAGAGAGCAGGTTTGTTAGCCATTATTATGAGACGGGTCAGCAATACTTTCTTACAATATAATCTAGATCTAGAGTATAGATAGATATTAGATCTAGATCTAAGTTAGATCTAACTATATCTAGGTATAGAATATTCTAGATCTAGATCTAGATATTGAAAATTATGCACAAATTAAATTTGGCCGAATTGCGCGAAAGTGATATTGGCAGGTATCGAGCGTGTGTTATCAATTTTTGATGGGAGATGTTAAGCACGAGGGGAATAACTAATCCACACCCACGTAATGTCAATTGACCAATCGGATTGCCTAGATTCTAGAACCTGTCTTATAATAATTACTATAGATACAGGTTTGTTAGTCCATTCTATCTGATAGAGCAGTATCAGTAGTCTTTTCTTTCAGTCCTTGTAGTTGTCCTGAAACAACCTTCTTTTAGAACCCCCCCCCCCTAAAAAAAAAAAACTTTTACAAAGTTAGTGGTCCAGATATTTGATTGTTTCACTCTGCAAAATAAGTTAATCATAACATGTATTATTCATGAAAGTTTATTTCCGTAAAAAATCTGGCCCCTATGAACAAAATTTTGGGATGTACATTATGAAATCAATGCTTTTCTACTATTGCAGTTTTTGTACAAATTCTGTTTGTGTATTTCTGACAGCCTCAAGAAATTAACAGATCTATTTTTCATTTCTTCCCACCATAGATTGAAAGCTTAGAGAGAGACATGGTGGCTAAGATCGATGATCAGCAAGAATTTGTGACGGAGAGAGACTACTACCGAACCAAGACTGAGAGGCTTAATCAGGAACTCAACTACGTCTTGGGAGGAGATGACAGAAGGATCATCGATGTCGACGCCCTCGTCATGGAAAACAAGTAAGTTACATTTAGTTGGAAGTTAGTACTAAATTCTCTCCTTCCAAAACCTTTAAAGGGACTCAAAAGGGACTGAAACAAAATCCTGGATTTAGGTCATGTTGCAATCATAATTATAAACCTCTAGGTCAGTAAGGAACCCCATGACTTTTACAAGCCGATCGCCTGTCTGATTATCAACATATTTATGATCGGAAATCAAAATCAAATTTTGCGTTTTCCTAACGGTTTACATAACACTGCAGTCTATTGGGAAAAACCGAGTACCGGTATGGTAAAACCGGTCACTCAAAGATGTTTACTTTTTTGAGGCACTTCTTGATCATTTAAGGACTGCAATATTACACCATGTCACAGACACTGATAACATGTAGGGCCATGCATCTCAGATTTGTAAAACTGGATCATTGTTAAAAAATGCCTTTAAAGTGAACCACCAATCATTAAAAAAAATTGTTTTGTATGTTAGTAGTTTTATGTGATTATACTATACTATTTTCGAAATATGAGTTCCAAATGTTATGTCTGTAACATTTTCGGGTTGTCTGTCCGTCCGTCCGTATGTCCCCTTCTCGTGATTGCGTTATCTCAAGAACCAATTGATGGATTCTTGCCAAACTTGGTTCATGTAGCATCTTGCAAAGCCAATGAACCGAGTAGATTTAGGGGTCACAAGATCAAAGGTCGCAGGGCTCATTTTGTATGCAAAAATAGCTTGTGACCACATTATCATTAGAACTGATTGACTGATGAGCATCAAACTCAAGACGTATCTTGCTTTGTCAAAGGTCAAAGGTCCTTTTTGGTTTGTAAAATCACTCTATGGCGGAGGCATCAGTTTCGACTACGCGCAGTCGAAGATCCATCTAGTTTAATATGTGGTCAATTATATCATTCAGTATCACACTGGTCACTGCAAAAAAATGTAGTTATATTTGACATAGGATAGTGAAAGAACCCCCTCTACTGACTTCCTGAACGTGTAAATGATTTTGTCAGTAATTGCTCTCGGACAACAAGTTATGTGTACACTTTAACTCTCAAGGAGTTATGACCTAGAAGGTGAATTGCCGGTTGGTCTACAACCAGTTCGTCTACTACCCAATTAGTCTATTCCCACTTGGTCTACACCCAGCCCGTGTAATATCCACATGGTCTCATAATTATTTATCATTTGGTCTAATGACTATTTAGGTTAATAGCCATTTAGTCAACAGCAATAAACTTATCTACATGTAGAATAGCAAACCCGGTACATGTCCTAAAGTTCATGCAATATAATTATGGTGATGATAATGTTCCATGTGCAGAGACATGTCTACTGTCTATCCCCACATGGTCTACACCCAGCCCGTCTAATATCCACATGCTCTAATAATCATTTGGCCTAATGACCATTTAGGCTAATAGCCGTGTAGTCTAACTTCATTTTGGTCTAATCTCCAATAAGTAGACAGCAATATACCGACCTAGAATAGCATACATGACTTGAAGTTCATGCAATATAATACTACGCAGACGACTACAATACTGATGACATTTTTATAATTGAATTGTAGAGATTGTCATTCTTTTGATGCTAACGATAACGCTAAGGTTAATTATAGTAATGACATTGTTTCATGTGCAGACAGTTTATTGAGCTTGTGGGAAGATGTTTGTCCATGAATTTGAGACTTTGTTGATCTTGTAAGCTGACACGTGTACCAGCATGCGCTGGCTAAAATAAGCAAAGAATTCATGCATTTTTATATTAAACGCAGCTGCACCAAAAGTTGTTGTGGAGTATCAAATAAAGGGACCTGGTCAAACTTTGTTCTATATTGTGTGCATGAGATAGAACTCATGCAACTAGATGTAGGGACTTGCTCAAGCTAGTTTATAAATGTGTTTTGGATGTAATTTAATGACCCATATTTAGGGACCTACTCAAACTAGTTCGTATGTCTGAAATGCAATTCAATCATACCTGTATCTATTATCTAGGGACCTACTTAAGATCAAATGTGTGCATATATTGCATAGAATTCTAGTCCAAATCTAGGGATCTACTTCAACTCTTTTGGTACGATTAAACAAAGAAGTGCATCAAAATCTAGGGACCCCCTCAAACTTGTATCTATTAAAGCGTAAAGAGACATTAATGTCATATGCGCTATATAAGAATTGAACATAATTATAATAGATTTCACCTTAAAAGATGATAGTTCATCTGACCTCACTTAGCTGTAATACGATCATTCATAACAAGAAATTTTATTTTATTACCTGTATGTGCTATAAATTTAATGTTGTGTATGCCCTTGATGACAGAGCAGTAATGTTTAAAGGTACGATTTAATCATCTGGTCAGGAAATTTGATTCTCTTATATAATCCCTTGTCACATTATCATAACAAATGGTTACGTCATAGAGATGGAAATAAAATTAATACATCAAATGAAATATGATCTGTTGTAGCTACGACATGCTTTGATCATTAAAAAAGCTGTAGCTCTTTATGTCTTTTATCAAAACATATAAATTACTGTCGACTATAGAGAATTTTAAGAATTAGGATTCCACGCGGGCAACTTCACTGGCCTAGAGCTTCACTTTGATGGTTCAGCGACACAAAGACGTAACTCCATATTTTGCCAAAATGAGTATTTGATATCAAAATGTTCAGAAAAATGTGGGCTTTCCAGGAAACACAAAGACTTAACTCCACCCAATACCCCATTAAAGTCAATGGCTAGTGAAACATAGTCTTAACTCCTAAAGGCTCAAGTGCTTTGTGACACATAATCCACTTTTTTTCTCAAAATGGAGTTACGTCTTTGTGTCACTGACTTGATGAAATGTGGCATCTTTACAATTTCCTGTTACGTAATCCTGTCATGTAATCCACACATCAATTCTGTAAGTGGATTTCTAAAGTGGATTTCTTAAAAGTCCTTCTAATCATATCTGTAACAAAAATAAATAGGGGAAGGAGAAACAAACTGAATACATAGGATTTGGGATTCCTTAAAGGAAACCAAAACCTTCATACTAAGTTACTTTTATTGTAAAGTTTAAGATATTTGAAAATATCAGTGACAATTTGAACAAAATCGGTCAAGGAATAAGGAAGTAAGAGCTTTTTGAAATGACTAGTCACTAGAGGGCGGTATTCAATTTGATGACATCATCTGTGGACAACTCTCCATGCCTTTTGTACATCAAATTTCATGTTTTTCCTTCTTTCTTGTGATTGAGATAATGTACTCCCCCCGAAAGCAAGATATAGAATGCAAAATGATATTCTACTTTACATGTTATGAAGTCGGATCAAGAACACAAATAAATACGTAGAAAACAAAAAAATTGTGAAATTTTATGTACAAAAGGCATGGAGAGTTGTTCACAGATGATGTCATCAAATTGAATACCGCCCTCTAGTGACTAGTCATTTCAAAAAGCTCTTACTTCCTTATTCCTTGCCCGATTTTGTTCAAATTTTCACTGATTTTATTCAAATCTTTTAAACTTTACAATAAAAGTAACTTAGTATGAAGGTTTTGGTTTCCTTTAATGAATAAGTTCAATGATGAGGGCAAGGCAAACAAATATATAAAGAAATAGTCACAGTACAAGTTTTTTTTCCTAAGAAATTAAACAAGTTTTTCATCAATTGTCAATGGTATCATATTCAAAACTAATACATGTATGTATGAATAAACTGAATTAAATTGAATTGAATGCAATATTTCATATTCAATATTCAAAATGTACTTAATTATTTCCAAATTACTGGTCCAGTTTTCCTTACAAGGTAAAGTCAGAACGACATGATTATCCCTCAATCAGTAAAATTATGTCAACAAGCAAACAAGACCTGGAAGGATATAATTAAATTTGATGATTAAAGGGTGATAATTTTAGGTATGGAAGAAAGGGTTGCAACAATGCTGGTAGATCATGGATAGCTGTTGTCGCCTGCCTTGCTTAGGTCCAGCTATTGAGGGAGCACCGTTAATCCGTTATGGGCTAGGGGAAGGGGGCATTTTAACTCCGTGAAAGAAATTTGAGAAAAAAGGTCCATCAAGCGGAAGAATGGTGTCTTTATTTTTTTAAACAACGTTATCTTCCCCATCTTCCTTTCTTCTGTATCTTTCTCTAGAGCGTATTTTTCTGTTTGTATTACCCAGTAGTTTGTTTTGTTTTGTTTTTTTGTTTTTTTTGGGGGGGGCACATTCCTCTCTCTCTCTATCTCTCTCTTCAGTTTCAAAATTATCTTGTTTTATCTGTCTAGACTCTGAAGTACTTTGCAATTCAAACACCACTTATGACATAACTAAATAATGCCTCATGAACTAAGCTTGTCAAGTTCTGGTTTGAATACTGTAGTTTTAGTTGTGAGAACAATGTTTTCTTGGTACTTTCAGATGTGATTAATTTTGTGTGTGCAGGATATCCTCTTGGACTATGAACCAATTTTCACACCAAAGATATTTTTCAATTTTGTTAAAAATGGAGCTTATAAATATACAAATAATTCATGTTTGCAAGTCCATCAGTGAATATGCATTGCACGCAAGTCAAAATCTGATAATGAACAAGATTTGTCAAGTTCATTGTCTGTCTCAATGTGACTCCGCCAAGTGCAGTGCATGTCACTAATGCACAAGCTCCAGAAGGGGTCTGCAATTATGAATATAATGTTGAGAAATAAGCAACAACTCTGATCGAAACGGCAACAGTCGCTCAGTCATTAAATTTACTGTATGCTTTATTAAACGACATCACAATAAGCGTGCAGTCAAACAGTATAATGTGCGTCTCAACGTGCTATTGCATGAAACAATGCACCTTGATTTTGTACGCCTAGAGATCTATACGCATACTTGCATCTCAGCCGTGCATTATCACCTTTAGCCATGCATTATCACTTTTAGCAGTGCGTTATCACTTTTAGCCGTGAGTTATCACTTTTAGCCATGCATTATCACTTTAGCAGTTTGTTATCACTTTTAGCAGTGCTTTATCACTTTAAGCTGTGGGTTATCACTTTTAGCCGTGCGTTATCACTTTTGGCTGTGTGTTATCACATCTAGCAGTGCATTATCACTTCTAGTTGTGCGCTATTACTTTTAGGCTCGGTTGGACACAATGATGCATGGTGGTCTCATCTCATTTGACCAATTAGATTGCCTAATTTCTTGAACGCATTTTATAAAACCTAATGCTATTATTCTGTAGATATATATCTTCATATATGTGGATGAATTAAATTAAAGCAAGACTTCCATTATGATCTAAAGTTCAATATTGTCATTATAGATTGATTGCAATAGGTTATGGTAATATATTTGTTGCTACCTGATCCATTTAGGTTCTTGTTTTCATGGTCAATTGTTCATCATAGTATAATTTTACTTTCAAACTCTTCATTAGTCTCATTTTTGACAGTTCATGGACTGTTTATGGGAGTAAATATTGATTACTACCAGTATAATGATGGCTTATCTGGGTAATCGAGGTTGTTTTAGAAGCACATGTGTGCCCATATGTTTTTTTTTTTTTTTTTATATGTCAGAATATGAATCTGTTAGGCAAGATGCTGTACATGTTGGTACTGGTTTAGATGTGCAAAAATTTCATGTCACAAAATGATGTAATCTCAACTGACACAACATTAAATTGTTGCCACTTCTCAAATTTCCTTGCCAACAAAATGAACATCTACATCACCATGCAAGCCAACACTTACAAGCAGCATCTAAAACGAACTTTATTTGCAAATAGTTATGTGTCATGAGAGTGAATTATGTAAGTGCAGTTAGAATATGCACAGATTTGAAATCCGCTCTGTTCTGCACTTTTTTGACCTTGTTTTTGTGTAGTTTGTTCTGATATTCTTTAAAAGGTTTTGTCTTGTTCACTATTACTTTTGATAGATATTTGAAGGAGCGGATGAATCAGAGTCTTGAAGAGAAAGCCACGCTGCAACAAACAATCAACAAATACAAGGTAGGAGGAGTTAATCACATGACAGTAGAACAGAGCACACCATCCAAAATGAGTCTATCAGCGTGTCCACACACAACAACAAATATCCTGAAACTCTATAAAGAAACGTATAAAGAATCCTCACTTTTGACTTTCTATTTAAGTGTATTGTTTTTTTTTTATATACCGGTAAGGCCTTTATTCCTGATGTACAGCTTTTCTTCAAATTCTCCTTTTTCCTTCTCTACTTTTCCCCTTCTTCTTCTTTTTTCTTTTTCCTTTTCTTCTTTTCCTCTTCTTATTGATTTTGATTTTCTTTTTTTCTTCTCCTTCTTCTTCTTTGTCTTTCTTGTCTTCTTGTTCTTTTTCTTTCTTCTTTTTCTTCCTCTTCTTCTTCTTCTCCTTTTCTTCCTCTTCTTCCTCTTCTTCTTCTTCTTCTCCTTTTCTTCCTCTTCTTCTTCTTTTCCTTTTCTTCCTCTTCTTCCTCTTCTTCTTCTTCTCCTTTTCTTCCTCTTCTTCCTCTTCTTCTTCTTCTCCTTTTCTTCCTCTTCTTCTTCTTTTCCTTTTCTTCCTCTTCTTCCTCTTCTTCTTCTTTTCCTTTTCTTCCTCTTCTCCTCCTCCTCCTCCTTCTTCTTCTTCTTCTTCTTCTTCTCCTTTTCTTCCTCTTCTTCTTCTTTTCCTTTTCTTCCTCTTCTTCCTCTTCTTCTTCTTTTCCTTTTCTTCCTCTTCTTCCTCTTCTTCTTCTTCTCCTTTTCTTCCTCTTCTTCTTCTTTCCTTTTTTTCCTCTTCTTCTTCCCCCTCTTCTTCTTAATCATATCAGTATATTCCATAATTGTTGTTAGTATACAACTAATCATGCATTTGTTAATGATTTTGAATGTATTTGATTCTTTACAGACTGCACTCGAGAGAAGGAGAGGAAAGGGGATAGGCAGACCAGGCAGTGGAACAGGCTCTGTTCTATCAACAAAAGATGGTATGTTCATATCATAGCAAAATGACAGTGCACCATTGTACTTCTTGCTTTAGCTTTCATTAAAAGAAGAGTGATTTTTGTATTTTTCTGTTCTATTTTATGTTAATTCAGCAATGCACTGTAATCCCTGTGACAGAGGTGAGTTGATTTCTTCCATTCTGTTTAATATATGCATATTTATGTACATATGACGTTAATTGGTGTTCATGAATATTGTGTAATATATTGTTACTCCAAACCATGTAGGGGAACAGGGCCTAGTATCAATTTTTTTTAGAGGTGGTGTGGTTTTAACTTGTAACATCCCAGACTATGGATCAAATGGTTCATGGTTCAAGCCCCAGCTGCGGGTGGCGCTTACAACGTCTGTGATTTGGAAACAAATTAATAATGTTCAGGTACATTTGCCACTCTCAACCCAGGGCTAATAAATGGCTATCTGGCAGGAATTTATTTGTTTAAAGCTTTGATGTCAGTATCCTATACTAACTGAATTCCTAACTTCAACCCTGGACCAAACACGGGACCATACCTACCCTAACCCTAACCCTAACCCTAAATCTAAACCATCATGAAACCCAGTTGCAACCTTAATCCTTTATCCATTATCTTTGATGAAATAAAGGCTAGAGCAATTGTCGCTGGACCAAATGCAAGGGCACCACTGTGTTTCTGTTTCGGTTGCGTCAGTCTACTCAGGATTTACTATACTTCACCAACGTTTGGTGTGAACAGCATCTCTAAAGTGGATACTGGCTCAAAATAAAGAATGACAATTGTAACAAAAACTTGTTATATAATGTCTGTTCAGAGCCAGAAGGGCATTAACTCTGTTTTGAACTATATGACCCCTTTCTGGTTCCAACCAGACAAATAGAAATTTCCTTGGTATGAACAGCATCTCTGAGTTGAATATGTGCTCAAAATAAATCATGACAAACGTAGCAAAAACTTGAATTATATGTTTTCTCTTCGGAGCCAGAAGGGCATTAACTCTGTGTTCGAAGTATATGACTTAACGCCTTCTGGCTCCAAACAGATAAACTATAATCTCAGTTTACTCTTTAAAAAAAATCCTTTTGTCCTCTCTTTATTTCAGTGGAAAATCTTCTTGCTCAGGGAAAGTCCGGTGGCATCTCGGCATCACCGTCATCCGTGGGCGATCTCCAGGCTCTAGCCACGTCTCTCCTGGAAACCGTTCACGATAAGAACATGGCTTTGTCTCATCAAAAGAATACCAACAAGTAAGTAGATCTGTGATAATATATGGATGATGGGTGGTGGGGGAGGGGTCAAAATGTACCTTGACTGTCATCTGCAGGTTGGATAATAGGATGGTTGGGAAGAGGAAGGGGAGGGGTCGAAATATAGCATCACCGTTATTTGTAGGTGATCTCCAGGCTCGCCCTACCTCTACCTTGGAAACCTGATAACAACATGGCCTTGTCCCAACGAAAGAATACCAACAAGTAAGTAAATCAGTGATTTAGATGTTGGCAGGGGGTAGAAACATGTAGGATCTATTTGGATGACAGCTCAAGTTCACTAGATCTTTCTATTTGATTATCTATCCAATATAAAGTTTGACCGTTACCGCAGGCTTAAACGAATGAGATCGGAAAGGATATTGCTTTAGGCTGTAGAGGTTATACTTCTCCACACAGAGAAGAAATTACCAGGGCAAGGGGATACCTCGCTGAAGAGTAAACAGATGCAGAAGAGGGAGGCGGGAGAGGGGGTGATGTTGATTTTAAAAAAGCATTATGCTATTTTTATCCCTAGTTGCTAATCTATAATTTGAAGGTCAAGATGTATATTCCCACTAATAACCCATTGATATCACACAGGTTTTTAGATAAGAAAAAGCACAATCAACTGACTCAGGCTTTCAGGATTGACTTGTTTGGTATTTGTTTTTAAGTGTTTGTCAGTCATTTGCAAACAGAAGAAGGGTTAGTGAATGAAATATGGTTAGTCCGGTACTTGGCTGCATGTGGTGCGATGGGCTGCCTAAACTTATGTGTGTACTTACGTGAACGAGTCTGTGTGTGTGTGTATTGGCGGGAGAAAGTTTGATGCCCATTCATTAATTCCTCTGTGTGCTATTCGCGAAAGCAACGACTCGTGAAAATATCTGTACGCGGAAATATCAGCTTATACAGTACTTGAAACTATAGTTAAATGGGAAAGAGAAAATAATACGGTGTGAGATAGATTAAATTAGACGTGAAAAAATCACCATTAGGATGAACGAGAGTTTAGTGTTCATATCATGTACTTGGATGCATGATACGTAAGAAAATCTCTATAAATGTGAACATAGTATTGGTATTATGTATAAAGTTAAAGATAAGTTTGAGTTCTGCTAATGATGGTAAATAAATTCTCATAGAATCCAACAAAACGTTAATACCTGTTACACTGAATGTTCAAGATTACAAATAAATGGTATGTGCCAAACGATTTTGGTAGAAAAGGAATAAGGGGCTGAGTAATGAGCTTAGAAAGATGAGGAAAATTGAAGGAAGTAGGCCCAATACCATGTGCTTATAAACACAGGTCACTAGTATGTGCAAATGAGAGTTGCGGTTTTTATTGAAGATGATTTTCAGCAAGTTTTTGTGAGGTTGTTTTTATTTTACTGGTTCAAACTTCAAACAATTCATCTACTGCAGGATAAACACTCCAGAATTAATTATAACATTGTTCTCTCAACGACGTACAATTCCCATACCAGAGCTCAAGATTAGCTTTAATTTAAGCAAACATGTATACGTGTGTTGGGGCATGTTTCTATGAATCAAACCTTGAAACTTTATCCCACATCTGGCGTCTATCTGTCTCATATGGCCTGTCTTCATCAGCTCGAGTTTGCCAAATAATCTGCTATTTTCAGACTCAGGATATTATCCCGAAGCTTGAAATTGCGTCTCTACTCTCCACCATACCCATACGCTCATTACAAACTACATGTAGCTCGAACGGGCGCAAAGTAGCCTGCTATTTCCCAAATAGCAGGATATTTTGGAAACAACACCAAGATTTCTTGGGATATTTTTTCGACCAAATATCCCGCTAATTGCAACTGCGGGCTGATAAAGACACAAATTAGCTGGATAATTTGCGATCGGGATAGTTAAAATAGCGGGTTATTTGGCAAACTCAAGCTGATGAAAACAGGCCTATATTCATTGGAGGACATCACTCAGTCAATAGAAGGAATACATTCCTCACGTATTGTATACTATCCGTAGGTTTCTTTTTCAAAGGTTTGGAGAAATCAACATCTTGTGTAAATAAATACCGGTATTTGTTGAACACCCGGTCTGCTTTGTTTATGTTTTTGAGACACTTGATTAGAATTTAGACCTTGCGTGCCAGTCTGGCGTAATTCCCACCGGAAAACTGTTATCGGTTATACCACTATGTCAATTGACAGAGAATATTCCTCTCCTATTACCGGTAGACAATATGAAGAGGTTGATTATAGAAGGGTACTTGTATAGTTATGTGAATTCTTGTATTTTATTCTTTTATTTGAAAGCGAATGCGGTCGTTTCGTTTCTTTTTCTTTTTTAAGTGTAGTCATTGTATTTTTGTAATTGCCCAACATATCTTGTGAAATACACATGGGTTACATGGCCCATTAATACACCTACATGTACCCTACATGTATGGTAATATTGTTATGATAATGATAATGATAATATGTCTTGTATAGCCCATGTCACACTACATCTCTGTGGGCTTATTAGCAAGTTCCTCTTGTAATACTGGTACATCAAAGTGCCTAGAGTATTCCCTCTTTGCCTTTCTGCAGATCATTGAGTGAGTCTTGCCTCAATAGGTATAAACACATCATAGTCAAGTGCTTCAACTTAATATTAATGATATGTCAAACTTATAAGCGCATGTCTCTATGCACTGTAATATAGAGAGGGAAAGAAAAGAATATAAAGAGTGAGATACGCTCAGTATTAAGTCATTTAAAAGGGAAGGTCATGGGTTCAAACACTGGATTGCCTCTGAGATACATGTACAAGGCATTTGATATTCATGATTTCTGTCCAGTCTCTACCCAGGTTTATAAATGGTCTACAAGTAGCATGCGTTAGTCATTGACATGTCAAATGGCACATGCTTCCCTGTGAAAGGCAACTGGCTGGAATACTTGCTCATAAATATCCCACAAGACAGTCAGAAGAATTTCATTTACCTTTTTTGAGAACATTTTTCGCACAAAAAACATTCATCTTTGAAGGCCCTAAATTTTGGAATACTTTGCGTGTTGATTTGAAAAACTCCCCTTCTCTCTCAGTCTTTAAAAGAAATCTAAAGAAATCTTTACTGGCCCCGTACAAAACCTAGCTCCTTGTTATATTGCCTGTGTATATTATATGCAGGAATTTTCATGATTATTACTATTGTCATTATTTTAATTATGATCATTATTGTTGAGATTGTATTATGTTCTCCAGAGAACTCGTCACCACTCGTTTACCAAGTACTTCCTCTCATTGAACTGTTCTTCTTTTTTTGAAAATTTGATCTTGCGCGCAACCTTCATTCTGTTTGTTATCACCTTTCATCTATTTCTGTAGTCCACATGCAAACCTTTTCTCTTTACTGTATCCCTTCTCCTCTCACACTCTCCTTGTTTTCTTTGTACATTGTTCGTGTTATGTGTATTGTTTTGTTTCTCCTTTTGTGTCCTCTCTGTTGGCAATTATCCTTATTTTACTCATGTAACTTACTATTATTGAATACTACCACCCGAGGGGTCCACGATTTACAAGCATCGCTTCACAGTGGACCTCTCCGTTTCCAGCTTAACATTAATAAATTATTTTAAGCAGCAATATTTCTTGATATTCAAATATGTAATTCTGTTAAATTCATATTTTGTATTGCATGGTTACTACTTTGATTGTTTATTGTAATGATATTTCTATGAATACTGTATTCTTTTGCTGGAAATGAGAAAAAATAAAATTAAATTGAATTGAAAGAGTAGAGAGTATTCAAAGCTTTTGTGAAGAATATCAATGAAATCCAATGATTATGGTAGAATTTATGTCATGTACATGTACAGTTAATAACTAAATTATTCATACCCCTTGTAAATTTGATGATTTGTTTGTGTTTTGTGTAATTCAAGAATGAAAGGTAGACTGGTTGAAATAGGGCATTGGTTGAATACTTTTTATTAAAATGTAATATGTTTCATTCTCAAAAACATAAATCGGGACAAATCAATAATTCAAAGACTTCAAAAATTAAAGAATTTGGTAAGGGTATGAATAATTGAGTTGTTAACAGTACCAGTATGTGAGGCACTGCAATAGTATAGAGATATCGACTGCTTTGAGAGCCAGACCTCGAATATTAAAGCAGTCGATATGTCTTTTATATGCCGAATTGAAACAAAAATCTACCAAGAATTCTTACATTATCCTTTTATTGAGTAAAGATTGGTTCAAACATCACAGAAAATCTTTGCTGGAAAAATGACTGAAAGTTTCAATCATTTGGGAATCGCAGACAAAAAGCACTGTATGGTGTCCACGCTCGCACAAAGACAATTTTAACACGTAAACCAATGGGGATCGCAGCATGAGGCATTTTTTAAAAGACTATTGACCGGTAGGCGGGTATGAGGGCACTTTTTAAAAGACTATTGACTGGTAGGGGGGCATGGCTAAAATCACGACTTCAATTTCGACCAATCAGATGGCTAGATTTTTAAAGTGAGGTATATAATAGCACTAATAATAATAAACACTCCAAATGTTGTATTGATATTTGCAGGATCCTTGGTAAGAGGGTTGCTGAGCTGGAGAAGAAGCTGAAGACCCTGGAGGTAGCCGGTCTCTGGACGCTACCGGTAGGAGCAGGATCGGGAGGTGAGTTGCTCGTGATTTTATTAATGTTCTAATGAATTAATGAGTGTAATGATAGTGATACAATGTATCATCATCCTCATCCTCATCATGTAAACTCCATTTTCGTCATTTCCACTACCATCATCACTTCCTTCACCACCATCATCTGTATTATTATCTGCATTATCTTCGTAATCATTATCATACATCATCTTCATCCTCATCACCACCACCGTCATCATCATCATCATTACCAATATCATTATTATGTTCATCATCATCATCTTTATTACATACAAAAGTTTCAGTAAGCACAAAATGCACCTTTCATCTACCGGTATTCATACTATATGATGAAAGGGCTCTCTAATGTAGACACTGTATCTTATAATAATCCACTTCCCATTAACCAATACTGCCATGTACAATTTACAGAACACCATTAGCGTACCGGTATGTATCATTGCCTTAGATTCTTGCATGAATGTGTGCATTATAATAGTGTACTTGAGATCATGATTTGTTTTGAATTTTTTAAATTTGTCTGAACAATAGCCAGGTTCACACGAGTCTGTAAACTTTAAGTTTTGCTTGTGGCTTAAAACTTCAAGGCCATCTTGAAGTTAAGGACCATGCAGATGCGCTCATGGTTTTGAGACTCTGAGTAAATTGAAATTTTTAAACCGTGAGAAATTGTATGGTTATCAAAAAAGCTATGGGAAATTGGTGTCTTCATTCAAAGTTATGTGCCTTGCAGATGCAATTAACTTGGTATGTAGTTCAAAATGTTGAAAACTTGTTTCCGACCCATATGAACTTGTATCATTGTTAAAGGAAATACAAAGTTTTGGGAAATTTTGAAAATTGGGTGGATAGCGAATCTCTACAATTTTGATATATTTGGATGCCCCTGTGGATGTATTATAAGCACTAAAAAAATTAGCCCCTAAAACACTTCTGTTTTCGAGAAAAATTTAATATAAAAATTTGCTCCCGGTAAATTTTGATAAATTTCAAATAGCGCCTATGGCCGTACAATGGTATCTGCGACCATGAAAATCTCAGAATATGTAGTTGGGATATATCATTTCCAAACGGGAATAGCTAAAAAGTCGATTTTAGTCAAGAAACATTGTTTCATAGCTAAATTAATATCTTGACCTTGAGAGGGAGCTATACAAATTAAAGAGTTTATTATTTATAATTTCATAACTGTAGACTCGATTTCAACCGCGACAACGATCAATGTATATTGTAGGAACGCATATGCTTCCAATATGTTAATTTGAACTAAATTCATGACCCCATACCAAAACTTTGTAATACCTTTAAGGCCAAATAAATTTAAAAAACATGTTTAGCGTCCTGAAAAAGGATGGAGGAGGCCCTTGGATGGCGGCGACGCTAAACAAGAAACATGCATCTTTTTATTTTGCCTACTTGGTCGTGGTTTTGAAACTTCAAAGTTTTGCAAACTTAAATTTAAAAACTACAGCGGTTGTCTTGTATGAACATAGCTAATGTTATTGCAGAGAGTGCCTTATATCTGAACAAAGGGCATGTTTTTGAATACATTTCTACTCTTCAAACTCCAATTAACAACTGATAAGTGCTGCAAATTGAGATGGATTATGAGGCTGATAAGCCATGCATGTAAATACATATTGACCTGTGGCTACTTCAGAGTTGAACAACCTTGTTTTCATTCGTTGCAGAAATTATTAATCATACTTTGGCTAGGTTGTCTAATGTATCTGAAAGCTCAACAGAAACCAATGTTCCTCTTGAACAAAAGTCAGAATCAGAAGATACATTTGATTTATTAAACTGAAGTACTGTTTAACATCAATAGTTCAAAGTCTTCTAATACAAATAGTTATTGAATGTTATAAGGAATTGTGACAATAGTTTAATGGATATGGAAAAATAAAAAAGTAGATAAAAATGGATTCTATTTGCAAGGCCATTTTCATTAATTTTCAAGTAAAGGTACCAGTATGTAATATATTCTATCAGTGCTCCAGGAAAGATGAACACAAAAATGTTATTTTCACATACATGTAAATGAACAGTATGTACTGGTGACAATAGTTTAATGGATATGGAAAAATAAAAAAGGTAGATAAAAATGGATTCTATTTGCAAGGCCATTTTCATTAATTTTCAAATAAAGGTACCGGTATGTACTATATTCTATCAGTGCTCCAGGAAAGATGAACACAAAATTTTTATTTTCACATACATGTAAATGAACAGTATGTACTGGTATATGTATATATATATATATATAAGTAGAATATTCATGTACAGTCAAACCTGCTTTAGTGACCACCTGTCTACAAAGACCACATTTTTGTTTCCCTTGAAAATGGTTTCTCATTGAAACATGTACTAAAGGAACCTGTACATAAAGACCACTTTTCTTGTCTCCCTTGGGTGTTCTTTATTGACAGGTTTCACTGTACATGTACCCGCATTCATTTAATAGATGCTACCTTGAAATCTCTCATATGTTTATGTTTATATTGTTGATGAGGGTTTCCCCCCTAATGCTGTCTGGAAGATAATGTTACATCATAAACAACAAATGACTGATATAAAATTATAATAGCAGCTATATGTCCTTCAGTTATCTGGGGCTGTAGAAAAACAATACAGGTAGATTAATGTGCTGTGTTTTAGTAGCTGCTTGATAGGGATAGTACTTGTGATATCATGTGAGGCATTACAGTAAAACAGACATGTTGATTTAAAAAGGCAGCGGGCACCCTTCAGCAGACTCTGTCAGTTTAGCTGAAAATGTAGCTGTATTGAGAGTTGTATAAATGTAGAAGAAGAAACATCGAGATTTATTTCATATTCTCTTACAAACAAAATATTTTGTATGATGGGGGGGGGGGGGGGGGTGTGTTTCTGGACACTTTACAATAAATAAGCCATCACTTTTGCCTTAGTATTGAATGAAAAGTAAGCATCAAATAGCACGATTCATTGTAAATATTTGTCTTCTTTAATATTGTCTATCATAAATCTTAACAGATTTATAAAATACTGCATGTAAACTTCCTTGAATCACCGATTTAAATCAACTGTTCAGACACACAACGTCTTGGTACCGGTATACGTTTGAGCAGCTGTGTAAGTACAACAAAGCTTATAAAGACTCATGTAAAGCCAAAGACTTTTGCATTCATGAAGCATTCATCAACTTTATGATTGGTTCAGATTAATGACAGTCGCCCTCATCTGCATTTATGCAATATATTTAACTTATAACTGACACAACTTTGAATTATTGGAATTTACTCAAATTTCTTTATGCAAAACAAATGTTTAAAAACCAAACTGACTTCTTCCACGAAAAATAAATTGTGTTGATCATATGATGGGTAATCATAATGTGTATTTGAAATCTTTGATTTACATTGACAGCTCGAAATGCAGTATATCTGGCCAAAGAGAAGCAGAATATGGCATCCGGTCTGAAGACACTTCTTCCACACCAAGTTTCAAGCAGTAGCGATGACAACAGCCCAAGAAGTCTTGATGGTGCTTCCAGTCAAGGCTCCTCTGCCCAATCAACCCCACACAGCACGCCCTCTCATGACGTTAGTCGTAAAGAGCTTACAAGAAAAGACACGGAAGACAGCTTGATCTGCCTGGAGGAGCATGATGGGAAGGCCGAGGCAGCGGAGCCAAGGTCAAGATCGCAAAGCTCTCCGTCCAAGGGTGAGGTCACTGGGAAGGACAGAGATGGGAGTTTGATTGCGTTGGAAGGTCAGGACGAGACATTGGTGAAGGTCAGATCGATTTCACAGGACTCTGTATCCCACCGCTGCCACCAGAAGAAGTTGGTCAGGACAGACACGCAGGACAGCTTCATCTCCTTGGAAGACCACAATGCCAGCCAGTGTGTGGAAGGAGAGAACACCTTCAGTGACAATGTGCCGCTTCCTCAAGGAATGGAAGGAACGCCTGGGGAAGATGACGATTGGTCAGAGATATCTGGCGAGATCAATGACGGGGACACTTCAGGTGGAGGAGACGCCCATGGTAATGTGAACACTGCAGCTGAGAGGGAGCTGCTCAAGAACGTCTTTGAAATTGAGCAAGGACAAGCGGATGGAAAAGATGGCAAGCTGGACAGTGCAGTGTGTGATGACAATAATCAGGAAGATGAGGAAGACCTGGAGGGTTCGGCTGATCCTGATGCAGCGTTGGAACTTGAGGATGGTGAGGCAGATTCGCAGGAGGAAGGAGACAAGCTCATGTCCTCTTGGCTGGAACAGGAGGGTGATCCTTCTACCAATGCTACCATCGGTACCACCTCGCTTGAGAACCTCTTTGACAGTGTGGCTGATAAGCTCTCACTGAAGAACAAGGAGAAGAGACAACCGGAAGGAAAGGAATCCACCCAGCAATCATCACCCCTGCTCAAAAGAGACAAACAAGCCAGTCTAGTGGTTGTAGACAATACTCCTCAATGTGTTTAAATTTGTATTTAATTCATGCTTCCATTTTGTCTGCACTCATTTGTGCACAGTGTTTGAATTGTTGGTGTAGACTTGTAATAGTCTGTATTCAGGAGGAGATGATTTTATTATGCTTACAGAAGATGTATAATTACTCAAAGAAGGCCAATCACCATTTTTTTCTCTTTATGTTTTGTGTTCCAGAACTTCTATGTTGGTATTCTGTATGCACGATACCAGTTTAGAATAGGACCGATATTTCTGGAAATAAATATTAAAAATTAAAAATACTGAAGTTGGACTGAATATAGAAGTGAAAAGGGTTTTTGGAGTAGACACGTCAGTAAAATTTGGCACTATTAGAAGTTATATACAAGTTAACTTCTGTATGGACTATGATATAAAATATTTGTTTGCCTTCATGCAGTGCTTTGTGAATTCATAGAATCCTCTTTATTGTTTGGTGGGTTGCATATAATGCTATACAAAGTGGTTTGTCTTTTAAATTAGAAAATTTTCAAGTTAAAAACAAACGCTAATCTTCATACAACCACAATGCATGAAAACACAAATTTGTTTTCCAGCTGATTTATACAGAAGCTTATAATTATCCAAGCTTTATAAGATAAAGATATTCATAATGTAAAAAATATCTACATATTTAATATTAAAAGAACAAACATTTTTTTTCAGTCTAATATTGTCCATTTCATGAGCAAATTTAACCATGTGCAATGTGTGCACCTTGCTTAGACAATGTATTGAAAGCACTGTATTGGAAGTACCACCGAGCGTGATTTTCTAGCATTTGTATTCCCATTTCAGTTCTGAAACTGCCCCTCTTAATTCCTACAATTTGTGTCAGCATTTTCACTGTTTTTTGTGCAATAGAATTTATTTAGTGTTTAACTGAAATGATTAATTCTGCATTCCATTAAAGATGAAGTTGAGTTCTGGTCATGCGATTGCATTGTGAAAGAAAAGGTGTGGAATCGACCAGAAAAGGTTGATCATCTAGCATATAAGAATTTGTGTGTATTGCAAGGTTCTGGAATCATCAAAATGATCAGAAATTTGGCCAAGTCTTGGTAAAGTTACAAACACTGTACACAGAAAGATGTATATGGGACTACACGAACACATGAACACGTAAAAATCCTACTCTGGATTTTACGATGTTACATGACATATTTACAATATGAAGGCATTTCAAGAGCCATGCTTTTCAGGGAACATGTTTAATCTGATGTTCTTCCACACTTGCATAATAAGAATGATAATACTCACAAATTATTTTTCACCTCTTCCCAGAACTCAACCTTCTCTTTAACTCCAGTACTTTATCTTACTAAGTTCATTTAGCATATTTTCAATGATATTCTTTGGTTCAGATTATCACCCTGTGCGGGAACATTTGAATACCCTTATTCACTAGGCAGTGCTAAAGCATGCCTAATATAACTACAGTTTGTTGTATATTCATAACGTTCATTATTCCATACAATGTTTCATTTATTCTCAAGGATTGTTTATGACGAGCCTTGAAACATACATACTAAAGCTGTCATCGTAAAGTATTCAACAAAGGCCCTAACTCAACCATTTTACCAATCAGTTTTGTGTTACAAAAAAAGACGTCATATTTACAAGGAGTGTAAATAATGCAGTTGTATCTGGGCAGGTCAAAGGTATTTTGTCCAATACGTTACTAAACACATCAAAGTTTTCAGTATTCCCAATGATTCTGTGAGGTGGTTAGACCTATTAAAGCTTTGAGCAGATCAAATAACAAGAAAAGAGTAATTATTCTATTTTCCCCATTCTTGGTAACGGATTGGACAGCAATTGACAAAATACTTTGGGCTCTATCTATGGAAAATTATAAATATATAGAAGAATTACATATTGTTCATTCGGTACTACATGGTGTATATTGGCATTATTCTACAGTACTGAAATATATTGGTGATGGTATCAAAGAGGTTAACCTATTAATGGTAAAACCAAACAAATTATTCTTATTATTGTAATCCAAATGTATTATGTAAATGATGACACTTGATTGTAATTATCTAATTTTCTTTATTGAACTTGACGAGGCAGACTTTATTTTCATTTTTTATTATTTGTAGGTGTAGATATTTTTTGTTTGGTGCCAGAGGGGTATCCACCTATTATTTTTTTGTACAGCGTTAGTGCCCTTCTGGTTCCAAACTATTTAAATAGTAGTCTGAGAATAATACACCTCTCATGAAAAGCAATCAGAAGATGCCATTTGTGTTTTACTACCATATTTCATTTATTTGTGCAATATCTTCTCAAAATTTATATACCATGACTGCCTGTATTATATGTGTAAATTGCACCTTCTAGTTTGTTTTTGTTTTGTTTTGTTTTTCATTTGAGGAATACAGTGCATTGGCTGTCTAGATAATGGTTTTTTTTCATTTTTTGAAACTGCTCAGAGTTATATATTATTTATAAGATAATATTATTTATTTCATGTTCTTGCATTTTGCTGCTTTGCACAAAATATAGGACTCATTTCTGTAATGGGATATTTGGTTTGATATATATATTAAAGAATTTTATGAATTCTCTTTATTTTTAGTATAGTGAAATATTCATTTTATTGCAAAGAGACAATGTATATTAGTTTAATTGTAAATAATGTTGATTTCATCTTCAGTAAGCAATAATGATTTTAATGAATACAGCTTCTGATCAATCTTTTCTATTAAAAAAAACTATGTTTTATGAAATGATGTAGAATACTCATTCTCGCTTTAGCATACAGTATAAATTACGTTTCATTTGTTTTTCTAACGGACATGGTAATATTTCTCTTTGCAGTTTAAACAATTTTGTTTAATGAAACATTGTAGAGCTTGGAGGTTATAAACATGTTTCTGGTTTATGTCCTAAAAAATGTCTTTATATATAGAACAAACTATTGAATGACCCTTTTGTAATATCCAGTAATATCACTGACATTTGTTGTAAAAGCAGAACTATCAACAGAATTCTTGTGCATATAGCAGGTCACACACTTTAATATTTGCCATTCGTCCATTTTTTGTGATTTTGGAAACGTTTGTTGTAAAAGGCATCATTTAACAATGTTAAATCTGAGATGCATGGCCCTACATGTTATCAGTGTCTGTGATATGTTGTAATATTGAAGCCCTAAAAAAAGTGCCTCAAAAAAGTAAACAAATCTTTGATTGACCGGTTTTACCATACTCGTTTTCCCCCACAGACTGTAGTGTTGAAAACAAATTTTGAAATTTTGAATTCCAATCATAAATAGCTTGATAATAAGACAGGCGATCGGCTTGTAAAAGTCATGGGGTTCCTGACTGACCTAAAGGTTTATAATTATCATTGTAGCATGAGCTAAATCCAGGATTTTGTTTTTGAATCTGAGACAAAGTTACTCGATACCTTTAAAATGTGTTGGAACACAAGCTTACTCAGCCCCTCTCAATAATTCACTTAAAAAGATATATGGACAGCTCTATCTACTCAGGTATTTTTATGTGTATAACCCCCCCCCCCCCCCCCCCCCCACGGAGCAAAATGTCAAATTTTCAAATTTCGAGACCAAAAAAGAAAAAAAGTGCCCTCTTACCACCCCCCCCCCCCGCCCACTTATTCAGCGGCTGGCTGAGTCATTGCGATTTTTTTGGTGACCAAAAAAAAAGGTGTCCTCTTACCCCCCCCCCCCCCCCCCCCTTATTAAGCGGCTGGCTGAGTCGATGCGAAATTTTCGGCCCGATTTAAAAATGTTAAAACCCCCCCCCCCTTAAAAAATCCTGCGTACGTGCCTGTATCTACTATATTCAATATTGCAGTACTGACTACTGATACATGTTTACAAAGTTTGTCATGATGTAACTCGTGTATGATGTAACTAATTTTTCAGATTCCATTGAAATAGAGTAGGTATTCAAGATTTGTAGGCGAGTCAGAAAATAAAAGGGTTGACGTATTCCGTCAGGAGCAGTTGCCCTCTTCCGTTCTGCTTTGCATTAATCAGAGAAGTACAATTTCAGCCGGTATACCTAATTGATAAATGACTCTGAGAAGGATATGGGATACGTTAGTTATGCAGACTTCAGCTCTCCACAGAGAAAGATCCATCTTTCTCAGCCATATGGAGAGACGTACCAGCAAGCAAAAAGATAAAATATTCAGTTTACCTCGAGTGGGTATTTCCTCGATTATATCCATTTGGAAGTCTAATTAGAGCAAGAGTTAACTATATTTTCTTTAAAACGTTAAAACCTATGTATGTCTTTGCTCAGTAATTCCAGGTTATTGTATTTTAACTGCCAATATGATGAACAAATTAGTTTATCAATCCAATCTAATTTACATAGTATTTTATTCAATAGTACCATTTCCATGCAGTTAGAAAGCACTTAAATTGTTTTTCTCTGTTTTCCATAATTCATGCCCATGCCTTGTAGCAAAATATTGGGATTATAATTTCACTGTGTATTCAATAATTACGGCCGATTGTGAATGTTCAAAAAATGGAATAGGTTCTTTCTGAAAACTGCATATGATATATCAAGTCATCATTCACGTTTGAAAATATGTCATTCTAACTTTTTTGTTTCTTGTAAGTTTATTGAATTTGTATCTTTTCCTGATAGGCAAAGGCATAATCTTGTCAAGAAAATGACATTTTAGATGAAAATTATGACAACCATCACCTATGATTTGCATCAATTAATTTGTCATGCCATAATTTATGCCATAGAATGTACAAAAAAAGGAAAACATTTTGCCTTTTGTTGCTCTATCTGGTTGTGAGATATTGCTTTGATTTATCACATGTACATATATAATTCTTTTCAAACTGACATGACATTTATGAGTATGCGAAATCGTCAGGAGGAGATCAAACTTGTGGCAAATAAAATGATTTGGTGCCTGATTATAGCATGTTGGAGATCATAATTTAAGAAGTAGTTAATTTTAAAAATTCTGTAGCTGATTTGTGGAAAATGTCCTCACCAAACTGCATAACATTTTACTTTAAGTGCTCTTCCATAAGTCAGTTACCATCA